TCAAAACGGGCGTGAGGCGCTTATCTTTGATTGAAAAGCATATTCCATCCCACTTTGCAGCTCCTGTTATATCAGCTGTCCGCTCGAATCCTAATATAGTGTTTAGAAGACAACCTTTTCATTTGTTTCAAACTAATTATTTACCAATGGAAAGATACTAGGTCATTACAGCTTAAGAACATTGCATGTAACAGGTATATTGTTGTAATTGGAGCAGCTGTCCTCTCTTTCATTGGGAATAGAATTGGGTTTCTTGGGCTGGTCATCATTTGCAAGCTATTTAGATAGAGATATTAGGTTAATTAGCTAATTAACTAATTAACTATCAAAATAATGACAATGCCTTTCTTTTTTATTATAATATATAGATACTTACAAATGATGAAGTGTAGATTCCGCAAAGTAATAGTCAGCATATTCAGATTCATCCAGAGAATTATTAGTTCCAATAAAAGACCTTATTTGAGACTTTATGCATGTTGCTGAAGCAGAAGATTTGGAAATAAGATTCAAAATATCCTTGCACGGTTCACTTAATTCAATTTTTGGAGGGTCAGTCAATGATTTGATGCTGGCGCCGGATTCTTCTAACAAAGTCCCAGACATATATTCTAAGATACAGGATTTCCACTCCAAAAGTTATATTTTTTTTCAAACTATATATTTTGCAAAATCAAAACTTTCATTTTGTGCTCCGACTATATATAAAAAAAAAATCAATTTATTTCTTGGCTATTTGTACATTGGGGGAAGAAGCTAATGCTATGATCAACCCAGCCTTGGCAGTTTTCCATAGCGATATGGCGGGAGCACTCAGCAATATACTCCAAGAATTGACCACATACCAACCCGGGCTTTCTCTTGACCAGTGTTTTGAGTTTGGAGAAGCACTCTTCAATCGGGTTTAGGAAAGGAGAGTATGGGGGGAGAAAGTGTAGGTGGTGTCGTGAATTAGCAAACAATTCAGTGACAAGATGGGATCTATGGATCGAGGCATTATCCATAATGAAGTTGTGAGGGGCAGCATTACTGTGGTCGAGCGAATCCATAATCGTCTTTACAAATTCAACGAAAATTGGTCCTGTCGTGCCACCAGGGGTTAACTTCGCCTGCACACTCTCAACACCTTGGTAAGAAATACCGGCAAGAATTGAGATGTTTAGTCCCCTTTTCGACTTCGTCTTCACAATGCTGGTCTCGCCTTTCTTGGACCACCCTTGTCCTCTGATCAGGTTTGCATTAAAGCCTGCTTCGTCCACAAAAATGCAATTGGTTTTATACGATAAACCATTCGTGTGCATACTGTCTACGTATACTTTTCTCAGCTCAATAGTCTTCGGGTCGTTTCTTTTTTCCTCGACCGGCTTGATTCTCTTCAATGTGAACCCGATGTTGTTGATAATGTGCTTATGTAAGCCACTGATGCTCAAGTTCTGCTCTTGAAGCTCTGGAAATTTTCTAAACAGTTCCTCTCTCATTTGACCAAGAGTCAAGGTGCAGCATTCGTCCAAGAGGTCTTGAATGAACTTCGAATGCTCATCGGTTATCTTAAGACTTTCCGCGCGCGAGCCGCCTCGCTTCTTGGGCTCTACAGTAGCATCCCTCTCGAACTTGGTGAGGATGTTGTTAATCGATACCTATGAGACACCAAATGCCCTGGCTGCTTCGGCTCGGGTCATGGACTCTTCTATATAACATTTCTCCACAATCATGTTCTTGATGTGGATCGGAAGAACCTTTTGTGGTCCATTTCTCTTTCTTCTCTTAACGATAGCGATTTGATTGGGGTTCATGTTGGAGGATTTGAGTATAGAAAAAGATAATAGATAAAGACAGTTCTCAAAACCATATTACAAACTTAGCATTATATACTTTTCTTATAACAATATATTGATATTGCATGTTTTCTTATATTGTTTTTAATAAACAGTGTAGACATTCTTTAAATACTTTATCGCACATATTAGCATTCTTCATGCTCTTTATTAATTTGCTTTAAATTTCTTTCTATCCGCATTAATTAATTTATTTTTTTCATATATAGTCGGAGCACAAAATGAAAGTTTTGATTTTGCAAAATATATAGTTTGAAAAAAAATATAACTTTTGGAGTGGAAATCCTGTATCTTAGAATATATGTCTGGGACTTTGTTAGAAGAATCCGGCGCCAGCATCAAATCATTGACTGACCCTCCAAAAATTGAATTAAGTGAACCGTGCAAGGATATTTTGAATCTTATTTCCAAATCTTCTGCTTCAGCAACATGCATAAAGTCTCAAATAAGGTCTTTTATTGGAACTAATAATTCTCTGGATGAATCTGAATATGCTGACTATTACTTTGCGGAATCTACACTTCATCATTTGTAAGTATCTATATATTATAATAAAAAAGAAAGGCATTGTCATTATTTTGATAGTTAATTAGTTAATTAGCTAATTAACCTAATATCTCTATCTAAATAGCTTGCAAATGATGACCAGCCCAAGAAACCCAATTCTATTCCCAATGAAAGAGAGGACAGCTGCTCCAATTACAACAATATACCTGTTACATGCAATGTTCTTAAGCTGTAATGACCTAGTATCTTTCCATTGGTAAATAAATTAGTTTGAAACAAATGAAAAGGTTGTCTTCTAAACACATATTAGGATTGAGCGGACAGCTGATATAACAGGAGCTGCAAAGTGGGATGGAATATGCTTTTCAATCAAAGATAAGCGCCTCACGCCCGTTTTGATTGAATTTTCTGGAGGGATTCACTTTAATAGTACCACAGAAAAAGAGCAAAGAGATGAAAGCAAAATGATACGAAATATGGTCAAGCTCTTGGAATATGCCAAATATGTCAAAAAGCACAAGTCCCCTGTCCCGCAGTTCTACTGTCGTTTCTTCAGTAAGTTGATTGTGAACATACATACATACATACATATATATATATATGTATGGACATTCAAACCACAGATAATATTTCTTTTAGACAACCAGATTTTCTTTGAAGCCATATTTTTAGTTGATGAAGAAACTAGACTTGTAAAAAGAACTTTTTGCAAGATTCCCTGTCCGGTAACCCCACGCGAGCTAAAGATCTTTGCTGAAAACATTCCTGCTATGTTAAAATGGAAGCAGGCAATAATAAACTATGTGATCGAATCACAAAAGTGAAGAATAAAAACCATAGAATTAAAGAAATAAAAGTGCTTATGTTCTTTTACTTTTACTGACTACCAACAACCGAGTCATTATTACTTTTTTTTTGTTTATTGTTTCAATATGTGTTCAAATGATCTTGCTTAAGTATAGAAATATTTTTCTTTTAATCTTTTGATTGCATTTTCTTCCACAGCCAAGGCTCCTCTGGCAGCTTATTCAAGTTTTACTGATACTAGAGTTTCGTTTGATTTTATATTCTAATTAATAAGAGCAATGGTTACATATACATATGCTTCTTGTTGTTCAGTTGGCTTACAGTTGAGAATCCTAAACATGTCGTGATGATTGATTGTTTTTACGCGTAAAAACAATCAATCATCAGAAGAATAATAATGTACATTGGTACCAATTAGTAAAAGTCAATTAATTGAACAATGCCTATTAGGTACACATTACCTTTATCAAAGTACAGACTACAGAAGACTCCCTGCATTCATATAAAGAAGTTTCACTCTTTATATGCAACGTTCGCATCCGGATGCCTTTTACAATGAAGCAAAAGGCCAGAGCCCAGAGCGTTAGCAGGGGGGACAATGTACCTTTTTGTTACTACATGTTGAAGTAATAACTAAGTGCACATCGTTGTCTTCTACATCAAACTCCCTGCATTCATATAAAGAAGTTTCATTCTTTATATGCAACGTTCGCATCCGGATGCCTTTTACAATGAAGCAAAAGGCCAGAGCCCAGAGCGTTAGCAGGGGGGACAATGTACCTTTTTGTTATTACATGTTGAAGTAATAACTAAGTGCACATCGTTGTTTGATGGTGTAGTCTAAAGGAACGCCATAATGGTGATAAGGGAATAACCATTACATATATTCGTTGTGACCGCAACGTCATCAAAACAGGCCCGGTCCGGCACAACGATGTCTGAGCTGGCACTTTTTTTTTGCAGTTCGAAATGATTATTGTAGAAAATCACAGGATTTAATACTCTGGGTGCGTAACAAAGTTGCGTATGGACAACTTCTTTGTTTTCTTATAGACAATTGGTATATGTGCTGTGTTTTTTAATACGCTTATATTCCCATAGAGGAAATTATGGCTAAAGTCCGTACCGCGTATTAAGCTCCTCCGAGTCGGCTAGTACTCCTTTTCGGCGGAGTTATTTATTTTTACAAACTTTTGAAAGAAAAAAAACATATCGGTGTAGGCACAGGTCTATATCAAAAAAGGCGTTCTATATTCCGAGATCACCTCTTCACATTTTACCCTTTGAATACTAAAGAAAAATCTAAAAAGTCACGTGCCTAACTTGTTTACATTTTTGTTAGTAAGACTGTGACGGAGGTCACTCTTGAGTTCATAAATCAGTACCTTATTTGGACGCCCCTTTATAATCACTCAAAATCCAATTTCAATAAACTCAGTCTTCTTCCTGATACAGGATTTCCACTCCAAAAGTTATATTTTTTTTTCAAACTATATATTTTGCAAAATCAAAACTTTCATTTTGTGCTCCGACTATATATGAAAAAAATAAATTAATTAATGCGGATAGAAAGAAATTTAAAGCAAATTAATAAATAGCATGAAGAATGCTAATATGTGCGATAAAGTATTTAAAGAATGTCTACACTGTTTATTAAAAACAATATAAGAAAACATGCAATGTCAATATATTGTTATAAGAAAAGTATATAATGCTAAGTTTGTAATATGGTTTTGAGAACTGTCTTTATCTATTATCTTTTTCTATACTCAAATCCTCCAACATGAACCCCAATCAAATCGCTATCGTTAAGAGAAGAAAGAGAAATGGACCACAAAAGGTTCTTCCGATCCACATCAAGAACATGATTGTGGAGAAATGTTATATAGAAGAGTCCATGACCCGAGCCGAAGCAGCCAGGGCATTTGGTGTCTCATAGGTATCGATTAACAACATCCTCACCAAGTTCGAGAGGGATGCTACTGTAGAGCCCAAGAAGCGAGGCGGCTCGCGCGCGGAAAGTCTTAAGATAACCGATGAGCATTCGAAGTTCATTCAAGACCTCTTGGACGAATGCTGCACCTTGACTCTTGGTCAAATGAGAGAGGAACTGTTTAGAAAATTTCCAGAGCTTCAAGAGCAGAACTTGAGCATCAGTGGCTTACATAAGCACATTATCAACAACATCGGGTTCACATTGAAGAGAACCAAGCCGGTCGAGGAAAAAAGAAACGACCCGAAGACTATTGAGCTGAGAAAAGTATACGTAGACAGTATGCACACGAATGGTTTATCGTATAAAACCAATTGCATTTTTGTGGACGAAGCAGGCTTTAATGCAAACCTGATCAGAGGACAAGGGTGGTCCAAGAAAGGCGAGACCAGCATTGTGAAGACGAAGTCGAAAAGGGGACTAAACATCTCAATTCTTGCCGGTATTTCTTACCAAGGTGTTGAGAGTGTGCAGGCGAAGTTGACCCCTGGTGGCACGACAGGACCAATTTTCGTTGAATTTGTAAAGACGATTATGGATTCGCTCGACCACAGTAATGCTGCCCCTCACAACTTCATTATGGATAATGCCTCGATCCATAGATCCCACCTTGTCACTGAATTGTTTGCTAATTCACGACACCACCTACACTTTCTCCCCCCATACTCTCCTTTCCTAAACCCGATTGAAGAGTGCTTCTCCAAACTCAAAACACTGGTCAAGAGAAAGCCCGGGTTGGTATGTGGTCAATTCTTGGAGTATATTGCTGAGTGCTCCCGCCATATCGCTATGGAAAACTGCCAAGGCTGGGTTGATCATAGCATTAGCTTCTTCCCCCAATGTACAAATAGCCAAAAATAAATTGATTTTTTTTTATATATAGTCGGAGCACAAAATGAAAGTTTTGATTTTGCAAAATATATAGTTTGAAAAAAAAATATAACTTTTGGAGTGGAAATCCTGTATTATTGGCTGGTGCTTAAACTACCGCTATATCCAACAGTCAACATCCAAAGCTGGTGAAACCCCCTAATATTAACATTCGGGTTATTTTTATCACATGGGCATGTTTCATATCAATATTTCTTTAGGGCATACATCTCTAATTTTTTATAAAGAACTCTTTACGTAGCTAGAGTAATATTAAGGCTTAAGAAGACCTAATGCTTGGCCTTATACAAAACAATTTAATATCTGTATGTTACTCTGGTTATTTATATATTTAATACAAAGATACTCCCGCAGTAATTTATTTAGCCCTGTGGTGTAAATAGATTATTTGCCTTTTTTATACTTCCTTAACAAATTTAGGCATTTTTAGAGTAGTTGATATCTCCACGAGTTCGCATTTGTTTTTGTTGAGACAAGTATTTACGGACCCGTATTTATGTTCTACACAGCTTTACTTAATAGGCTAAAAAGAAAATTTTCCAGACTTTTTTTCAGTTGTCCTGTGAGTAAAAGTGGGTATCGAAAATGGACTTTTTTGGTGCAAATAGCCCGATTGATAGTGAATTAAGATTTTATAAAGTGAAAATGTGGGATGTTTTGGTCAATATTTGAGCAATCGATATCAGAAAATGTTGATAAGGTGGATCTTGATGTGTCTAACCAGGTTACTTATAGTCATAGAGCCTATTAGCTTTATGAATAGTGATTTATAGCTGATTTTCGGTGTAGAATTTGCCAATTTGATCAAAAGCATCATTTTCGTTGATAGTTAAATTTTTATCCAAATAGCACATTCGAGTATTTAGCAGTTGTAGCCTTGCTGCTACGAAATAAACCTATCTGAAAAAAGCAAATTGGGCAATTAGTCCCAATGACTTCCCTTTTTTCTTTTGCTTTGATATATTGCTTGGAACTGTTTATAATCAATTTGATATACAAACGGAATACGTTACTATTATAACTTAACAAGTCAGCATTCATAATTTATATCTCAAGACAGCAATCTTAGACAACTAGGACACAGACATTAATATACGGTTAATTAAATAGCAGCTGCCTCTCAAAAGATAAATATATATAAGAGACTCAAGGGACAATAATTTGTATTTTATATGCCTTTAAATACTGATAAAAAGATAAACCCATTAAAGTCTAATATATTATGTGTGTGGGTGTCTATACACTTATATAGCGATATTTGAGATAGATCCTCGATGTTCTCTACAAATATCAGCTATCAGGATGGATTATTTGTACTTTATTCTTTGCACATAAACCTCGTTAATGAAATACATTTAATGTAATATTGTTAGCTTATAACATTTTGAGCTATATTATTTTATTGCTACAAGTTTATAGTACAAAAGCTTTAACATATTTAAACCGAATGATTGAGAGACTATTCTGGGGATCTCTTTTTCAGAAGAAGAAGAAGAAGAGAAAAATATTGCATAGTTCTTGTAAGCAATATATATTCTAAGATACTAACATTATCATTTATGCGCAAAACAGCTTTGTAATATCTCTAGCTTTCACACACAGGTTCTTTTTGATCAAATAGGCTGTTTTTAGTGATTTTGATTCAATAAACTAATATTTGCACGATAAAAATATCTAATGATATGATGTCTGATACAAGCAGCTCTCAATATAATCATATTGCTGAAAACATTAATATTACTCTCATTATATCAAAGAAATAGGACTAATTAGCAGGGAGCAGACGAAAAAGCTAAAAGAAGAAGAATAATAATTATTGTTTCATAAATACAATGGGACTATTACTTGGGTATCTAGTCCATACTTCCCTTCACTTTCTCTCTTTTAAACACAAATATACATAAAAGATATACTATTTTCTATTTTTTTTAAAAGAATAATAGCACCGGATTCTTTGTCTCTGGATTACACAGATCAATATCCTTCGGAATGTAAACTTGATTTGATACAGACGAAGTGTGAAAATGGTGGTAAAATATATCACACTCGTTATATTCCTCTCACCCACAAATCTCATTGGTGAATAATGGAGGGTGCAAACTTGGCAGCAGGATTTTATTACAAAGTAGCAAGACTCAGCTTATTCGACTACGAAAGCGTCACTTCAAGTCATCGAAAGTTTTTTTTTACGTGTTAGCAATAAAGAGTCTGTAGGATTCATTGTAGGTTAGTTCCTCTATCTCCCATAACATCACTATGTTACGATTGGCTGATACGCTTTACACAGCAGCACATCCAACAACAACAAAAATTGCCTGGGCCTAATATTAAACTGTAGTACTACGGTTGGGGTTTATAAGTGGTCTGGCATTTTGTTGACAAAAAACGGTCTCATGAGAGCTGTTAATATTTATATGTGTATTGAATATAACAAGGAAGAGGGAAAGCATCCGATAGTCAATATGACTTTTTACTACTTTGGTACATGTTTTCTCTTTCTATTGGTTATAATTTATATTAACCTGTAATCGTGTAACTGTTATACAACGGAAGGGACAGCCAATAAGAAACAGTCATTAGATAACAAAAACCAACTTTCTTGTAAAGTAAATCAAAAGAGAATAAATCAAAGTAAAGAAGTAAAGAAGTAAAGAAGTAAAGAAGTAAAGAAGTAAAGAAGTAAAGAAGTAAAGAAGTAAAGAAAGACTTTGGTTTTGATCGGTTGTAGTAACAACTCTAAAGACAGAGTACAAGCTTCAATAACGGCAATTTTCAGGTTACTCTAAGCTGGTCTGTGCACTTCTTGTTCCAACAGAAGAAAATTTTCATTTCATTTCATTTTATTTTTTCGGGGGTTTAATCAACACAATATAAATAAAATAAAGTAAAATAGAATAGAATAAAATAGAATAAAATAACATATTCAAGAAGAGCGTATTAAACATATAATGAAGCCCTTTTACAATAGTAAAGTACAGACCTCTTGGTACTTGGACTTGGTGTTGATGTGAATCTATAGAAGCTTATCACAGTGTAAAAGCGTTAAATAGACATGAACCGGTTGGTTGTTCTTTTTGTGTGTGTGGTAATCCTCAGAGGACGTGCGGTACCTGTATTGATCATCATGTGAAAATATACAGGCTGCCTGGTAGTTGTTTGGGGGGGGGGAGACAATTCTTATCTACACATACCTATGTGTGTCAAGTTGATAAAGGCGTATAGACAAATATATTGGTAGCCTAGAGTGTGATGTCAGCGCGACTACCATCAGAAAACAAAAAAAAAACATATACATACCTCAGTTATTCCCACCTGCCCTGCTTTTTTCTCTTTCGCACTTTGTTTATACATCATTACTCTCAATGAATTCCAAAGTTTACAACGCTCTCTGCGCAGCCTTCGCGCTCGCTTACCTACTCGCCCCAGCGCTCCTATTCATCCCTGTGATGCTATTGGAAGCTTCTCCTTTGCCCTCTGCATTTTGCATGGCCAAACCTGCAAGAAGACGCCCCTCCATGGCGGGAGTGGGTGCAACCCCATCTCTTGACGTGAGACCAAACGGCGAGAATCGAGTCGAAGCTCACGATACTGTGATGCGTCAGACAATCCTTGGCCTTGTGTCAAACTGGGTAGGCTCTTTGTGGTCTACTGGTTCACGAACAACGGGAGAACCCTCAGGTAGCTTGTTGAGTGAGCGCCACGGAGGTATCCCAGGTCATATGTCCGTCGATGATTCCTCTTTGGAGGAGGAAGACGTTGTTTGTGTAGGAGAGTCTAGCGTGTTCTTTGGAGTAGGGCTTCGGGAATATATTCCACACCTCCTTCCCTTGGATGAGTTGGAGCGTGGCATTGATACAATGGTGTTCCCAGTTGACGGCGTAGCTGGTACCTGTGGGGAAACCCATGCTGATCTCGACGAGGGTGTGTCGAGTGAGCTTGTAGATATATGCGATGAAGCTGAGGTCAGCGTACGACTCAAATTCATCTGTGAAAGATTTTTCTCAGAGGGTTTTGCAAATCCAAGACTCCCTACAAGATTCCTTGACGCGATGTTGGAAGAGGAGCTCAACGACTCTGAAAACAAAGGTCATTGCGACTCATTGACTGAAGTCGCTGAACCAGAGTGCGGTTTGGTTCCAAAGCCAGTCGAGGAGACTTTTGTCTTTGAACAAGAGTCCGTTCAAACCCCATCGGGTTTGAATAATGCTGGCTTGAAGGATCCAAAGCCAAAGTTTGGGACAGTAGAAGGTCTTGATGAGGCGTTCGCTTTATCTTCTTGGCAGTCAGTGAATGGTTTTTTTGGCGAATGTCTCTCCACAGGACTTCCCACACCGATGGAGATTGACGATGACCTGGCTTGGAGTGAAGTCGTAGAAGTCGAAAATCCCATGGAGATTGATGATGATGTTGTCGAGGTAGTGGTGCCTAACGCTATTTGTGGCGAAAAGCTCGTGGCCCACACCTGCAATCCGACGGTTGACGATTTGCAGCACGTCTCCCAGTCTGCAAAGAAGGATTGCAATGCGAACAAGATCCCAACCTGTGTCCCGCAGCAGGTTGTAGACGACAAGATGGAACACGACATGACACGATTGGATGCGCCCATCGCTGTTACTGCGCTGAAGCCTCAGAGTCGCGGTACCAAAAAGTCAGGTGGACTGAAAAAGGGCGGAGAGTCACTTCCTGCGTCTGTGTCTGGTCTGCTCGCCGACGGGGCAAAGAAGGTTGGAGAGTGCACTCCTGCGGTTCTAGGACCAAAGGGCCATTCAAAGACAGCCAAGCCCGCCAGTCAGAGTGGAAAGAAGAAGGCTAAGGACACCGAGGTTGCAACAACGACCGAGAAAGCCTCTGGCTTTCGCGAGAAGCAGCCAAAGGAAACCAAAGCCGAGACTAAGGTCTCCATGGCTGCAAAGTTGAAAGCGCTGGCTTCCGGCGCTCATATGGAGCAGCCAAAGGATCCCAAGGTTGAATCTTCCACCAGCGTTGGGAAACCCAAACGTTCTCTTGTCAAGGGCAAGAAATCGGCAAAGTCTTTCGATGCGCCAACAAACAACGGTTTGTCGGCCGCCGAATTCCAGGCAAAGGGTTTCTAAAATGCCAAAGATTCGGTGCCAGTGAAGCCTACTCCTCGTGCTACATCCAGTAGCAAGAAGAGAAAGCCTAGTTGTGCTTAGCTTTTGGGTTCCATCGGTTGACTTTGGACCTAATTGTGAACGAATGTTGGTCAAGAAACAAAATTTTGCTTTGGCTTGGTTTCTAAAGCCTGGTACTGCATCCAGCAGTAGAAAGGTGGTGGAAACAAGAATATGGCTTCCAGGAAATCCCCAGACAGATAACTCAAGAATGACAATGGCTGTAGTCACCCCCTTTGACATGTAAGCTTTTCTGCGTTGGTGCCGCTGACTCAGGGAGGGTTGGGTAGGCAAAGAGGAACAAGCAAAGTACGCCACAGCGTAATTCAAGTCATGAACCGGTTCAAAGGTCTGCACATTAAGATGCGATCTGTACGCTTCACCAAGCGGACATCTTGTCGGTCGGTTGGCCCTGGAGCCAAGCCGATGCGGTCGGAACCAAAGGTCGATCCTGAAGCTTCTGGTAAGCTTTATGGTGACACTGGAATTCCCAGACCTTTCACAGTACTTTTCCTTGGGACTATCTGCGTGGTGATTCACGTTGGGTCACTTGGTTAAGCTGTAAGGGTAGCCTCTTTTACGTTCGGTTCCTACTGCTTTCAGATTCAAAGGACTGGATTATCGTTTCCCTCTGGGATCGACACCATGCTCCGCCTGTTAGCTTGGTTCTGAGTCTTGGCTTGGCATAGACAGTATAAAGAGAAGGTAGATTGTGGAGGTTTACATATGAGTGTAACCTATGGTGGTACTAGACTGGTTTTCAATCCTGTTTGCCTCTGGTATTTGCCGTTTGTATACATTCGAGGGTGGTGCTTGCACTGCTGTAGGGTTGGCTTGAACTTTTTGTTCGTAGGGTTCTTGTTGACTTCCTCTCAGGTCTGAGGCCGAGATCTGTGAGTGGTGGTTTCTGTACGAGTAGGGCTTCCGGAGTCCTTGATTCTAGGCCGTTTTTGGGCCACGGTGGTCCTGTTGGCTGGTCTGGTCTGGTTGGCTAGATTTCCGGTATTTTTCTGGAGATTGCGGTTGGCTGGGTCTCTGGCCTGTTCGGTACCTGGGTTCTGGGTCTTTGTAGCTTGAGTTTTGTGCTTAAGCCAGGGAGAATGAATACTGTGGGGCACGGTGTTCATTATGTAGTCATGTCTGGCCGAATGGGTTTTGCTTCCTTTCCGGATTCTTTCTTGGGGTCCTTGGAAGGCTATTGTCAGTCCCCTACTTTTTTCTGGTGAGTTCCTGAAGATTCACCGATAGGCTCGGAAAGGTCCTTTTGGACTTTGAGCTGGCTACACCATAGATTGTAGAAAATCTATTGCTGTGGGGTAGACAGTCCCAAGAGGTTTTGGAAAACGAGCCAAGAACATCTGATTTCTATCCAGATTGGCGAGTTTTTTTTCCACACAGACATGACGGTATATCAGTCACTATGATTGCTACTAGTCCTTGTGTCCGGACTCAAATGATGCATACACACGCATGTCCAGACATCCGCAGCTACTTTGAGATGGCAAAACCAAAATTCATCTGCGTAAAAGGATATGCTTCTAGGACTGATCAATTAGGTATCAGTGACTTTGTCAGTCGAACCAAGATAAACTGATTATACAAGAAATTGTCACTGAAGATATAGCGTGGAATTCGCCGATGGTTTCAAGCATCACGCATAACCTGTGGTTAGAGTCCTAGCCACCCTCATTCGAGGAGGTCTCTGATTGATATGGTCTGGTTTATTTACCAGACCAAGCAGGGTGAGCTAGAAATTGTCACCAAAAAAGGCAGGTTACAGTTAGCGACTGGAAATGCGTATAGTCAAGAAACCAAGACCCGAGTCGAAGGGCATTTACGTACACTTTCAGTTGTGAAGGAGAAGCAAGGTTACTTTCGACGGACCTATCCAATCCAGGTCGAGACAAGTGCTTAAAAGCCATGCATTTATGTATATATATAATTTCACGAAAAATTGGGTCCAGTATCAAAGCAAAATTGAACATAAGCATGAAAAAAGTGATATCAACCATCCAAGCATTCAAGCATTCAAACATTCAAACTTTTAAACATTTAAACCGTCAAGTACAAAAGGTTAAAATCAAGTAGGCTGACCCAGAGTCTCGCCATCTCGCTGGGTTGACCAAAAAGCACATGAAGAGTTTCGACTAGGATATGGTTACAACAAGAATAAGTTCCTCATCATCATTCAAGACTATTGGCTCAGGACTACAAGAAGGTATTTGAGATGACCGGGGTTATATTATGGGCCGAGAACACTAGCAGGAACAAGTAGAGGCCCCCAGTAGTAAACGACAGAGCTCAAGGCAGAAGCAATGTGAACCACAAAGCAAGCAATAAGGCAATTTTTCAAGGGTTGTTTTTGTCTCTGGATTTCTTTGTCAGAGATAATATCAACCATTAGTCCGTTTATCCAGAAGATAAGTACTATTTATATACAATATGTCTCGGTACTAATTATATGATATTTTTTCATCTTCTCAGGGCCGCCCTGTGACAGGGCTCGCAATAATACAACCCTTTAGAGAATACCAGAGAGAGCTTGTGAGCGTTGGACTTTACCAAAAGGTAAAGCTGCTCGGTACGCTAGTCGTACCTTTTCTCCCCTCAAAATATTGTACATTGCATTGTATGCCTGTATATATTTAGGGTTCTTGGTGTGGTAAGCCAAGATCTGGTAGCTCCTCTGCCATTCGGTGGTCAAACCCTTTTGTGGTTGACCCCATCGCTGCAAGTTGGCACATTGTTTCTACTGGAAGCTTGGTTGTTTACTGCGGGTGGTTTCGTATACCTCCTGCTGGTGGTCAAGGCCCATTCCGCCCGGTCATCGAAGAGCATTTTGCAGTCCCGAGCCCATCTCTTCAGATGATGATACATATTCCAAGATCCATTCCTTTGCTTACAAAACAAATTCTATCAATTAAGGTATGTTCTTTTGGTCTTTCAAACCTGCCTCATATGTAAATATGCTCCTCGTTTTCTCACTCATTTTTCTCTTTATCTTTTTAAGTCATATTCGGCCTTATCAACTCCAATAATGTGGAAAATTCCGAAGCCTGAATCCTGTGCAAGTATGACAGCATCAAGAACCAAGTCAAGCAAGAAAAATATAAAAAAGATACAAAAAAAATACAAAAAATAAGATACGAAAAAAAGCAAAAAAAAAAAGAAAAAAATTATATTCACAATTATCTCTCTATCTCAAGTCGAAACTCATAGACTAACAGAATCCCTGAAATGGTCAAGCCACGGTTTGCTTATATGTCCAAGTCCAATTCCAAGTCTTGTCCAAGCCCAAGTCCAAATGTCCAAACACTCTCTAAGTACTGTTATAGTACTAGTAATAGCACACACAAGTATACAAGTGGAGAAGTACACATACATGCACACAAACACATACAATTTCTATTTTTCTATTTCTTTCTTATACACACACACACACACACACACACACAAATACACACACACAAATACACACACACATACACATAGTCATAGTCATAGTCATAGTCATAGTCATACAAACATACATATACACACTTATATACATACATATATACATACAAAAGTAGAGGCGCATTTCTATACAAGTCCAAAATCTGGGTTGTATCTCCAAGTCTCAAGGCCAAGTCGATTTCCAAGAAGGGGTCCAATGCAAAATTCCAAAAGCAAGTTCCAAAAGAAAAACCAAAAACCAAATCCGAGGCCTATACTAAGTCCTCCTCTCCAAAAGGATCAAAAGAAATCCAAACTCGAGGCCTATACTAAGTCCTGTAAAAAAACGGGCATATACTAAGTCCTCCTCTCCAAAAGGATCAAAAGAAATCCGAACTCGAGGCATATACTAAGTCCTCCACTCCAAAAGGATCAAAAGAAATCCGACCCTGAGGCCTATACTAAGTCCTGTCCAAAAACCACACAGGCATATACTAAGCCCTCCTCTCTCTAAAAAAAAGCAAAAAAAAGCAAAAAAAAAAAACAAAAAAAAACAAAAAAGAACAAAAAAAAAGAACAAAAAAAAAGAACAAAAAAAAAGCAAAAAAAAAAGATGAACAAACCGGAAGAACTGCATTGGAACCTGGACCTGGATTGAAGCAAAGCTGCGAACTGGAACAAGACTCTGGATTAGGACAAGGTATGAAATCCCCTTATATACATACAAAGCAAATGAAGTCTTTGAACAAAAACAAAAAAAAATGCTCAAAAAAAGAAGCTCAAAAAAAAAACAGAAAGAGCAAAAAGAGCAATACCAAAACCCCCTTCTCTTATTACTATTATGTGAAATTGACTGGACAAAAAAAAAGAAGTAAAAAAAAATCAAAAAAAAAATCAAAATCAAAAATCAAAATCAAAATCAAAAAGTCCAAATTATCCCCTTTACTATGTGTGCTGTGTTCGGACAAAAAAAAATTAAAAAAAAAATCAAAAAAAAATCAAAAAGTCCAAATTATCCCCTTTATTATGTGTGCTGTGTTTGGACAAAAAAAAAAAGCAAAAAAAAAAAAAAAAAAAAAAAAGTCCAAATTATCTTTTTTATTCTCTTCAATATCAAAATCATCCTCTTATTACTATTCCGTGAAATTGACTGGACAAAAAAAAAAGAATCAAAAAAAGAATCAAAAAAACAAAAAAAACAAAAAGTCCAAATTATCCCCTTTATTATTTTTCAATACCAAAATCCTCCTCCTCCTCCTATCACTCTTAGCTTATATTGACTGGACAAAAAAAAAGAAGAAAAAAAAACGGACAAAAAAAAAGATCAAAAGAAAAATCAAATGGACCAAGGAAAAAAAACCGACTGGACTGGACTGGACTGAAGTAGCATGAACTTGACCATCTTATATTATATTATATTTAATTTATATTTATATTTATATTTATATTTATATTTATATTTCCTTTATAAAAATCTTTGAATAATAAATTTTCCCTCATGTCTTTGACATCATATTTATATTTTCCGTCTCTCTTTTTTTTGGTGTCATATATGGAGTTTACTGTTAGAAAGCTCAAAGAAAGATGGACTTTGGAAATAATTTAAGCATGGAAAAATGTAAGATTTTAGTGTGGCTCGTTTTTCTTAATAGCACTCATAGCAAAAAATGTAAACCAGTGATCTTGGAATATTGAACGCCTTTACAGACTTAAACTTTAAGTCTATGACTGGTGTTTCTTTTGTTCTTTTTCATTTGTCTATTAAAAATATTAATAATAATACGTTAAATCAATAAAGGGAATTCTTGAGTATCTTAACATATTTTAATTATTTAATAGAAGTAATTTACAAAAGTGTTAAACCTGTTTAAAAATCATCTCCTTTCGATAATAAGTACTAAAAATTATATTATAAATAAAGTTAAATAGAGAAATTATTGTAATTATCTAATATACTTATACATATCTCCCTTGACTTTCTCAGTATCATTGCTGTCTTTTATGGACCATTTGAGTGTTGTTGTTGTTAAGTTTTTGAAAACATTGGAGAGGATATCAAATTGTGTGGACAAGTTTGAATTATGTGCTCATAATATATAAAAGAATAAACTAAAATATTATAGCAGACAAGGTGGTTATAGGGTGGTCAAAAATGCTCCAGAAAATATATTGGCTGCTATAATACAGGCCGAATTTTAGCAGCACCAGATAACTGAAAACAAAATCATTGTAAATATGCTAAGCTATGGCTGTGAGAAAAACAATCTAAAAACAAAAGACAATTATAACACGCCATGACATGCCATGCCATACCTCAACTTGCTGAAATCTAAGCTTAAATTGTTTTACTCTTCACAACCCCAGTCTCTGTGAGATGGGAGTATTAGTATTTTTAACGGCGCTGTACACAGGTTAACAAGTGATCGAATCCATAGGCGCCTTGTGTAGATCATTTGTATGTAAATGGTGACCATGCTCTTCTTCTTAATCATGTCGCACCCATTAATTTGTATGATTAAAGGTGTGGTAAAAGGTATTTTTGTTACCACTAGTGGTAAAGAGTTTTCTTGCTATTAAAAAGTAAATCGATTTTATAAAAGTGCTCCAAAATTAATATATAAAATTTCCCCCACTTTTTCTTTAATTTTTCTTTGTATTACTTATCAGAAAACTTTGCTATATCAAATTACCTTATTTAAGTGTGTAATAGATTGTTCTTTTTATCTTTTTCCCTTTTTGTAGACCAGAATACGATACGTATTTATTTTTCGGGGTTTCTAGGTTCAAGAACATGATATGGAGACAAACATGACATCGCTTTCTTGCCAATTCTACCCTGCTTCAGTACTCTAACTTCCTCTGCCACGCCACCCCTCCAATAGCTGAAGCCTACGGAATTTATATAGGCCTGCTACAAGTCTTAAGTTGAACAATTAGCAAAATATGGGAAGCACATTTTCGTCTGTCTGGTCTTTGACGAAATATCTTTCATGCCAAGCTGTATAACAGTCATCATTGCACTAAAAATCCGAACTATAGAAGCGGAAGAAGTACTTGCCGACTTATAGCTACCAAACCTTTCATGTTTTCAAACTACCGAATAAACAATACATAGAATTCCCTTTTTTGTAGATGTTTCTTTATGTCTCCACATTTGTAACTGTAACATGATACCGTACATAAATTGCCGCGATATTCATTTAGATATTACATAAATCCAATACGATTAGTAATCCTTGTGTTTGCCCTCGTTTTTTATAAAACTCCCAGAGTGGTTACTTGGTAGTACATTATAATTACAATCAAAGCTCGCTTTTGGGGATTTTATTTCAAGATTCTTTGTCTGTTCCCTGCTAATTATTTCTATATTGAGCACCGAGTTTGTTTCCTATAGTAATGAAATAAAGTAAATAAAACTGTTGCTTAATATTTTAAAAAACGAGGTAAACTACTAATTTTCTTTGATATATATTGACCTATTTGTTGAAAGCTCTGTTCTTAGGTGTCAGGTACTAAAGTATCAAAACATTACCCAAGTTCTGTAATATATTTTGTTTCTGTAAAAACAAGTACTTTATAATTCATTCTTTAGCAATAAAATCCTATAGCTATATGTGATAAATCTTGTTATATACTATATATTCAATTTATTGCTTAATAAATATTCTTTCTTATAGATAGAACTCTTTATTTATATATTTTAATACAAGTTCTTTCTCATAATTGAAGCATTATTGTTGCTGTTATACACAGTTAAATATCTCAATGTAAAGAATTAAGGATAAACTTCCTTAGATAAAATATTACAAAGCTTATTAGAACAATGGTGGCTACATACTAGTTGTAATATTCCTAAAAAAAGGCGGAGTAAGATATAACACTCAATTTAGGTATATTACCGATGGCAGTACAACTTACTTATTTTGTAATCTCAATGATACGCCACAACCAGCCCAATCCTGACATAACAGCCGTGGTAAGAAAAAGAGTAAAGCAATGGTCATTACTTTTGAAGTTCAGATTGATTATTAATCAATGGAGCCTCACATAATTCTGAGTAGGGACTTCAATGGGTAAGACACTGGATAAGCAGCTGGTATAAATACCAGGCAATTAATAATGTCAAAAACACACTTTTAAAAGTATAACAATTTATTTGCAATGACCAAGACTTTTGTTATTACTGGTGCTTCTCGTGGACTTGGCCTGGAATTTGTAAAGCAGTTGAAATCCAAGGGTCATACACTATTCGCTTGCGTTCGCAACCCTAATAGTTCCAGTGAGCTCCAAGCTCTTGCTGGCCAGAATGTACATGTCATTGAACTTGACACAATTAATACAGAATCTGTTGCTGTAAGTGCTGGAAAATATAAAGTAGTTGTAGAACTTGCTTAAATTTACAAGTTATTTGATGGACTTATAATAGGCTGCAGCCCAAAAGATTGCCGAGCTTTCTCCTAATGGAATTGACGTTCTTATAAACAATTCTGGTATTATTGCTGATAGGAATGACACCGTTGAGACCAGGTATGTTTAATTGTTATACACATAAATACAAGAATAAAAAACCTGACTAAAATAAAAATATTATATTTAAGTTCTGGCAAAAGTTACTTGAGCGTGTTTGAGACCAATGTGGTTGGAACATCCAATGTTACTCAAGCCATTTTGCCTTTGCTGCGCAAGGGAACTGATCGTCGTATAATTAACATTTCCTCCGACTTCGGTTCAATCGCTTCTACCGAAGTTGCCACAGTGCCTTCCTACCGTATCTCCAAGGCTGCTGAAAACATGCTCACCAAATTGTTTGCCAATCATTTAAAGGACGAGAGCTTCGTTGTCGTTTCTATTCATCCTGGTTGGGTCCAAACTGACATGGGAGGTAGCGACGCCACACTCACTACACCTCAATCAATTGGAGGTATCCTCAACCAAGTCGAGAAACTTACAACAAAAGACAACGGAACTTTCATTGACTTCCAAGGAGCTTCCTTGCCTTGGTAGAAGAAAAATAAATCGATACACATTGTATTAGAAATAAACACTATACATAGCAAATATTTATTTTCTTTTATTTTTATTTTTATTTTTCGTCTGTAATATATAATTTTATGAGCCATTTAAAGAGTGTTATTTATTTATGCTCGAGTGCCACGGATTTTTTCGAGAAGAGTAACAGCCTCAAGTGCTTTCTTCTCCAAAGCACGAGGGTTGTTAATCAAATATACAAGCTCATCTTGCTTCAGCTCCAAGAGCATACCAGTAACTTTACCAGCAAGGTTCGGGTATTTAGCATGCCTAACATCAAAAAGAATGAAAAAGAAAGTGAAATATCAATATATCTTTTTTATGCACATATAGTTTGGAATGTATTTACTAATGTATACTTACACCACCCTGTAAATGCGCTCTCCGAGCGTTTGTCTTTGGGCTTCGGGAGCCATAGCTGAAAGTATAGCTACAGTCAACTGCTGGGTCACTTGATTGGGTGTAGACTTTTCTTGGGGTTGAACTGACTGAACCGACTGGACTGGCTGAGTTGGTTGGACTGACTGAACTGGCAGAGTAGGAACAATAGGAGCTGGAGGATTGCTGACTATCTGGGATTGGATGGGATCCACAGTAGGGGTAGTGGAGACAGGATGCGACCATCTAGGAGGTCTTGGTGCACCCATCATAGGTTGTGAGTAAGGGTTATTGGGGTTACCTCCATAATACACGGGGCTGTTTGAAATATAGGTAGTAGGAGGTACGAACGGCTACAAAAATAATCGTAAGTAGTTTAGATGTATGTATTATAACCATATCTAAATATTTCACTACTAATATTACCTGTTGAATTTGCTGTCTTTGCGCCTCAAGCTGGCTACGACGATCATCTTTCTTTTGGGCCAATGCGACATAGATGGGCTTTGAAGAGAGCATACATCCGTTCATCTCAGCGACAGCTCTTGTGGCATCATCAGCGGAGGTAAAGCAAACAAATCCAAATCCCTTGGATACTCCCGTCTAAAGACCAGTTAGTCAAACACATACATACACACGTATATATATATATATGTAAGGAGTCATTAAACCCAAGTCTACCTTCTCATCCTTCATGATTTTCGCACTGGTAATTGGGCCATACTTTAAGAACTCATCGCGCAAAATATCATCATCAACATCGTCACACAAGTTTTTGACATAAAGATTAACGCCTTGGTATTTAGCTAGCTTATCTAGCCTGGCTTGTTCGTGCTGTTTGCGAAGTTCATCCTCACGTTCAGACTTTTTTTGTGCTCTGCAAACAAATAAACGTTTGTTGAGATATAATGTGTCGTGCATCTGCTGAACAGCCTTCTCGGCGTCTTCATGATTCTCATAATTGATAAAGCCATATCCTTTAGAAACACCAAAGTCATCACGCTGGATTGCAAGGGACAAGATGGGACCGAATTTTCCAAATTCTTCTTGGAGCTCTTCGTCTTTAATGTCAGGTACCAGGTTCTTTACATATATATTGGTGAACTGTTGCTTGACTTCTTCAACTTTTGTCTCGCGCTCCCTCTTTGATATATAATGACCAACATAACTATCACACAATAAATAAATTATTTATGTCGTATTGATTGATAAAAAAATAACTTACATGACCTTTCCGTATAGAGTTAAGCCATTCACATTTGAAATAGCATTATCAGCAGCTTGCTCAGTCTCATAATGAACAAAGCCATAGCCTTTAGATACATCGCTCTCATCTGTTACTACTTTACAGGAAAGAATGTTGCCGTATTTGGCAAATGTATCATGAAGTTCCTTTGTGCCAACAGTAGCATCAAGGTTTTTTACAAATACGTTTCCACTTCCAGCCTTCCGTTTTGATGGATCTCTTTGAGACCACATAATACGACAAGGCTTTCCTTTTATAGTTGTGTAATTTAAAGCACTGAGAGCCTTTTCGCCTAAAATATTTCGTGTATTTTAAGTACTCGTAATAAAATCTATCTCAGGAAAGAAAAGGCTTATACCATCAGCCTGGGTCTTGAAGTTCACGTATGCATAACCCAAGCTACGACGAGTGATCGCATCTCTACATATGCGAACACTTTCAATAGGGCTGACTTTGCTAAATACTTCAAACAAAGTGGCTTCCTGGACGGATGGATCGAGTTCACCAACATAGAGAGACGATGAGCTAGGAGTGAATGTAGATGTGCTTGTGCGTCGAGCCTCTCCCGATGCAGCCTGAGCTGCTGCTATTCCCCTTTGTTGCTCTAGAGAAAGGGCTCGTGGACCAGAAGTCTCGTAAGAGTAGCTGGCTCGAGTAGGAGAGGTAAAGCTCGACATGGTACAAGTCAAAGATGCTAAACAAGTCAATCAGTTGTACACACAAAGTTTTCGTTCAATTGCATAGTCGTGACTGGCATTTACAAGGAGAGAAAATGATGTCTTTAATGAATTGATAGATTGTATAGCTAACAAAAATAGGTTGGCCGACTAAAAAAAAATTGGTCCAATAAAAAAAAAATTGGGATACTCTCTTCAAAGTGAATAGGACAAGCAAAATGGAATATCTTTTCTTTATTTAAGTAATATTCACTTTCAGTTTTTGTAATCCTTTTTCACAATTTAGACATCTTTGCTAGAACGATAAAGAATGGTTTATCCAACTTTGACAGTCTTCTTTGCTGACATGTATGGATGCGTTAAAGATACGTTCGCTGATCTTGGTGTTTTGTCTGACTAAAGATGGATCGTAGTTGACGACATTCTTTAACTTGGGCCAAAACTCCTCAATGGGGTCTAAGAATGGAGAGTATGGTGCCAAAAGGACTAGATATCCTCGCTGCACCGCCTAATCATTAACTAAATTTGACTTTCTGGCAATCTAGGAGTTAACTTCGATACGTCTTTTGATGACAGTCGGTGTGGACAGACTAAAAGTTCAAAAAAAAGGGCAAAAAAAAGGACAAAAGTAATAATTAAAACTCTCGCCCAATAATATGACTTATGTTGCTCTTTTTTGCCCTTTTTTGAACTTTTAGTCTGTCCACACCAAATATATTCATCGTATGCACTAACTTTACTACTTTGTCCCCACACTTTGTGTTCATCTCTCTCTCTCCAGGCCCTTAACTCCTATTATTTTAAGAGCTATAGTTCATATCTAAGCAACTTAAGAATGAAATACTGTCTCATACGAAAAACAAATCCTGTGTATTCAATTAATAGCAGTTTGCGTCCTAAATTTAGACTTGACAATAAAGAAATAATAATTAGGCACATATGCACTATATCAATAGCCAGTTATGCAAAAGATCATAAGAAGTTGTTGTCATTAGATTGTGACGCAATCTGGTTTGATATCTTACTATTTATTGACCCGCTTATGCGTAGCATATTTCTCCCTTTCTTTCTCCTAATTATACTCCCACATTTTGACAGCACCAACCGGTAAGTAATCCCCATCCACTATTTTTTGCAAAGTACAAAAGAGAATCTTTATACAAATATTCTGTATCCTTAGGGACCAGATAGAATTATTTCATGCGGGCAAAAAGGTTTCTCTGAATGGAGTAGAAGATGGCTGGCACCCACAGCCTGGAACAGATACTGTATATGATTACGAGCCTTAGGGAGGTCATTATTAATAGACAGACGGCGTTGGGCCATCATTTGACATTGATGTTCGAGTTTTTGCCTAAGACTCATACGGAAAGCCTCTTTCTGAGCAGGGTGCGAGGACAAAGGGAACCCAAAGTATTGGGCGGCTTCTCCCTAGTTACGATCGTGTCTGCAACAAATATCGGCAGTATCCAGGACGGAACCTCAGTCAGGCATGCCACACTTGTTCCAGAAATTGTCTGTTCATCTCATGCAATACAGACATCTATTAAGAGATCCCAAGCTCAACTGCTTGAATTGAAACGGAAATTCGAAGAATGGGAAGATATGGCTCTCACCTACACTTCCATTACCACATATTCTGCATCGTCACCTTCTCTATATCAAATGGGTTTTCCGTTTGTTTTGCAGTTCAAGGCAGTCAGAATCGAACAAGGAGGGGAGCCTATGGACTGGAAATTATGTATGAAAAAAGAAAGCAAAAATGGTTTACTTTTAAGTTATAAAAATATCAATACTTTAAAAAATCAGCATGAAATTTGAAAAATCACAACAAAGAAAGAAATAAATAGCGTTTTTTTTTGTTCTCTTTCATATTGTCCTTTACTTTTTTTTAATTAAAGCATGAACATTAGCGAAAGTCAAGTCGTTCCTATTATTGTCCAATCTTACATGGATTGGGAAAGGCCTGCGGCTATAGTAGCAGAGGGAAAATTGATAGAAAAACAAAAGGAGTCTAATACGAAAGAAACTTCGACAGTTGTTTCAAAAGCAAGGGGGTCTTAAATAACAAAAAACGAGCCAAAAGTTGTGAACCTAGTCAATTCGATGCAAGGATTTAAGCATATGTCTATTAGAGAAGCAGTTTCTAAAGTTGGACTGTCAAAGTCAAAAGCGGCACGCAAAATCAAAGAATAGAACGAATTGATAAGTGGCTCTGACCAAGGAGATATTCCTGACACCTTCAACAGCAAGGAACACAAAGGTCAAAAAGAAATTTTTCAGTACATACATACTGTGTTTATTTTTTAGTTGTTCATTAACGAGCCAACCCTAACGGTAGAAGCTGTTACAGATCAACTTTGTGGGACTTTTAAGGACATTCAAATTACTTCAAGGTCAATAGCAACTCATATGAAAAACAAGTTCCGTCTCACTTATAAGCGTATTGTGCCACAGTACTTTGCACTAGATAGCAAAAAATATGTTATCAAAAGACATATCGAAGTTAGCTCCTGGATTTCCAGAAAGTTAGATTTCTTTAATGATTGTGTGTTTATTGATGAAACCGGATTTAACAGGAACATGTACACCTCATATGGATGGAGTGTGGTGTGGACTCCCTGTAAGATCAAAGTTGAAACAAAGGGACCGAATGTGAGCATATTAGGGGCTATTTCTAAAGACGGAATTATAACTCTTTCACGAAAGAAAATCATCACTACAGCTGTAGCTGGAAAAATACAGCAATTGGGCGATACTCGAGTTATAAAGAAGAAGAATAAAAAGGCACAACTGGTAATGCTTTTCTAGAATTTGTAGAACAAGTTCTCACCACAATTGATACGGGTGGTATGAAATACAAGTATTTGGTGCTTGATAATGCATCCATACGCGAGTCAAATTTAGTTAATGATTAGGTGGTGCAGCGAGGATATCTAGTCCTTTTGGCACCATACTCTCCATTCTTAGACCCCATTGAGGAGTTTTGGCCCAAGTTAAAGAATGTCGTCAACTACGATCCATCTTTAGTCAGACAAAACACCAAGATCAGCGAACGTATCTTTAACGCATCCATACATGTCAGCAAAGAAGACTGTCAAAGTTGGATAAACCATTCTTTATCGTTCTAGCAAAGATGTCTAAATTGTGAAAAAGGATTACAAAAACTGAAAGTGAATATTACTTAAATAAAGAAAAGATATTCCATTTTGCTTGTCCTATTCACTTTGAAGAGAGTATCCCAATTTTATTTTATGTCAGCTGTAATGGGTTTGACCAAAAGGTCTAATCAAAAATTCCTCCTGTGCCACCTTTCACATTCTTAATTACGTCTCTATTTTTTCTCTTTTCCTTGCCCTTTACCAAGTTCCGTCGTACGAGTTGCTTGTAATTTTGCTTATTTCCTTGGCTTCGTAGTGCCTGAGATACACGATCTTTGATGGCATCATCATCCAAGGATGACTTCTTCTTTTTTGGCTTGGGTTTAATATCACGATGTGCTTTGAAGTCTCTGTTATTTGTTGCCTGGGGAGCATCATCCTTATCATCTTCACTTTCATCCGAGTTTTCGGAATCCTCTACTTCCTCCTCCTCCTCTTCTTCTTCCTCTTCCACTTCAGGCTCGGTATTTCCAAGTCTTAAACTACGCATTTGTGCTTGGACCTTATCTTCCTCTGTGAGTGCAGGCTCTGCCTTTTCCTCTTCCTCTTCCTCTTCCTCCTCATCTTCCTCTTCAGAATCGACTTCTTCTCCTTCATCACCGGACTCAGCCTTGAACTCTTCTTGGAACTAAAATAATACAAAATTAATTTTAAGATGACTTTATTGTCTAAATTTGTTTTCCTAGACTTACTTGTTCTAGTTCTTTTTGCATCTTTTTGGTGAAGCCACTTGCGGCTACCTGAACATCTAAGCTGAATTCTCTGTTGACATCGAGTTTAAACTTGGGATATAAAACACTTTCGTAACCAAAACGACGTCGGAAGAATGTACGGATACAGTCAACATCACGGTCAAAGTAACTAATTTTTTTAAGAAAAAGTTTAAGTTTATCAGTTAATGCACAATAAACTCTATTGATATTACTTACTATTCGGCATTAATATGAGAGGTAGAAACCATTTGGGGGAAATCGATGAGAACAGGTTCGCCATTGCTTCGGATCAAAATGTTGAATTCGTTGAAATCACCGTGGATCAAACCGTACTGAGCCAATTTAACAATCATATTCATCAACTCTGAATACAGCTTTCCGGGGTTTCCGACCTCATCCACTTGTCGCCTACATTGAAAGTTAGGGTATTTGTCAAAATTGTTTTATATCCTAATACTTACAGAGGAAAAGCATCAATGAGCTCCATAACAACACAATGTCTGCTGTAATCAATTGGCTCAGGGACGGGGAAGCCGTTTTCATGAAGCACCTTCATAAATGCAAACTCTTTCATTGCTGCAAGACGAGACATGTACATCCACGAAGCCGACTTTCGGTTCTGAAGATAATCTCTCTTTGATTTGATAGTACGGAAGGACATACGACCAAGTCTAAGATAATCGCCCAGTTTGCTTAGTTTCATACTCTCTGCCCTTATTATATTGTGTTATCATTTTTTATACCTTTGCAACTTCAATACATGCTGATTGTCCTCTTCATCGGCAACTAGATAAATATCTAATGATATGATAAATAATAAGTTAGTTTAGTTATATTTCCAGATTTGATGTTAAATGTTAGGCTTACCTGACTCCTTTCCAACACCGATTTGATTACCAACAGAGTAGACGGTACCTCTCTTGGCAAAAGTTTTCAAAGCGAGGTAATCGTATCCACCATAAGTTAGTCTATAGCCGTCATCTTTAATAATAATATACATATGAGTATAATATATATATATATATATATTAGTTAAGGTTCTATTGTTTTTTTTTTAGTTTGTTAACAATGCTTACAGCTAGAATTCTGGACTCGGGCAATTAGCTTTGTCTTTGCTAAATCTCCAACGATCTTGTGACTACCACCAGTTCTGAGTTGCGCAATCTGAGCAATTAGAGAAGTAGGTACTACTTCATGGTTCTTAGATCCCATCTCGACCTGTCAAGAAAAAAAAAGTTGATAATGTAAGCATGTCTAGCTTTTTTTTAAAAAAAGAAAAGGAAGTCTCAGTTTAGTTGAATGTTTACCGCAGTCAAGACTCGGAATTCGTCCGAAGACATGTATCGAAGTGCCTTTGCATCGAGCTTCATTGTATAAACTGATTAAAGTTGGCTGACTTGCTGTTGCTCTTTTTTTGTCTGCAAAAATGCAGAACAATGGGACTGCTTACTCGGAAAGACTGTCACAACAATCCTATTGTTCGGTTCTGGTGATGCATTTTCAAAACCTGTGCTTCTAACTTGATCAATTTTTGATTATATGTACATGCCAAACTGTACATAATTAAGGGTTGAATGAGTAAATCATACTTTCAGTCTCTTGATAGACTTTGATTGATATTGCAATAATTTTTTTTGAGAGGACTTCTTGTACGGCAATTAGTATCACTTATCTTTATTTTATTTTCGTAAATGTCTTTGAAATAGTTTATTAAATGTTTAAATATTAGAATTCAATAGCGTTCAAGTTGAATTGGGGGTTTATTCTGTGCCAAATATTCTGTCAAATTAATTTTTAATGTAAGGGGAGAGTAGTTGACCAACATAGATAGCTTCTACGAGCGACAAAAAGTTTCCCCTCACTGCCCTTTGACAGAATGACTACTCCTTTTTATTTTATTTTTACTTGGGAGGTGAGAAAGTGACTAGATTATATCAAGGTTCTTCTATACATGATTTTCACAAGAAGTGTTCCCAATAAATTATAAAATAAAGTTTCAGGCCATTCATTATTGGATTTGGTTTTTTCTTTTAGTATTATGCTCATTAGATCGCATAAATCTTATTTGAATTTCCAAGAGTTGGTAAATTAAACAAACAAATTACGCAAATTGACTTGTGAATACTTCTGTTAAAGGTATATACCAGTTGATGTTCTTTAGAACATACTTTTTTGTTCGTTTGAATTCTACGACTAATTGATATTTCATGCTAATATAACTATACTAAATTTTCTCCTGCCTGTTTGACGAAGAAATTTGTGCAGAAAGACTTGGTTTCTAGAGAAATGCCTAGGTAGATTTGTAATTTATTTTTGCCACGCTACAGTAAATCAAATTATAACCCCTTTGTTTCTTTTTTATACTTTGTATACGGCATATGCCTACTTTATTTTCAGGTACAGGTTTCAATAGAATCGAGAACTATATTTGATCATCGCAAACCTGCGAGGATCGAATGATATACTGCACAAATAAAGCACATACTAAATAAATAAGCAATTTATAGTCACCAATATGTATTTGACAATATTATGGTCCCTATATAAATTCTGCCTGCAGTATAACATATTGATGGAATCCAAACTCTAGATTTTGATCCAAGTATTCACACAAAAATCAAAGGATCTTTAATGTAGAGTGGCGTCAGCGACTCTCAGAACCAATGGCAACATATCCCTCAAGATTATCAAACAAACAAAAAACAACCAAACAACCAAAAAAGATATAGAAAGAGAATAAAGATTTTGAAATACTCTCAAAAAACCTTCTGTTGCTAAATAAGAGACAGTTCATCTCTACATGGTACGAACCTTTATTTTACACAAAAAGTTTTGTTATAAATGCTTGGGAAAATTTTTGAACTAAATTCTAATCTGACAATCTGGGACATTTTGGTATTCTTTTTTCTTTCTTTTTTCTTTGAGAAATTAATTTCTCGATGGCTTAATTTGTCTTCGTTCGGCCGTTGTTGCCCGAGTGCAATCTCGCCCCTCTCATTATTCACTTTGAGCCTTCAATATCAACATAATTATGTGAGGATCGTTCTTCTTATTCTTGAACACAAATATTCAGTCTGGTTTTTACCTTGAATTTTTACACTCTATTTTGTTGTGCACCACTACTTCCCCCCCCCCCCCAATAAAAGGATTTGTTGACAATTTTTAACAGTACTGTAATATATGGCATTTTAAAATAAGAAAAAGTGTTTCTTGTTCCTGTTGATGACGATAACTGTATAGTAGAGGATAATCTTATTGAATAAACTTCTTCAGGTCAGAATTACTGTAGCATAGCATAGCAGAATCAGATTATATTATAGCCTACTCCACAGGAACCTGACTTAAAGCTCAATTTTTTATAAAGTACCTCTTCAATTCCTCTTTCTTTCAGTACTTTTTGGGTTCAACTGATCAGAACGTTGATGTTTTTCGTGTCCGCTTACACGAGTACCGTGTGTCCTTGATTCACATAAGATATCTTGTAGTTATTCCAAGTTCCCTTTAACACAGAAATATCTGGAACACACTTCTTTTTATTCGTTACTCAAGACTAATAAATGATGGTACAATATAGACTCTTTTGACTTTTTAGTCAACCATATTCACCCAATTAATGTGATGTGTTACTTATTGAGGAAGATTATTCCGAGATTTTTAAAGGTTTAGAAAACCAGTCAAGTCAAAAAGTGGCTCGGACCATAATTAAAAGAGCAACGGTACACAGTGACCGGGCCTATATGATAGATTTGAATCGTCCTTGAATACACAAACACAATCATCAAATCACAGAAATAAATACTTTAATTATTTATTTATTTTTCTTTTTTTTTTTAAAAAAAAAAGCACCATTTGCACCTAATACTATTGAATATAAGAAAAAACCGAAATACTGAATGTAAGATCCTACGCAAGAAATAAACATGGTTGCCTGCAACGATAGGAAATGAATATAATATCGATAGTTAAACTTATAGCTGTTATAGTTAGCATATTACTTTTCAGGTATATCTCAGTTTACTATAAATTTAGGTTTTCTTAAAATAAATGTTTGATTTGTAGATTGGACCTAATCTTATGCACCCTTAATAGCCTGTGAATAAATCTCACGCATTTTGTTAAATCTTGTAAGCACCATATGAATATACAGATATAAATGGCACGAAGAGTTTGTGTAAGAATCAGAGGTAAGACAAAAGAAAATAACCAACCTACACCATACATCTTCTAATGGTCCATGCATCTTATGCAAACCAAGAGTCAAGCTCTCCCTCATTTACCAATGTATATATATATATATAAATTACTGAAGCTATGATATTGAAACAGATCCCGAGATATTGTTGGATAGCTAATACAGATAATAAATGCTAGTCATAATTTATAAGCTCATAATACAAGTTAAGTCTATCTAGATTTTCTGAGACTTCGGCAGGACGTTCTCTAGTTTATAAAAGTCAACGAGTTATTCTATGGGAATAATGTCATTCTAAGTATGCCTTACCGTGAATGTTCTCGGTAGCTTGTTGCTTGTGTGGGGTAGTAAAGCCAGCCCTTATACCTTTTCCAGCGAATAATGTGTCGCATAAGTGGCTGGTGTGAAGAAAGGATAGAAAGGGAAAACCACGAGGAATTAATTGGTGAATCAACAACAGGCTTTATCTCATGTTACCAAAATAAAAAACATAAGTGAATGTCTCACGCTCAAGGTATCCAGCTGGTGTTTTAGTAAAGATCCTAGTGACCCATAGTTTATGAGCAACAAACACAAAATGCTGGACTATGTACCTATCAGAGTTATCAAGAAGTATTCCAATAATCTCCATTTAGAGCAAGACATGAAGTAGCCCACAATTATCCACACAATTGAAAGCAATTCCATTACAGTACTTTTATGAGCTATGTTATTAGGGTAAAATCAACAGATAAAACATGAGTCTTAATCCTTTATCAACTTTACTTATGTAGTATACCTGCCCACTCTGCCATGAATTGGGCTAATTGACGCATTGGCTCAATAATCACCAGAATTTTACTGTGTACGGTTCCTATATCTTGCTGCAAAGAATGTACCTGCGTTCCAGTATCATTTAGCATCTGTAAGAGACTGTTGTTTATGTGGGATACAGAATTATGCCAGTCATGCGATATCTCCCATTGGATCACCTAGAACACACACACACACACACACACACACACACAAAGAAAAAGTTCGAACCATAAGGGCAAGTATATGGCAGATTTTTTTTATTTCCTGTTCTCCGCTAAACCGACCTGCATTTGATGCCATGCCTCATGAGACTTATTTTGCATCAGGAGAGAATGACTGAGGCTTGTATTCAATTGACCCAGACGTGCTTCCACTTGAAAAAAAGCCTATTACGGAGAACTTACTCTCTTAATAGGCAAAGTCTAAAAATAATAGTTTTTCGTAAAATGTTTACCGATTCAAGCATAGTTCCCATGCCAAATATAATTTTCTCTAGTCGTCTCTGGCTTGTGTTTGCAAACACATTAACCAACTCTTCTTGGGTCCTCAATGCATATTCAGCGTCATGTTGGAGAAGTACAATTGAATCGGAAAGATTCTGGACACCTTTAGATGCTCTTTGCCGAACACCCTAAGCGCCAAAGGTTGTCAGCACAATAAAAAAAAGATACAAAGAAAAGCTCTTACTTACTTCTATTTGTTCCAGCTGTTCTCGTAAATATTGTTGGGATTTGCGTATAATTCCAAAGTTTTCCATTTCTTCTTGACGCCAGTTGACCAGTTGTGCTCTCTGGTCTCGTAATAAATCGTAGTTTTGGAGCTGATTGTCAGCAATTTCCTTTCGTAGTTTTTCCAATATATCTGCATGCAAGTCAATAGTATTGATCTAAGCTATACCAAGATATAAAACGTACCTCTTTCGATAGGATAGCGAATGGCAAAACACATGGAGACTACTAGGTCTTAATAGCCATAGAATCAAGATTACTGTGTCTTTCAGCTTACCAACATCACGAAAATATCCTTGTAGGAGTGGACCAAACATACATTAGACAACATTCTAGTAATCTAGGCTTCTTACATACCACTGTAGGATGTCCAGGTCTGTGGGGTGCTAGCTAATTTCCTATTGATGTTTTACAATAAAATAAAGGGATACTAATTAATTATATTTGCGCGTCTTGTACTCTAGAGATTTTATTACATGACACATTGATGTGCACGGGCGTCTGTACCATCGTCAATAGAATTACATTCGGGAGGTATAGGAACATTTGCTGTAGAAAGTTCGCATATTGTGAGCATCAAGGCATCTATATTAACATAAACAATGAGTACAGAGTATCATGTTTGTCTTGGTGTATTATACTAGCAAATTACATTTTATCTTGCCATTTTCTGAAACTGAAAGTGATTCACAGCCATCTTTTAGTGTTAAAACAGCTCTTTTGAAGCAATTTGGCTCCTTTGCCTTTAGAGCCAAAAGAATTTCTTAATTATTAAATAAAATTGGTTACAGACTTCGTTATCATAGGAAGAGCACAAGAAATACGGTTCTTACGAATCCCATGGTCCATTGCCCTCTTTTCTTCAGACGGCGAGACAAGAACGGACCGGAGATGTTCTGTACAATATATTGTTCTGAATCAGTCAGATGCCGATTTCCCTTTTCTTTTAAGATAATTAACCTTGTGAAGTGGCCTGTGTGCCTGAGATAAAGCCCTTGGGTTGAAAAAGAAAAGGGTGTTTCCAAGCAGTGGCTACGGTACATATCTGCACATAAGCTAGGACTGATATCAACAGGATGTGCATTGGTGTTCCAGATCTGAGACTATAGACAACAAGTTGAGTCAATTGATAGTAAACAGATTTTTTTTCTTATCTTCTGTTACTATTTATTATTACTATTATTATGGACCGTCACTACAAGGATAAATGATGACGAAGGTGGCAAAGAAGGGAATTGAGATGTGGGAGTTCAAGACAACTGCCGTCGTCAATGACAGGCTCGTGGTACCCCTGTGTACTTGGTCCCCTTCTATACTTTTATAATTCTTTTCATTTTTATGTAATAATCGTGTGTGCGTGTGTAATGTGTAAATACATTAACCAAAAGGGCCTTTTATGAAAACCATATCTATTGCCTTTTAGATTACAAATAATAAACGTTTGTACAATTTTCTTAAAAAAAAAGTTAAAATAAAAGTAAAAAGATGCATATTCTGTAAGAGTAACAACTATTATGTTTGTGTGTGTGTAAAACGGGAATACAGAGGCTGACCATAAGGAGTACGCAGGAGACATGCCCAAAGGGAGAAACAGGAGATTTTCCTAGGCACATTTTGTTCTTTTTTTTTTGTTCTTCCTATTTTTGAAATAGAGCCACAACGCTTGTTGTATATAAAACAAACCTCATTTCTTCGTCCTCCCTTTCTTTCTTCCGCTCTACTTAAATGGCCTCCCTTCAACGACAACCGTCAAAAAAGCAACGCAGTGAACCTGTAAGCTTATTTTATATATTACTTTACAATTGCATGCTCACAATGCAATTGTATTCAATTTAGATACAGCACCCATTGCAAATCACAATTCCAACACCAGCATCAGCAACAACAACAAAAACAATAATACCACCACCACAAGTAGCAGCTACAACAGCGACTATTTCAAACCATGCCTCCTGCGAATCAGCTTCTTTACTGGAGGCATTAATGTGTGAACCAATAGACTATGAATTCCTCGCTGTTGACCAAACTTCTCACCTCTCGCCCGAGGTAAAGACTTTATTATTTGAGTACTATACACACGTAGCTGACTTTTTGACTTATCTAGGTAGTACAGTCTTTGGGATCTGTGAAGCAAGTGTGCTTGGTTGCACTTGATTCGTTATTAAGGAAGATCGTATTGGAAGGGTCGGGCGGAATGCGCGTGGGCCGGGAGATGCGTCGTTTGTCGGACTCGTCGTTGCAGGAGCGCCGGTCAGTGGACGGCGCTGGGGATTTGCTGGGCTCGATTGCACGCTACACAACACGAATTACACATGCAGAGCCAGAATCAACACAGACAACCATGATCAACATCAAACGACAACTCGACTCTCATCAAGTATTGCTTGTTGACGTTAGCACGGATTATAATCTTTGCTGTGCTCTTGCTGCTTTACTCAACGATATCTATCGGATGCTGGAGCTCGGCCACGTGGATACACAGACCAATATCCCATTGAATCACAGCAGCGACAATGTCTACTTACAACTACAGGAAGAGGTGTCCGAGTTCCAAAAGAATCACGCATCATGCCTGGTCGCACTAGAGTACGAAGATTCAAAAGAAATGACAGTCCTTTGGAGCGAAATCGAGCGTCTCATGCACGCTGTAGACCGCATTACAAAATCCATTCGTTCTAACCCACCTCCCGCATACAACGATTTACCTCCTACAGAAGAGCCTCCGAGCTATCCTTCTGGAGAAATGCGTAATACCCCCAGGGAAAAGAACAAAAGCTCGCCATTGGGTGAAAAGACACAGCGCGAATTAGATAATCTACTAGAAGCTATCGATCGCCTTTCCAGTGTAGCACCGAGACTAAATAACCAACGAGTGACCTTGACAGAAAGACAAGCAAATGAATTAGCCATGGCCACTGTTAGCAAGGCAGTCGAGCGCCTTTCCCGCGGACGTCTGGACGATCAACGAGCCCATTTACCCCAGAGGCATGATCTTCTCAAGAATCTTATTCACCAAATCAATAAGTCTGCCGCCCGAACTTTGGATAATCAACGAGTTCACATGGGAGACGCTCTCCAGAAAAGGATAGAAGTAGCAAAGGTGACAGGTGTCCTAAATCGCATGGACCGTGGCCGCCTCACTAATCAGGTAAGCAGTGGGTTTGTACCACTTAAGATAACAACATATTCACATTTGTGTTTCTAGGACTGGTGTTCACCCGAAGAGATATTATTGCAGGAGATGACTACCATGACTGACTTGCTGGCCAAGTCTCTCCACCGCCCACAACTCACAAAACAACGGTACAGCCTGCCAGCTATGAAAGAACGCGACATGATGAATACAGACAATATCTTCCGTAAGGTCCCAAAAGACATTCAGGAAGACACAAGAGATGAACTAGCTTTACTACTGGATACAATCTACAAGGCAAAACCTCAGTTCGAGAACCAGAGGGCGTCTTTTAGCTCTCGACAATCCTGCCTAACTTCAATTGCCTAGCTTCAATTACTCAAGTTCACTATTATTTCCTCTCTTCTAGATATCCATGCATTTTATATCTCTCTATTTCGCTCTCTCAATCTCCCTTTCTCCCTCTCTATTCATTATTTTCTGCATCCCGTAGCCAAACTACTTCTTTTTCTTTAAGCGACTTGACCTCAAGCGTTTGTAGTCTCATTAAACCCTAACCTCCTTGTTCGAGGTTCCAGCTTGCTGCCTCCAAGTAAAAAAAAATATTGACTGAATTTGAAATACTCTTTGTGGCCTGGCAAAATTAAGCTGGTACGACAGGATGTCAAAACCATCCTCTTGTGTCGTACATCACTCCATATACCTTTGGAGGGTTGTAAAGAAATAAGAAATAAGAAATAAAGTCAATCAACTTCTTTGCAATGTCAATGCAAATAGCGCGGAATTCAATTTCAAATGCCGTGACCGTTATGTCTCCATTTGCTCACAGACTACCTTAGACCATTTCCTTTCAAATACACATCCATACACCAACAAGATATGGCAGATCTCGAAGACCTCAATAAGCCCTTTGGTAAACACATCTCTGCCGTCGCAGCATCCATCCATTCCATATACAACATCAGTTCGCTAAAGGATCATTTCAATTAGATCCCTTTGCCGAAGTTGAAGAAGAACAGGCCGGCGCTGTCAAGCAGACCAACTATCTCCGTACGTACGATCATCCCGTGCACGACCCCAAGACGCTGGACTGTCATACTTAATATTTCTTTTTCTAGATCTTCGAATTCAGCAACGTAACGGTCGTAAGACTCTTACCACACTTCAAGGTCTTCCTGCTGAGATCGACACCAAAAAACTCCTCAAGGCTGTCAAAAAAGCATTCGCCTGTAATGGAACTGTTGTAGAAGACGAAGAGCATGGAAACATTATCCAGATGCAGGGTGATCAACGTCTGAAGATGGCAGAATTCTTGATCCAAGAAGGCATTGCTGCAAAAGCAGATATCAAAGTCCACGGTTTCTAATTCAATTTTTTTTGTGAACACACTATACGTGTTTGCGTGTATAATCTGTACAAAGATCAAAAGCATTTTCTCTTTTTTTTTTATTAAATCACAATACAAAAATAAAACTACAAGTTTTGAAGAAGAATGATTTCCAAAATTGTTTAAATGCTCATTCCATTAAATGTGTCTGTCTAACTGTCAGTTTCGTCAGTCAGTCTGCACAAGGATTATTTTTTTGTGGTTTAGGTGGCTTAAAGCGGCAAGTCTGTCAAACGGCCCTCCACCCAAACCTTTATACTTTTTTCTTTTTCTTTTTCTTCTTCTCCGCTTGACTTGACTTTACACCTCATGAATCTTATTGCTGTTGATACTGAGCGTAATTCCTCTGTGGAATCTGATTCAGTGTCGTCTGCCTCACCTGTAAGAATTTAAGACAGTATAAAGTCCATATCGTTTTCTTTTTTCTTTCTTTTTTCTTATCGTGTTTATCAGGTATCGACTTCTCAGACAACTCCTGCTGTCATGAGTGATCAGGAAATAGATATTATTGATGACGAAGAGAAAATCACCAACGAAATGATCAAGGTTGAAGAGGAAATGTCGCAAGTTACTGTAAAGGAAGAAGAACAACGTATTGAGGAAGCTGTAAGTAAAAGCCGTGTATATTATACTTTCTCAGGCACATACGCACATATAAAATATTTGTTCAAACATCTTGAAATATATACATATTTATATAACTTGGATATATATATAAATTTAAACAGGCTCAAGTTCAGTTTGACACGACTATTAAAGAGCAAAGAATGAAGCGTTTGAACTTCTTACTGGAAAAATCTGGCGCCTATGCTACTATTCTTGGTCGCAAGATGGCAAAACAACAGGAAGAAGCACGTGAAAAAGCGGCTAAGATTGATGCTGCTAATGAAGCTAAGAAGGCTGGAAGTGTTCAGGATAAACCTATTAAGGAAGCAACCAAACCTAAAGCTTCTGCAATTAATCTGCGTAAACGAAAGATTAATGATGAGGCTGATTACCAATTGGGAGAGTATATCAATGAAGATGTATGTTGTGAGAATGAGAATATTAAATATGACACAGAATATCAAAAAAAAACTACAGTATGTAGCTGGTTTAATTAAAAAAAGGGTATTGTGCGTGTGTGCATATGTGTTTTTAGGATGTTAAAAGACGTAAGCAAACGGATGATAATGTCAGTAAAGCAATTCAAGAAGATAGTGGACGTGGAACCGTACCAAGTGGCCAAATCAAACCAACAATCTCTGCCAGACAGCCAGCTCTTGTGACCGGTGGTGTATTGCGTGATTACCAACTTGCAGGTGTGGAATGGTTGACTAGTCTGTGGGAAAATGGTCTGAACGGTATTCTGGCCGATGAGATGGGTCTAGGAAAGGTATTATAAAAACTGGTTAAGAGCAAGTGTAAAAACCAAGAAAAAGAAGCGTTGACCTTTGTATACACAGACTCTTCAAACAATCAGTTTTATTGCTCATCTCAAAGCTATGAATGTGTCTGGCCCTTATCTGATTGTCACTCCTTTATCAACTCTTGCTAATTGGGTCAACGAATTCAAGAGGTAAACAGAATCATATGAATTGGTGTTTTGCTACATAAAGTTAAATCAAACAATGACTATGAATATGTAGGTTCACTCCTGAAATCCCTGTCCTTTTGTACCATGGTAGCAAGGAAGAACGTCAACATATGATTAACCGTAAGATGCAAAAGAAGAAGGAGACTTTGCGCGAGTTCCCTGTTATTGTTACAAGCTACGAAATTATTATGAATGATCGTAAACATCTCCAACGCTACAACTGGAAGTACATTGTTGTTGACGAAGGACATCGCATCAAGAATTTGAATTGTAAACTTATTAAGGAGCTCAAGACCTACTCCAGCGCCAATAGACTGTTGCTTACTGGCACACCGTTACAAAACAACCTGGCTGAATTATGGAGTTTGTTAAATTTTCTGCTCCCTGATATCTTTGACGATCTTGATATGTTCCAATCCTGGTAAGTGGTCAAGTATATTTGATCTACATCATGCATTAGTTAATGTATGGATGCATATGTGTACCCTTGATTAGGTTTGATTTTTCTGATATCAACCAAAAGAGTGGTCAAGATCGTATCATGAAAGAGGAAGAAGAGGATAACATTGTGACAAGTCTGCATACTATCCTTAAACCTTTCTTACTCAGACGTCTCAAGACTGATGGTAGGTTGTGGCAAGTTTATTAATAATGATGTAATTTTAATATTTGACCCTTTTGAATTTAGTTGAGCGTTCTTTGCCAAAGAAGAAGGAGTATCTCCTATACGCCCCATTAACCCAACCACAAAAGGACCTTTATGATGCAATTCTCAAACGAGATCTTCGCGATTATCTTATCAAGCGAAAGACCAACACTAATGATGAACCCAATCCTAAAGAATTGACTGAGGAGAAGTCTGAGGAAGAAACCCAAAGATCTAAGCGTCAGTCTGATAGAGGCTCAAAAACAACCAGCTACAAAGAACAGTCTGACCGGGATTTCTTTGCCCAGCAAAGCAAGGCATTAGAGAAAGCTGATCCGGAAAGTATCACCAGTGAATCTATCCTAGAGGCCGGAAAGAAACACGAGATGGCGGTGGCTACAAAGCAAGTGAACGGAATGCACCTCCAGAACTTGGTGATGCAACTTCGTAAGGTGTGCAACCATCCATTCTTATTCGATTGGCCCATCGATCCCAAGACCAACACATATGTACTGAATAACGAATTGGCTGCCCAATCCGGAAAAGTGCTTTTGCTTGATCGACTTTTGACAGCTCTGTTTGAGCGCGGCCACAAGGTTCTTGTGTTCTCCCAAATGACCAAGATGTTGGATATTCTTGAAGATTGGTCTACAGGCCTCAAAAACTGGCCTGTCTGTAGATTGGACGGCAGTGTTTCTCAGGAGTCCCGAAGAAAGCAAATCGAGACTTTTAACGATCCTGAGAGTAACGTCAAGTTGTTCTTACTCTCCACACGTGCAGGTGGTTTGGGTATCAATCTTACTGCAGCAGATACTGTTGTAATTTTCGACAGTGATTGGGTAATAATACTAATTATATTTGCATATATAAGAATCGTAATATTTGGGGAACTTAGTTACTAATAACACACACTATATATGTTATAGAATCCTCAAATGGATCTTCAGGCACAAGACAGAGTTCATCGTATCGGTCAAACAAAACCAGTACTGATCTACCGCTTTGTTACTGGCAACACTGTTGAGGGCAAGATGTTGGAGAAAGCAACTGCCAAGCGACGTCTCGAAAAGTTAGTTATCCATAAGAGTAAGTGTATTATTATATCTTACAAAACAATAGATCAAATAAACTAACTATTTAATTTATATTAGGCAAATTCAAGTCACCAGTAACCGGACTCCCATTAAGCAAGAAGGATCAAGCCAATACGGTTCGTGAGTTAGCCGAGATTCTGGAATCTCAAGATGGTGAACAGGTTCAGATTGTGTCCCAGGGGGACAAAGTAATCTCGGATAAAGACCTGGAGATGCTGCTGGATCGTAGTGAGAAAGTGTTCGAGGATACTACAGTACGCGTGTCAGACCAATTCAAGGAAATGAACACAGCCGATATGGTGGATCAAAAGAACGAAATTCTTGCTACCCGTATTTAGTTGACTTTGTTCAAGTCAAATAACTTTTTTTTATTAACATACTCTCCTTTTACCTCCCCTTCACCCTTTAATATTTATCATTTGCATTAGGCTTCTTTCTTTTTTTATATATATAGTCTTTTAAGAAAGGAAGAAAACACATTTTATTGTTATAATAGTTATAATCTATAAATAAGAAAGAAAGACATATACACCGAAGGTTGAAGATGCTGATGAAGAAAACAGGATGAAAAAATGGGATAATAATAATAATAATAGAGAGAGAAAGAAATCATTAGAATAAGCCAAGCTTAGTCTTGCCCTCTTTCATACGAGGTGAAATATAGTTTCCAAGGAAGCTAAAGATATCTCCACGGACGGCATCGTTATCAAGGATGTTGAATCGCTTGGCATTACGCTCGGTATCAACAATAACAAGCTCAAGACGATCGAGCTTGAGATGGCCTTGTTCCAGCAGGGTATTGATACGGTTAGGAGTGCCAACGCCGATATGAATTGGATACTTTTCCAGAAAAATAACCTGCTCTTCGACCTTCAAGTGCTTAGCAAATAATTTGGCAATCTTGGCAGTCTCATTGAACTCTTTCAATGCACGAACCAAGTCGACGGCACGCACAGCAGAGTGAGTCAAGACCAATGCGACAGGGCTTGCAAGTTCAGTGGGCTTTTTGGAAAGCTTTTTGTGACCAGCTACACCAAACTTGATATAGTTTGGCAGAGCTTCGAGAGTATGTTCGTGTTTGAATTTTTGGTTGTCGACAAAGGATTTCTCAGGGAGCTCTTTTTCTTCGAGCTCAACTGCAGTAAGGTCAGGCATAGCACGCTGATGACGGTCGACCATGTACTTGTGTTGAACATCGATAGGTTCGCTGTGCACGTTAAGGTTGAGATAAGGATCCTTGGTGACGCGAGTCTAGATAGATACAGGTACAGATATATATATATATATATGCATATTATCAGACACATTTAAACTAATGTGTATATCTAGAGATTTCTATCCGCACCTTCTTCTTCTTGGCCTTCTTGGCCTTTTGTTCAACGGCAACAGGGGCAGGTGGTTGTTTGCGCTTAGGAGCTCTTGGAGCGTCGGGATCTTCGATTGCTTCTTCGTTGTCCGAAAAAACATCTTCTTCGACAAGGTAATCGTCATCGAGAGAATCTGCAGAGGCAGAGATCTTTTTATTCTCAAGAGACATTGTGATTAATGGAGCTAATTTATTATTAATTAAGAAGTGGTTACTTTTTTGCTGGAGAGCAAACATTAATCCATCTTGCATTGTCGCTGTCACAGCCAAGCCACAGCAGTTTAATTTAGTGCTTTCCAATACTGTTTCTTTTAACCTTTTTTATTTTATTTTATGGGATTTGGTTATTAGCCAATCGCATTCCATATAATTAAAGTTTTTGAAGGTTCCTTATTTTAAGATTTTAATTTTAATTTTAATTTTAATTTTTGTTGGATGCATATAAACTGCTCGAAAGTTAACGTGTGAAATTTGTTACATCCCAAGGTAATGAAACTTAATGTTTCTTTTCTTTAAGAAAAAAACATTCTTGTATAAAAGCTAATTAGTTATTTACAGCTTTAAACTATATAATTGACCATTAATTATCATTGAATTCTATAGGTGAATGTCAAACTTCTTAATAGATTCATTTCTATAAGCTAACAGCAGATTATCCCTTTTTTTTTTAAAAAAAAAATGATACAAATCGAATGGATTTATTTAGATGGAAATGGTTTGTTTTTAGGTGATGAATATTGGGATAGATTTAAACAAATAAATGCAAAAATTAATGATGAAGAAAATATCTAAAGAGAACATCTATAAAAAGAAGAGAGAAAAAAAACGAAGGAGGAAAATATGATGGAGGGAGGAGGGTAAAGCGTTTGCTCGTTTTTTGTTTTTTGTTTTTTGTTTTACTGTTTAAGGGAGCGTCTTGCCTTGACAGCATTAGCAAGGTTTGTGAGGACTTGTTCAGTGGTCTCAAAATCAATGCATGCGTCAGTAATTGAGACACCGTATTTGAGGGCTTGAGGGCCTTCAGCGGGTACACTCTGCTTGCCTTCATTAATGTGAGACTCAATCATAAGACCAATAACGGAAGTTTCTCCAGAAGCAATTTGTTCGCAGATGTTGTCGGCAACCTTGGGCTGGTTACGGTGATCTTTGTTGGAGTTTCCGTGGGAGCAGTCAACCATGATGTTGGGACGGAGACCGGCCTTGATCATTGCCTGCTTAGCAGCAAGGATGTGTTCTTTGTCAAAGTTGGGGCCATCGTTTCCACCGCGAAGAATTACGTGACAGTCGGGGTTGCCGGTTGTGTGGGTGATGCTGACGGTTCCGCTCTTAGTGACGCCGAGGAAATGGTGAGGAGCTGATGCGGATCCAATACCATCAATTGCTACACGCACGTTTCCGTCGGTACCGTTCTTGAAACCGACAGGGAAAGAAACGCCAGAAGCCAACTCACGATGGAGCTGAGATTCGGTGGTACGAGCACCAATGGCACCCCAGGACATAAGGTCGGCAAGGTATTGAGGAGAGATGGTATCCAACAACTCCACAGCAACGGGCATGCCAGAGTTAGTAAGCTCACATAACAATTCACGGCCAACACGAAGACCTTTGTTGATGTTGTAGCTAATGAGAGAAAAAATATATATACAGAAAATTATAGATGTGCGGGGTTAAGATCTAGTATTGATATCTTGATAGTGATGTTGACGACGATGATGAGCCGGTTACACTACCTGTTGTTGATATCAGGGTCGTTGATCAAACCCTTCCAGCCGACAGTGGTGCGAGGCTTCTCAAAGTAAGAGCGCATAATAATGAGCAACTCTCCCTTGACGTTCTCTCTGACTTTTGAAAGACGCTGGCAGTACTCCTTAGCAGCCTTAGTGTCGTGAATAGAGCAGGGACCAACAATGATCACCAAACGATCATCCTCGCCGCGCAGAATAGCAGCGGTCTCTTGGCGAGCAGCAGAGACAGTCTGGCGAGACTCAGGGGTCTGCAGTAGGATGATTTGTCAGCAAAGGACAGCTGTTTATTGTTTGTATACAGATGCCTACTTACAGGAGCAAGTTCTTCCTGAAGGAAAGCAGGAGTCAAAAGGGCATTGTAGCCAGTCACACGAAGATCTTCCATTAGATTATGTATTGCAAGTTGTAGAAAAAGAAAAGGTTTGGGACAAAGGTTATATTTATGAGATACTATTAATACGAGCAGTCACAATTGTGCCAATAATGATGGCCTATGAGTCACTTTGCTCTGTGCGACTGTTTTTTTGAGTTCAAGCTTTACTAAAAAAAAATAAAAAAAAAATCATATAATACAAAAAAGAGGTAGTATGTTACATAAGGAATTGAGTATCAATTCCATGAGCAAAGTCATAGATGACCATCCGAGACTGGTTGGAACAGCACACGATCCGTGCATAGTCGTACTGCAAATTAAGGACACTAATAATAATAACAATAATAAAAATTAACGGCTAAGTTAATTGCCTAATTCTTTCATGGTATATGTCCAAACTGCTTCATTTTTTTAAAAAAAAATCTTACCGTCCTTCAATGGCTTGTCCTAAACTAAGAAGCAAGTTTCCTTGATTCAATCCCCATACTTTGAGACTGCCGTCATAGCTTCCGCTTACAATCCGGTCAGATGCAGTGTCGATCTGAAGAGTCCGTACAAGTTCTGTGTGCCCTGAAAGTGTATGCAGGCATTCTCCTGTAGCCACATCCCAGATCTTGATCGTCTGGTCACTAGAACCACTAACAATCCTATTGCCATCAAATTCAACACAAGCAATTCCTCGGCTATGAGAGTCAAATGTACGTAGACATTGTCCAGTTTCCTTTTGTTTAAATAAAATAAAATAATATAAAAAAAACAAAATTTTGTTAATTATTATTATTTTTTCATTAAAAAAATTCTTGTCCCACCTCAACCCATTAACCATTAAAATTTTTAACGTATATAAAAACTACAGATCTTTTTTTTTTTGCCTACCATATCCCAAAGTTTGATTGTCCGATCCCCGGACGCAGACACAACACGATTGTCTTTGAACTGAAGTGCGTTCACTGCCGCGCGGTGACCAATCAGTTGTTTTAACATTGTGCCAGTCTCGAGGTCCCACACGCGAATCGTCCGGTCCTTTGAACAACTGACAAGCCTGTCTTTAGCAAACCGTAAATTCAACACACTCTCGCCATGGCCAGCTAGGACTTGGATGATCTCGCCTGTGCGAATATCCCATTGGATAATTGTCGCATCACTGCTGCCACTTAATATGTAGTTGTCGTCATATTGGAGACATAGAACGCTAGCATTGTGAGCTTGCAATGTCGTGCGGCATTCGCCTGTCCGGATATCCCAGATCTTGATTGTCTGGTCACGGCTGCCACTCACAATCTTATCATTGTCAAATTGGACACAGTAAATTCCTTCGGTATGCATATCGGCCATTGAGCTCGAGGGTGGGAATACTCGCATTTTATATTTTCCGTCTCGCCAGCGTCGATCGACTAGAGTGCGGTTACGGTATAGTCGACGCCAGTTAATAAATCGTTTGTCGGCATCTTCTTTGTAATGGTAAAGGGCTGTCTCATCGTATTTTACATTACGTCGAGTAATTGGTCTGTTATTGTACGATCTTGCGGAAGAGGAAGAGGAAGATGCGGATTGTGGTAAAGCTGCAGAGCGGGATGTTGTGGACACACTTACACGGGCACCCGCCTTACTTGCGAGAGAACCTGTGATTAGTGGTGTACTTGATGATCCCACGCCATATCTATGAGAGGGTACAAGTGGCTGTGAGCGTGAGTGGGACGATGGGGCGGCAGTTGCAGTTGCGGTTGCAGTGGCGGCGGCGAGTGAGATGAGATGTGGAAAGGTAACTGATGACGGCGTCTGGTATTCTGGTAGATGGTGATGATGAGCATGTGGTTCAGATAGAGCGGCAAGAATAGAACTGCTGAGGTTTCGATTGTCTTCAGGTGCTGTTGAAGAAGAAGACGAAGATGAAGAAGGAGGTTCATGAAGAACATTTCTACGTTGACGGAGGCGTTGAATAAAATCTCCTGTTCGTCTAATGCTTCTTAATCGGCCAGATGATGTTGAGCTGGTCGGTGATCCTGTAGGGCTATACAAAGATGTGGTTGAGCGAGTCAAAGGTATTGGGGAAAATGAAGCTCTAGAGTCGCCAGATGATTTTGAGAGATAGGCATCGATTGCTTTTTCATCGCTCTTCCAACCACGGTTTCGGTAAAGTTGGCGCCAAAGCATCTGGTCTTCACTGAGTTCATTCCATCTACGAGACACTCTTCCGACTTGGAGAAGTGTAGGTAGACTAACATAGCTGAGGATGTGGAGTGCAATTTCATGAGGTAGCAACTATGACAATAAAGAACAATGAATAAACCATTGTATTGTATTATTTTCGGATTTTGATATTTACGTCTAAAAAGTCTCGGTGGAGGAGTGGTGTCAGTCTTCCGACTACAGTGCGTGTGCGATCTGTAGGTATGGACAGCAATAGCTGATATGCAAATTCTATTAATTATTGTTGATGTTGTTAGTTTTTATCACACCGAGGTTGTAGCTAAATTATTTTAAACAATGCTCAAATCTCTTTCTCTCTGTGTATGTGTTGTGTTCTATTGTTTATTGCAGAACCCCGACCCACCCCGCCACACAAACACACCCCCTCCTTCCCACACCTCTCCACCCCTCCACACGGGTTGATTGTTGATGCTAAGCACATCGTTTGCATTCAGAGCAGAATCTGATTAGATTACCTGCTTTCATCTCATCACTCCAGTTTGCCATGAACTCTGGAGTTTCGAATCGCTGTTCAACATATCCTTCGTCTGCTTGAACTCCTTCATGTGTCAATGATTCTAATGGAGATCATCAAGATGCTCTTGTTAATCTCTAATAGACTCTCTTTTAAGAGACTAGATGTTATTATGTTCTCGTTACTTTGTCGTGCTTGTTTTCGTGATATTTCTGTCGTCTCGTCTCGGTCATGGAACGCCATTGAGTAAGAGTAAGAAGTAAGGGAGAAAATTCGAAGAAAGGCCATAGAAAGTCCGCAAAACAACGCGGAGTCGAAAAAAAAATCCCATTCGTTGCGTGGCAACGAGTGACACAAGGCCAGTGTTCCCATTCCATTGTCTTACTGCTTTCTGTCAGTCCTCCGCCACTAGTCCGCCTATCCTGCTCTCTCTCTCTCTGTCTGTCTTTCTATCATTCCCTTGTTTATCTTATTGATGTACAAGAAAAAATTCAATTCTTTTTTGGCTGCCATTCCGGAAATTGTGGCTATTTTGGCCCCGTTTCATATAAAAAACCCAATAGTCGTACCAAACGACGGGGTGAAATAAAGGTAACGTACTGGTGCGAATTTTATTAATATTTTTTTTTGACTTTAGCAAAGGGAAAGAAATATATATATATAAGGGGGGGAGTAAGGATGAATACAGACCAAAGCCAATTTGGCTGTTTAGTACCATACAAAACAGAAGAGTCATAGGAAATACAAAACGTCCGAAAAGCCTTTTTTTTTTTTTTTTAGTTTTCATCATCAGCAGGTTATCGAACGGTTTTTTGCAAGTCATTAAAATCTTATTGTTTGATCTTTGCTTTTAGACTCTTAATTTTATTTATTTTAGTTCTTTTGGGCAAGGGGTAAACAAGGGACTCTTCTTTCTTTAGTGAGCTCAAAGAGTATCTATACTCCTTTAAATTCTGGTAGCAAGAACGCTATTAAGTGATAGAAAGAAAACAGATATATTGATATTGTTATTGATATTATTATTCTTTGTTAACTTGTCAAGGCTTGTATTGTATCGGATGTTCTTCTAAGTAAAGCAATTTTATTTATTAAAGTTTGAAGGAAATCAATGCCGACAATCTGAGACTATTTGTAATAATGTAATAATGTTATATTTTCTATTCTTCTAACTAGACTTTAAAATGAGCTCAGGGAAAAATCTGAGTAATTTTGCTTGACATTCTATACTGATGAGATTATCATCTCCTTTTTTTAGATATCAAGTTTAGCAAGAAAATGAAATAAATGATTATTGTGCATAGCATAAACACCTTTATGATTCAATATGAATGTTGATACTTTGTCTTTTATTGATGTAAGCCATTGGGTTTGGTTTAATTTGTATGAATAATGGTTTTTTTTTTGTAAATTACAAAATAGATATAAAAAAGTAAATCATTAGGTCTACATTGGGAAAGAAAACAAACGTATAAATGGCTGTAATCCATGCGATTTGAGTTCAACAATACTTACAGCAACAATAACAACAATAACAGGTAATGGTAATATCATGATGGTGAGACATACCACGCTATAAAATACGATAACAAAAATAATAATATGATTTGTAACCCTAAGCTGAAACCTTGAGAAACCTTCCTTCTTTTTTGTTTAGGCTGGTGTAATGGTAGAAGGGAGAAAAATCTGAGTGCAGAACTGATAATTATCACCATTGTATTCCTAAGTACATCTCTCCTACACACACGCATGAAAAGAGGCTTGGTAATTGGTAATTGGCTTGAAGATCTTGCTTAACCTATATACTAAGTGGATATCCTTTATGTAATTTTGACCGTGTTACAAAAAGTCACCTATTTTATTTTTATTTTTGGTTGTTGTTTCTTGTTCGTGTGAATCAAATGAGGGAAATTAATTGGATGATGACAAAATATTTAGATTAATACAAAGTATATTCTTCCTTCTTCTTTAACTTACGAATTGTTGGTCAGGTTATATGCTTGCTTCAGCTTCAGAATCGTCGCTTGAAAAGAACAGAAGAATTAAGAAAGAAACCGAATAATGCCCTTTTGTAATTGAACTTTGGTTAGATTGCTTTTTCTTTAATACTTGGATTTCAGTAAATAAAAAAAAAGGGAACTTTTTAAATACAAGACAAGAAATTATTTAACAATAGATTACTTTCTTTAGTTCACCTGAAACATCGACCTGTCTAATATAATTCTCTTACATATGATAGTTGGCTATTTTAGAAGTATCTAGACATAAATCAAAATACCATAGACACCTTTTTCTCTCTCTTAGAGACTCCCCTCGCTTGGTTTCAGCCATGTTTTTAATGTTACCTTTTACCCACGATATATGAATATTTGCATACATTTTGTTGTAATAATTATTTTCTGTGTTATATTGTGTTGTGTTGTGTCCTCAGCACTAGGATCAGTTATTTAGACAATAAAAAAAGAAACTTCATTTATATCCAAAACCCTGGTATAAGGAATGAGGCTATCCTTTTTTTAAGGGATCTTATTAAGTTGAAAAAGAAAAAGAAAGTTCAAAAATTTCAAAGTTGAACCTAGGAATTACAAGTCCATTATACATATAATACAAGCATTTGACCTTGTCGAATTGTTTTGTTTTATGCCGTACATCTGTCAAATCAATAAACAAACAAACAAAAGTGAAAAATGTCTGTTAAGCTTTATCATTCATTCATACACTACATCTAACCATTGTACAGTTGTAATGCATTAATGGTATATGCTTATTGATAGGCTATATGTCGATTGCCAGAAAAGAATATTAAAAAAAAGGAGTACGTGTCCCCCTTTATAATTTTTTATACCCTACAGATACAGCTTGATTACAAAAACCAAGGTAGATATTTTGGTACCTGAATGAATAAAAGACGAAATACGATATCTACGCTTTATAGACTGATAAACACTAAAAAAAAAAACTAAAGATTAAATAGAGAGCTGTATCTCTAATGACTGATATTTTAGAGAGGCCTGCAGAAGTATGCTATATTAAACCAGTCTATCTATTAAATACTGTTACACCTCTTTATATAAATATAGTTTCTTCTAATACTTTGTTTTTTTTGGAAATGTTACAATATAAATAAATACGCAAACATGTGTTAACGCCACGGGAAAACAAATATGGGTTTAGAGATTTCTTTCTATAGGTTTCATGGTAGAATTTGTGCTATTTTTTCTTATATAAAAAAAAGGTATATTTTGGAGCCTTTCCATATAATACACATACTTATTATTATTATTATTATTATGATTTAATCTATAGTTTTCTGAGCTTTTAACAGTTGACCATGTTGTTGGTGTAATTTATTGAAAGCAAAAGCAAAATACTTCTTTACTTTACCTTTCTTTTATTCTCATTGTTTTTTTTTCTGAAAGAGAATATCAAAAATATATATATATAAGAGAGGATCAGGTATGTGTATGTGTATGTGTAGATAGAGATTTATGCAAATATAATTTTTATGATTTGTACTTCTAGATACATAGATACACACATATACCCAATAATTATTTAAATAAGATGTACGTGGGAGTTAAAATTAGACAAGTCTGTTTAAGAATTGTTCTCGTTATAAGGAGGCATATTAGGTGCCTCATTAGACCCCGTTGGCGATAACTGAGGCTTGTATTGACGGTGTGATGGGCTATTTCGAAACGCAGAGCCTTTTTCTGAAGGTGGACTATTGTCAACCGTGAGGAAAGCATCTGCTTGTACTAATGGCTGGTCTATGGCTGGATCGTCGTACGAGAGCAGCACATTGGATGAATGTCTTTTGCTTCCTCCAATCGGAGAGCTTCTTGTTGCATGAGGTTTGTCGTTTGTATGCGTTACCGTATCTTCCGTCGGTATACTACGATACTCTGAAGAGAAGATGGTATGGGTTGGAAGAGGAGGAGGAGATGCTGATGAAGAAGAAGACGTAGGAAGTCTGTCCGGATTAATAGAAGTCCCGCGTTGGTGGTCATTAGCCTCAACTGTACCCCAAGGTCGACTTGATGGTTCCGCAAGTGGTAACGAGACCTCTCGACACAGCCTCTCTGTACTCGGTCCAGCCTCTTCCATAGACGATGGCTTCCACCGTCGACGCCAGATAGCCATTCGAGCTGGGGGGACAGTATTGTCATAAAGCTCTTCGTCAGCCAATCCGATAGCCAGGATAACCATATTTTTGACGGGTAAGACAAACATCATGAGATATACAATGCAGTGCAGAACCAACTGGATATATGCTATGTATTGTTTGGTGACATTCAGCACATGAAGTGACTCGATGTATGCGATGTTCAGAAAAGTTATGGTGATACGAAAGATCGAAAGAATGGCGTACTGGATATTGATTCTACGGTCTGCATAAGGATAATTCACCACAAGCGTACAAAGAAGAACAGTCTCAGCCAGGATGATTACCACAAGCTGTGCAATCCCGCTCGTCTGGAAGATACCTACCATGGCGCCAACAAAGAGCTTATAGACAATCAAGAGAACAAAAAAATGCACGTGGTCATCTGTAAATGTGTTGTAGAGGGAGCCGTATCGAAGAAGCAGAGTGATGTCGGAGAAAACGACAGATGTTGGTTTGATGTGGAGCAGAGCAAATCCAATGTAGCCGTATAAAAGACAGAGAGGGAACACAAGTACGATTGATGCTGTCAACAGGAGGTACCAAGGAGCATCCAACATTAGCTGATAGAATGCAGTCGTAATTAACGGAAGATAAAATAGGGTCAAAATACGCAAGGAGATTCCTGGATATTAATAGAGTGATGTTTAGACTCTACCGCTATATACATAGTTAAAAAAATGTCTTTTTTTTTGTCTTTTTTTTTTTGGCTTACCTATAGTAAAGTTTCTAATTTTCTCAGAATGGTTTTTGTAGAGATTAGGTCGGTTTTGTGAGATAAAACAAGTAGAGACAGCCCAGATCAAGAAACATATACATAGACAACCGCCAAGTATGATGAGGAAATAAAGTAAAGAAGTCAAGAAGAGCTTGTTGATGTCCAGATCTACAGCTGTTGCAAAATTTACCATGCCTGTTCCAGTATTGTTGATCTGGGGTCGAATGATGACAGATGGTTCTGGTGATAGTGGCTGGGAGAGTTGTCGCTTATTAAACGCGAATCCAGAGCTATTGATCGCTCTCTCGGTGTCGTTTGAGGTCGATGGAAATACTTGGGTCATCAAATTGTTGATCCAGTCTGATGAGAATAATAAGAAACTCCAAGAGAAGTTTGCTGTAAAGAGAGGGTAAAACATCGGATATGAAAGATTGAGCATGCCTGTGGTAACGATAAACTGTGCATAAAAAACGAGATCAAAGAAACCGGGGGTCTTGAATCTAACAGCTGCAGGGAGCATGGCATAATTGGATGTAAAGAGGAGAATGTCTCGATCGGCTTCACCAAGTGTCACAAACGAAGCCACGAACGACACAAGTGCAGAGAATGCCGTAAATCCTGCTGGTAAATAGATGAATATCGCTCGCCACGTAGGGTTCTGGTACCCAACTGATCCAATTGTTGCACACACAAGCGGTACTTTATCAGCAGTCCATGCTGAATAGCGTGCAGAGATATCTGCCAGTGGAAGACTGGAAGCAGGTATATTGACAGACTAAGCCCCCACACACAATATATATATATATATGAAAAGTTAAAGATATAGAAATTAGTCTAAGCCAATGTCCCTGGATACCCCCCCTCCAAAATTAATACCGTGTGAAGATCGGTTGGTCGGTTTGTTGATTTTCAATTTCAATGCATATATATATATATTTATATAATTTCTTCAAGTACTTTACCTTGCTGATATTTATGCTGGTCCCTGCAGACAAGGGACAACCACTGACAACATCTGGACAAAACGAATAGACCGTGTTTACGGTAGTAGCAAAGCCCATCATAATCTCGAGTCGAGCAGCCGGAATGACTACATTGTCATTAGTGTATTGTATTGTATTGTATTGTATCAAAATTAAAAAGAAATTAACGTGGTTTTAAAAAAAATTAAATCGAATGCTCAAATATTGTCTTACATTCGCCAGCTTGGTTAATGGTTTCGACAGCAATGAGGGGTGCACCGGTGATATTGAGAGTGTATGTATTTAAGCGTGGGTTGTAGATTCGTTTTACTGCTGAAATCGTAAAGCTGTTTTCAGTCGGACAGGTAGTGAAGTTTGACGAGTCTACGTAAGTGTGGGCCAACGTTTCTCCTCTAGAGAGAGCTGTGAATATCAGAAAGATCAAAAGAACTAGTCTGGTGGCCTGTTGAGACAGACTCAAGCCATGGACTGTCATTTATGATACTTTGATAGTTAGAGACAATAAAGGAGAAGAGGTTTTAAAGAAAGGGACAAAGGTGTCAAAAGAGGGGATTTACTATGATTTTGGATATATAAATAAATCAATGTATATACAAAATATATGTAAAAAAAAAGCCCGCTGTTTCGGTTGTACCATAATCAGCTGTTGAAGGGCAGATGGTAAAAAGGTTTTTATATATATATAAAAAAGAGAGCATTACGATTTATGGTTTATTTTTATCTATTTTATCCTCAAAAGAATTAGAGCATAGATTTTTCTTTTTCTTTTGTCAAGCCAATGTCACACTAAAAACAAATGTCGCACATTTTGATTAAAGAAAAAGAAAGTATATCGCATATTTGATTTGATTTTATTACTAAATACGATGACCTGCAAAAGCATTCATCAAACCATTTGGAGTAAGGTGCAAAGCCTTCGAAAGACGACTGGAAATCGTTACTGCTAGTGCATGTAGCTATCTGATGATAGACTATCTTACTTACTTCACTTTCTTTATAACAGAATAATATTGTTTGATCGTAAAGGTGAATTCTGGATAGTGTAAAGACAATTTTTATAAAAAAGAATTGTATATCTTTGTAGTAACGCTCTTCAATAATTTTGGGCACTATGTATATATGGCTCTTATTCATAATCAGATAATTCGCTCTCATTTCGGAGAACTTGTTCATCTCAGCTAGGAACATCGTTGATGAAGATATAGTGATTGGTACCAGTGGCCTTTGTTTGCTTTTGCTTTTTTGCCTTTTTTTTGTCACCAGCTGGCTTTTCTTTCATTCTTTTCTTTGAGTGGTTTAAGCTTTCAGCAAAGCAAGATTTTAGTATATAAATTGAATTGACTCTAACCGCAAGTATTTTGATTTTTCAGAGCAAGAGTCCATATATTAGATATAAAATAGCCGTATTGTGTCCTAGAAATAAATTTTCTCTCAAAATGATTAGTTATCTAATACATAAACTGATCTACCGTAGTAGTGGGGAAACTTGTCGTAGAAATCAGGACCTAAACTTTTGGTTGTTTAAATAAGGTTCTTTACTTTGATCTAAATGATTTTTTTTTTCAAATATTTTCTTGAGTTTTAGCTTGATACTATTGTATCACTTGCTATACTTTCTAACCTAGTTCCTAGAGGCACAAAGGTAATGCTAAATTTTAATTATCCTAAAAAAAAACAATAGTTTAAAGGGTTAGTCTTTTCTATCATTCTTTTACAAAAGCATAAAGAATAATGTGACGCTCTTTTTGTTAGAATTCATTCGTTTGGTGAAATAGAAAATATGATTCAACAAGTTAGTTGGCAGCTCCAGTCTTTCCACAGATTCAAACTGTTCAAAACAAGGTAGTATTTATAAGTTAATTGGTGCTGACAATTGAAGCAGAGATTATATGTATGTATAAAAAGGTCAAAATTAGCTTGGCCAACCAAATCATTTTTTTTTGCTTATTCATTCCAACTGTTTATGCAAGTATCAAACGTGTGGCCAAAAATACCCAACGTATATATATATATATCTATATTGAAAGTCAAAGTGGCTCCTTATTTGCCTTTATGATTTCAACTTTTTCTTTTCCATGTTTAAAACCTGGGCTGGTTTCGGTAAGAGCCGGTATAACGAAAGATCTTTGGCCAAGACCGTACAATTTGTAAAGCTTTTTGAATATTCAAAACTCTTCCAAAGATTACTTAAAGGCACTTGGAAAATCCCTGTATCCATAGGTATATCCACCACATGTATTCTCATGAGTATCGTATAACGTTTTGATCATATTGTCTAAAGTGTGCTTTGCGATCTGCTAAATGAAGATACATTCAAGGCGGCCAATCTCTTTTTTTTTAAAAAATAATAATAATATTAAAAGATTGGTATTATATAAAGTATTCACCTCATCATCAATTCAAATTATTAATAGATGAAGACTGGTTAACTAAGGTCTTTTGATCCTTTGTTTATAAGATCAGATACGTAGTAAGGATGACATAGGCCCCTCTGAGACGTCAAATGAGAAACCAATGTCATCTACCGTGTTAAAGATTAAAAGAAAAAGAAACAAAAGAAACAACAACCTTGGTATAATAAAGAAAATAAATAATCATTCGATGTTAATTGATAGCTGATATATTGATACATAGTGCTGATGATATCATCAAGAGTGTTCAAGACAAGCCGTAACCTTACGTCTCGTTACCAATCAATCCCTAATAAAACATTGTTTGAATTTTTGATCATTTTTGATATTTGTATTTCTTTTGAAGTGATCACATCAACTGCTGTCCATCTCTGATGACAGTCGCTTTTTTGAATAAATATCTAAAAGCCAACTCGCAGTAAAATGGCCTAACATAAATACCACCATACAGCCTTTTAACATGTCAATTCAAGAAAATAATCACCCCACTCCAGATTCTGGGAACACTTTGAAGTGGGTCTTTTATCCAAGAAAATTAATCTTACATCACTTAAAGACTGGTGCTCTGTTTCATTAATAGGCATGAGTGTGAAACAATTCACTCATTTATTGATATATTGCATATTGGAACCGATACTGAAGAACATCAATCTATAAAAAGCTAGGCTCTTGTTCGGGAGATTCATTGCCGGTAGCATAGTATATTACTTGATTGATTATGAGATATGACACCGAAATATAAGCTGTCAGACATCAATCTTTTTTTTTTGGCGCATCAAGAAAAGTATACTAAATAGACTCGCCTGGAATATTTGCTCAAATGTCTGTACAGTTCCTGATTCCCCCCCTCACAAAGTCCGTTTGGCTCATATCAGCCCTTTCCTTTTTACACACAAATGTGTATCAATGTAAATAGCTTTATATCTGGACCTATAATACAGAGACATTAATTAAAACATAATATACACTTTCTCTATCTTCTTTTCAAGCTTGGTCTCGAACCTTTTTTTTATATATATATTCTGTATAAAATTCTTGTCACAGACAAAATTCCAGGGTTTCAACATATGTTTCAACTTGACACCACTTGACTTTGTGACTCCATAAGCTGTCAAACTTATGGTCTACGCTGATTATGAAAGTAAGTCTTGAAATTTCTATGGAACTCGACATTTTGACATATTAGTTCCAGATGTATTAACAAACATTCAATGCTCGTATGTGCCAGTGTAAGTCTCTCTCTCTCTCTCTAAGAAATTAAACAATCTTTATGGATAGAGCATCTTCAATAGGATGGGATTATATTGTAGCATTATAGTGAACGTGCCCAACCCACCACCACCACCACCCCACCTTGGAGATCACCCAACTAATTCAAACAGCCTAGTTTACTAAAGTAATTGACTGTATTATAGCCAAAGGTCCACACCCATGCCCAAAGGTTTATGTAGTAAACTATATATATATATATATATATTCTGGCTATAGTTTAGCTACTAAATATCGCACATTATTTGTATTCTCCTTATATTAAGCAAAGACCTCGGGCAGATTTGATTAGAGGACATTATATTTCTAGTTCAAGGCGAATTTCCTTTTGTTCGCTTGAACTCATGTAACGCGCACACGATCGAAAGGAAGTCCGTTTGTGTGCTTAACCCAGCAATACAAAAGATTATATTTTACCGACTTGATGTCTTCTTCCTATGACGAAGTATTTTCTGCGTTTATCAGTTGCCGGTAATACATTGTTCTGTTCACTCTATCAACTGTGCAATTCTAATGATAGTTTTTTTTTCTGAAGTCCGTTTTTTTGTATCACCATCTATAATATCTTCCAAGCGATATTCCGAGCAATAAAAGTTTCTCCTTTTTTCCCCCATCAATTGGTCCGTGCCTAATGCCGTTACAGTACAAGAGCTCACATTTCTTGTTTCACCTGACTAATGCCAAAACTTGGGTATTTCCCTATTTTTTCCTCTCTTGGTCTTGTGAAAGGTTCCCAGTATAAGGTGTATATGTCAATGTAAAAGAAAAAGTCATAAGCTATGAAGGACCTGGAGGAGGGGGGCACAACACGTACTATTTTATTGACATTGTGGATTGTAATGTCCTTTGGGTTGCATAAACGATTTCCTTGCCTTTACCAACTTGCTTCGTCAACCAACAGGTATTTAATAGCACCTTTATTTCAATATCTTTTTATCGCCTGGCATAACAGACGTACTCCATATTCATCAAATGGCACCAAAGCTCATTCGTTGGTTAACACGCAGGCCTGTCGTGTCTCTTTTCCTGAGATACTTTTGAAGCATTGCCCTAAGTTGAGGAGCTATGCTATCCCATATAAAGCTTTCGTTATCTGTTGGGATACTGGGTATATCAGAAGAATCCGAGCCGCCAGCGGTGTATTCGACAGGGGTGTTTGAAATATCAATAATTTAAACTATATTATCTGTGATGATCCAGAAGATTGACCAGGATCGATTTCTTTTTTGACTTTTTTTTTTTAAGGGTTTGTCCTGCCAAATGACAAAATATGGCATAATAATATATAAACAATTCATAAACAATTCTGTAATACTTCAATTTGACCACCTCATACTACCTCGCGCTTTTCAGCTTTTTTTCTTTTATATATATATATATATTTAAACAAGAAGTTATAGCTATCTACAATTTATCTTGTTCTAGATTGTACTCTTTGTATACTTTCAGTCAATTTATTTCAAAACAGGGTTTTTACTAGATTTTGCTCGTCACCAATATTGCTGCGTAATGATTAATTTAGCTATTAGACGAGTAAAGGCCAAAGTGCTCATGACTAACATTCATTAACTGTATTTATATTTTATGCTGTTGGAATTACTATCAACTAAGCAATATCTTTAAAGCAGAAGAAGAAGAAATAATTGTAAGAATAGAGTTATCTTAATGCTCAAGAGGTACAAAACATGAGAACCCAGAAAAAAAAGAGTATTTTAGATCAATAATATGAATCATAGAAAATATTTGTTTGTTGATTATTATTTTTTTCTTTGATAACAATGGTAATATATAAATAAATACATATATTTTGATATAATAATAATCAATAATAATAATATTTGATGATGCAACACACATATTCTTAAAGGAGTGAAAATAATTTGATCGATGATGGTGTAAATAGTTTTATGGATAAACAATTGGTTTCAAAGGATCGACCAAAAAAAAAACACGGGAATACATTTAGTTAAAACAAAATAATAATATTATTAATAATAATAATAATTTGATTTTTTGTAAATGTTACAATGGGCTTTCTTTCTATTGAAGGGTGCACAAGAGAAGAAGAAGGGTAGTTTCTGTATGGTTTCTGGATTTAGACTAGAAAGCCTCTTTAGAAGTCCATGAAAGGTGAGTTGAGATACATAGATAAATAAGCTTTGTACTTGCCCACGTTCAAGTCTCATTTTCTAGTTTTAGTCATATGCTAATTCTAATTCTAATTCTAATTCTAATTCTAATACTATTTCTAATTCTAATACTAATACTAGCGCTAATGCCTTTACCTTTTTTTTTTGGTCCTTTTAGTCACAACTGGTTCTATTATGAGCGGAACATCAATCTTCCTTGTTTCCAGATGCCACAAGCCCTTTTGGCCAAAAGTCTAATAAGCAAAGAAAAAATAAAAAAAAAATTACAGAATAAAAATCAGCCCACTCATTTTGGCACATTTTGTACCCGAAATTAGTAACATTGGCTTCAACAGCCTTTTATTTTATTTTATTTTATTTTATTTTATTTTATTTTATTTTATTTTATTTTATTTTATTTTATTTTATTCCTTCCTTTCTTCCTTCCTTCCTTCCTTTTACTCTTTGTTCCTCTTAACCCCCTCTCAATCTATTCAAATACTTGTCCTCTTTTGTTAATTAAGCTATGGACACCTATCCACAATTTGTGCCTAGAGCACTGACTGTGGAAGATCAGGAAGACATTTCACCCTACTGCTCACTCTCAAACTACGGTGCCCAGTTACAGCAACAGGCACACTTTGCCCTCCAAGACCAAGGCAATTGGCAGGGAGCACTTGATGAATTTTTGCCTCTAGATAATGACCCGTTCTTTCAGCAAACCCTGTCGATCAAACCCATGTCTCAAACACCGTCTGATATCTCAATCCTCTCTTTCCAGTCAGCATTAATGGCTGGGTATGACAGTCAACTCCACATCTCACTTGGACAGGATTCGATGTTCGATCCCCTAGTAACAAACAACAGCCTGTCGATGGAAAGCCAATTCCTACCCAGCCCTCTCGGACCATCCCTTTCATCCGAAACAGTAGTCGGCTCCGTCTGGCCTGACTCTCAGGACCAATCTACACCATATAACCAAAAGACCGAAAATGATTTTGGAAGCATTTCCTTCTCACCTCCAACCAGCACCCTCAGTTCATACCAAGCACCCTTGACACCTCTGAGCATCGGAAGCATCGAATTTGACGTCCCCATCGAACCAACCATTGACAGCTACCAATTTCAGTCTGTTTTCAATATCCCTTCTCCAGATATCCTTCCTCTTACTCCTGCTGCACCCACTATTTCCTCGACCCAAGGCAAATAATTACATCATTATTTTCTGTGCCCACAAAAATAATACTAACACTGATACTTATGCTGTCTTCATTTCATATTTTATATATACTTAGTCAAGATTGAAGAATCAGTAAACGTCCAACCTATTGAACACCAAAAACTACCACAGCTACAACCACAGCTACAACAAAAACAGCAAAAACAAAAGCCAGAAAAAGTCCGTGTCCAGAAAAAATCAACTCACAATGCTGTAGAACGTCGTTACCGCAACAACATCAACGATCGTATTTCCGAATTAAAAGAAGTCGTACCTGCTCTTCGGCACGCGAAACTCAAGGACGCACGAACCACCGGAAAACGCTCCCACCGCTCAGACGAAGAAGACGAAGACGAAGACGGTGAGGAATACCTTGAAGGTGTTTCAGTTGCGACCAAGCTCAACAAGGCCACCATTCTTCGCAAAGCAACCGAGTATATTCTTCATCTCAAGAAAACTGAAGACACCATTCAATCAGAGAACACCCGCCTCCAGCAACTCATGTCCCAATTGCCAGGTGGCTTCCAGATCCTTTCGCACTACAGACTCCAGCAAGCCCAGCGCGCCAAAGACAACGAGGCACTCAGGAGACAGCAAATCGAACAAGAAAAACTCGAGCAACAACAGCGCAAGTCCAGCAACAAAAAGCAACGCCGTCAGACCAAAGGCTCTCGCAGCTCTGATGAGTATGAAACCTCTTCGTCGGCTTCCGACCCAGCCACGCCTCCTTACGGAGGTACTGGCCAGCGTGTTTTTATGGCCGTCTTTATGGCCATGAGTTTCTTTTCTTCTCAACCGATGCATGCCGGACCCATGAGTCCAGAACAGTATCAGAACCACAACCATGCGTCCCGAACACCTTCAACTGGTCATAACGGCTACCCGGGTGGACAACACACAATCCATGGTGACAACCTGGGACCACAGTCGTCAGTCAACAATAGTGCAACCGAGACCTCATTTCTGGGCTCTTTTCTACCTCTCAACAGTGGATGGTAAAAAAAAATTATTTGTTTGTAATTTACCAGCCAAACCTAATTCCTAAATGTGTGTCTTTGTGTCTGTTACACACAGGTCTATGATTAGAACCACCATCTTTATTATCTGTATTGTCCAGATATTCTTGCCTATAGTGAAGCACTGGTGCTCCTGTGCTGCCTTCAAGGTTAAACGCACAGCAAATCCTAAGCGTGTCTCACCCCGAAAAAGAAACTCATTCAAATCCAGTGCTGCTTCTGCTACCACTGCTTCAGTTGCCGCCGAAGATCAACTCACGCCTGGTGACAAGAAATGCAAACAGATTTACCGTATCCTCATCGAATCTCTCAACCAAGACAACGAGTCCCTGCCACAGACAACCCCCAAAATCCTCTCGAACATTCTCAAAGAATCCATCTGCTTGTTCTCCAGACACGCACTTGGCTATGAGATCTTGTATGATCGACATGCCCAAGACGGTCCCCAAGAAGAATGGGCTCGTGTCTGCAAATGGATCAAATTGAATGAAATCGAATGCCTTGGTGGTAAATATCATAAATATTATATATCTAAAAAAAAAAAAAAAAAAAAAAAAAACTCAACCTGTTTGTGCTTTATAGGAAATGTCCATATTACACGTGTCTCTATGCTACACTCCTGTCTGCAGATGATTAATCTAGTAGATTCGCTCAACGAAGACGAACATGACTATGTTGGCCAGACCCGCCTCAGAGCTTACGCAAATGCTGCCATGGAAATGGCTCTTATTGTTCCCTTCCCGACCCTGGCCGAGCGCCTCTCGCGCTACTTCTGGCGCCTATCGATGTACGAGGCATGTTCTGATGATGACAGCGTGACACGTTCTCTTGTCTGGGATTGCCGCGAAGACGATGCTGAGGATCGAATGGATGTCATGCTCCAGTCCCAGGCATGGAAAGAGACCCTCGAGGTAATGCAACACCAGATCGGCAACTTTGGAGTCTCGTCTTCAGCAGGACACGGTTTGTCCCTGTCGATGACTGCACCTGTCCTTGTGCCGGTTGCCATCTTGTCTACTCTTCACCTGCTCGACAACCTCCAGACACAGTTTGGCCGCCTTGTGGTTACCATCACTGGCGTTCCCTTGACAACTGCTGCTGCGTCCGAAAACGGGTCTGACTTTAGCGAGACCACGTTTGATGAGATTCTGGCCATCACCACACCCGGCCCAAAGGAACTCGGTGCGACAGACAGTGACATGCAGCGTTTGGCTCACTGGCTTGCTGCCGTAGGAGCCACAGTTGAAGCCCTGTGGAAGAGTGATGTAGAAACCGCCAAACGCTGGATGGCTACGCTTGTCCAACGCGTTCCTCGGTCTCTTGTGGCCACCGAGATGGAAAAGGGTGATTTGGTAGACCACAAAGCCAAGATGAACCAAATAGATGAGCTTACGAAGCGCAGCATGCTCCACATCCTCTATGGTGCCACTTTGCTCAAGTCTTCCAACGAAGACGAGCAGCGAAAGGGTGTCGAAGAACTCCAGAAGGCAGAGAAGATCCGTCACAATATCAAGAAGATCCTTGCCAAGGATATCAAGTCATCGACTATTGCGCGAGGTGGAGTACAATATCTGTCTTCTGAGTCAGTGCACAAGCAAGATATCGAGAGTGGAACGATGGCGCTGGCCGAGTTTGTCGTGGCTGTTGCCGGCTTAGAGGCCTGGGTTGCAGCCTGGCAGATGGTTAGTTCGATCAAGAACCCACGCGAGCGTGAAAACTGGGAGAGCCAGGTCAGAGACCAGATTTGCGAGGCTACGATCACTCTTCGTCGTATGATCAGTCGCCATTCACTTGGAGGGCTGCGAACAAACCAGGCTATCATTACTCGGTTAATTCGTCTTAGTTCGTTTGCTTCCCAGCAATTGGACGAGGTTGATTTGATTTACGAGGGATCTGAGGACGAGTACTGCGACCATCAAATCTTTGGTGACAACGAATCAGATTCTGAGCTTGGCGAAGACGAAAGACTTGTAAAGAGAACACAATTTGCACTTGATATCCTACGTGGTCTTGTCTGATATTCCCCACCTTCACTTCTTCTTCTTCTTCTTTATTAACTGTTTCTTTAACTTTTATTGTCTATCTCTAACCTCTATGGTTTCTTGTAAATCAACCCTTGCTACTTGTTACTTTTTTTAATTTTTTTATTTTATTTCTTGTTATTCACTCCCTTTACTTCTTTACCTCTTAACTTCACACTTCACAACCATTCACTCACGTCTTTTTTACATATATAATTATCCCATTTTTTTTTAATACCGCGCAAGAAAGAAAGAAAAAAAAACGCCCTCTCTCCTCTCCATCCTATGCCCAAATAAGAGCTTCTTTTTTTTTTCTCTGACCCTATGCATATGCTGTAGATTACTTGCGCGATATCTTACTATTATTATTATTATTATCGTTATTATTATTTATCACTATCACTACAACAATTACTATCATTATTACTATTATATTTTATATTATACTCTTGACTTTATATTTTGTACGTTTTGATTTGATTTGATATATTATATTAATATTAATATTATATCTTTGAGCCTTGCATCAAGTAGAGAGAGAGAGAGAGAGAAAATGCATGATTTATTTATTTATTTTTTTGGTTAAACTATTTCTGTGTTTTTTTTTTTTTTTCTTTCTGGAACCTGTTTTTCGGAATATTATACTGTGGTGTACTGTACACTGAATTACACTACTTGGAGCATATAACTCATATCGAAACCTCTTTGATAATCAAATTGTAATGATATATATAAAAAAACTCATGTTGAATATCAACCCCGGTATTATTTTTGATTTATTTATTTATTTATGTTTTATAAACAATAAAAGGAATTCTGGCGGAGTCTTGGTGTCATGATACGATTGTACCATTAACAGATTGAATTTATTTATCTTTCTTTCTTTCTTTCTTTCTTTATCAAGTGCCCGTGTTCAACCTAACCTTGTTCTTTAAGAGTGGCCTCATTTATTTCTTATTTATTTATATATATATTATAGAATCAAGAGAATTAAGCAATTGTTTCTAGTTTATCTGTTGCCAAAGAGGATATATTTGATATTATTGTGGATCAGCACATCTACTGCTTTTCATTGATTTTTTTTTCTTAACCTATAAAGATACAGGTCTTATTGGTCTACTAGACTTCATTACAAAAAGAAGACCATTGTAATAACAATAACACACTTATATATATATATATGCATTCTAGAGTAGCTTAACGCACATACCCCCCTTTCTGTGTGCCTTGAAAAATGAGGCTGAGAATGGTAAGTTTTACTTTTTTTTTTTTTTTTTTTTTTTTTTGCTTCAATGGTACGATTAATTTCGCACGTGGCTAAAGCTTTTATATTTCCCATTTTTACCTTTTTAGAAACCTTTAACCAATCCTATCTCTTTCTATCTCTCTCTCTCTCTCTCTCTGTCCACACAGTATAAATATATATATATATATATATATTATATATGAGTATAATTTCTAACGTCTTTTGGGAACTTTATATCCTGAAAAAACAAACATTCTTTTAAGGATCTAGCCCTGAGATTGACCAATGATATGATATGATATAATGTATATATATATATAACAGTGCAGTATATTAAAGCACTTTCATTATAAAAGTGTATATGTATATGCATATGCATATGCACATGTACATGTACACAATATTATGTATGTCAATTAGAGCGTCTCTTAAGAACAGACACACTAAAGTAAAAAAAAAAAAAATTAAAAAAAAATTAAGAAAATGATGTACAATATGATAGCACAAATAATAAAAAAAAACCAAGGGTAAAAGAATGATACAAGTGAAGTTACTACAAAGGGAACCTCTAAAGGAAAGAATAAAAAGAAGAGGTTAAGAAAACAAAAAAAAAGCAAAAAAAAATTATAAATGTGTAAGTATAGAGAAGGGTGAGGTTGAGAAAGGTAACTGGCGAGAACATTAAAATGAAGTCTATGAATCAGCAGCAGCAGCAGCAGCAGTTTTTGATGATGATGAAGAAGAAGAAGAAGAAGAAGAAGATCCTACTGCTGCTACTGCTGTTGATGGTGTGGTAGTTGTAGTAGTGGCTGGAAGAGGAGACAGAGGAAGAGGAAGAGGAAGTATGTCTATGGATTTTTCTACTGTCAGGCTTGTTTCGGTAGATTCTTCCGACTGTACAGTTTCTGTGGATTGTTCTAGAGGGTGGGCAGAGCGTCGGGAAAGATATTCTTGAATAGAAAGCTTGATCTTTACTGGTTTTGCTTCAGGGGGAAACGTCCCAAGAGTCCCTTTTTCCTCAGTGCTACCGGGAGCTACCATATTGTTCAAGTCCTTCCTTTTTTCAGGCTCAGGAACATTTTCTAACTTGCTTTCGTCCTTTAGATTCTCATCAATGCTGACTTGTGCTTTAATATCACTAGCCGTATTATCTAGTGCTTGGGTTGGCGGAGGAGACCAAATGCTTTCAACAACATTAACTTTTGATAATTCGGAATCAGCTTGGTTGAGTTCAGTTGGATCACAGGACGCATTGTCAACATTGACTGGAAAGTCTTTACCCGCGGGATTTGTTTCGGGAACGGCAGGCGGACTAGCAATAAGAGTGGGTGTTGAAACAGAAATGATTGTGGGGGTTGGTCTGCGATCATCATCATCTTCGTCAAGTGGTAGGGTTGACGCTGAACTAGCGTCACTCAATTCTCCATCGTCTAGTACAAAATCTGCAGAGGTATATTCAGGAATTGCACCATCCAGACGGACTGGATGTTCTGTCTTGTTCAAAGACCGTGAATTACTGTGCCTGTCTGGTGCTGCCAAATCTTGTTTCACTACATCGCAAACTGGTTCTTCAGGTCCATCATCAACGCTAATGTCTGCAAAGAAATCTTTTTCTAGGGAAGAATCCATCGCTTGTTTATGATACTCTGGCTCAGGAGTTTTCTGGACTTCTTCAGATGGCTCAATATCCATATCACTGTCATGTATACTAAGCTTGGATGAAACTTGGATTGATTCCAAATTTCCCAAACTAATCTTTTCATCTGCATCTAGAATTTTTTCTTCTTTCTTTATCAACAAAAGAGTTCATCATATTCTCTTTAATTATTATATTACCTGCTTTAGAAGACCCGCTTTTGGATGGCTTTGGGCCCTGTTCGCGGAAACTACACATCCAGCGCTTTTTGAATGGCAGCATATACGGAAGCACCTTGCTGCCTAGAATATCCCCAGATTTCTCCACCTCAGGTGATCTTCTAAATCCATTGTCATGTCGTCTCCGCGACTTTCCGCCCTGGCGCCCTTCCTCTTTCCTCCGACCCGATCGACGGCTCTTTATTCTCACTCGCCGTTCGTCGTCTGAAGCTTCATTTCCAGTGTCTTCGAATCCAGATAGTGACGATAGAGACGTAAGAGACGACAGGTCTTCATTGTCGCTTACATTCGTTGTATCCTGGTCTTTTGAGCAATTGAGAGGTGATCCCAGAAAATCTTCCCCAATGTCAATATCACCATCCACATCAAGCTCTTCTTCCGATGCCCCATCAACTCGTAATGTCGACTCTCCTCGAACCGGGCTTCCTCCGCCGGGTGATGTTGACGTGACATCAATCTCAAGACAGTCTTCCATAGACGGATCCGGAGAATCGGATGTAAGCCTCTCCTGCCCGTCAATCTTTGGATTAAGAGCAGATACCACACTCTGTCGAGAATTTTGAAAAGAAAATACACTGTCCGCATTGGCTGTGCTGTTTCTCCGTATGGTTTTTTCCTGTTTTCTTTTCGGTGTGTATATATCCAAACTTTCGTCTTCAAGCTCATTGATTCGCCTAGGTACTGGTGGTCTGAGCTCAGATGACCATGTCTTGCGGCTCTTTTCACCACTGGCTTCTTTCCGCAGATGTTCTATAAAGCATCGTCCTTTGTCTTGACAAGCACAGTCGCCAAACTCTTTGTAGAAAAAATCAAGCATTCTCTGGACTGACTTCCGTTTTTCCCTTTCCTCTTCTTCATCAATTACTTGGTGTTGATCGTCAGTACCAGGAGTTCGGTTGTGCCATTCAATGTTTTTTTGCCATGCGATATGTCCGCGTTGCCAATTCCATCCCAGCGTCACTTCCTGACCTGGCCGGATTTCTTCGCGTGTAAAGATACCGAGATGAATCATATTGTCGTCTTTGGCATGGGACAGGACAATACTTCGCACATCTGCATTCGGATGACACGATCGGCGTATGTATCTTCCATTGTTGCCATGGTATCTTGCGTCAATACACAAATCAAGCGTTGGATAAAATAAGACATGCTCTCGTTGGGTGCCTAACTCGGAAAATTCGTTTATAGGATTGAACTTATATTCTGACTTTAGAAAAACATCTCCATTCACTTCCATTAGGAACCAGTCCGTAGGAATGTGCGTATCCGAAAATACTCCTTTGCGCAAATGTAGATCGTTTCGAGGGTATAGTGTGCTGTCAGAGCGTTTGAGAGGTCGAACAAATATCTTGGTATTAGTTGAAGTGACTGTGGAAGTATCCATTGACACATAAGGACAGTCTCGTGTACGGGTGTGCTCTTCTCGGCGAGGAAGCCCGTCTTTCCACACAGACGCTCTCCATTTGGTTTGCTGACTCCATCTTTCTCTTGCTTCTTTAAATATCTGCTTCACAAACTTGCTCTTTACTGTGTTATAATTCGTCGGTACATAACCTCGCTTGTGTGGCAGTTTCTTCTGTAGACTTTGCGCAAGTGGCTCGGGAGAGTCAAGTCCGCGTAAAGTGTCTTGGGTAATCGCAATCCGCTTCGAAAGCTTTGGTTTTTTCGTAGTGCGTGGTGTGTGAGATGCTCTTCGTGTGCCGTCGTGTATAGGTCTTCTCTCACGTGTGAATTGCAGACGTCCTTTTTGCTTTTCCTCCTTTCGTTTTGTGGCTGGTGTCTCGATGGGGGGTATTGGGTCTACAAATGTGTATGCTCTCTTTTTATCTGTTGGGGAAAATGCATCTGTTGCCAAATCTTCTTTGAGAGCATCTTTTCGTAGACGAGTAGTTTCAGGACGGCGTTCGTCTTTAGATCTTCTTTCGCATTTGTCACAGAGGTAGTGGTCTGGGATGTTGCTTTGGTCGATTCGTACACAGAATGCATGTTGCCAGACTAGGCATTGTTCGCACTGGATCGTAAAACCATCATCATCAGATGAGCTGCAGATGCATCGAATAACGCCTGTATCTATAGGATCCTCTTCCATCTCTATTTTTTTGTCAAGTGTAGGCATAGAGCCTTGGAGCGTACGGGGAGGAGGGTAGCTAAGCTTTGACATGACTTGATGAAGGGTTTAACAGTGCAGAGGATGACATCCACAAAAGGAAATTGTATTTTTCTTTAAAAAAAACAAAGGTTCCACTTTTTTAAAGAAAAAAAAAGATATTATATTTTTGCTGTTGAGATGGGTTAACCCTTTTGGCAGATGGTGAGCTAATCACTTTAACTTGCCAAACGTCTATATGGACTTGGGATGACCCAGTCAGTAAGGATGGTTAAAGTCGGAGTTCGCTATCTGCACCACCTTTCTGGCCAAAGCAGATTTGAGAATGAGTTGTAAGCTACTCTTGCAGTGACGTCATTTAGATGGTTACAAAAAAAAATGAACAAATCTGTAGGTTGTTCTCTTTGGAAATAAAATAAAAAAAAACAACTTGCTTTCTTTTTCTTTTCTTTTTGTAAAGCCATTTGAACAAACACAAGAAGACCAATTGAGTAAATGAATTCAAAGATGAATTTAGTGTGATATTAGCAAGGTTGTTGTGTCTTTTAAAACTGAAATTAATTTCTAGAGGCTGTAAATTAATATGATTTTATGCCAATATGCAAATGAGTAACTTAAGAATAAATAAATTTATATGTATGTGTGTGTGTGTGTGTATGCTTGTATCCACAGAGAGAGAACTAGAGGTCAACAGATCACTAAAGGAGCTATTATTTATTTTAGAATAAAAAGGTATTATTTTCATTGTTCAAAAATTGGTCACCAAAAAAAAAGAAGGGACTTTTATGTTTGTTAATAATAAAGTCCCAAATATTTGGAGTGCTTGCTACTCTTTGGTTTTAATATAATAGGCAGAAAATCCTAAATAGTACTATCAAAAAAAAAAGGAGAAAACATAAGATCTTCAAGCAGTTTAAATCCAAAGTAAATGCTGAGGAGCATGAGCTAAAAAGGTATTAAACAAAAACAAAAAAAAAGCAGCTTTACACATAATGTTGATCATATGTCGGAAATTATATTTTTGTCTGTATGTAAATATTAAAATCGGCGCTTATGTTGTATAATCTCAGTATGAATGTTATCTTAATATAAGATTGTTTTTGCGTCAACAGTAACCACTATTTTTTCTATTTTTTATATAAAATACATATATAGAATCCAAAAGCATTTAGTAGTTTGATGATTTTACACTAAATCGTTTTATTGATTTCTAACGCAAGACATACTTATTACTAATAGGCCAAACTTAATAACAAAAGCTCCAATTATTAAGTAAATACAAGTTCCAATAGGACAGACATTATTAAATGCAGATAGTCATTTTTTCGATATACATATATATAAATAAAGAATAGCTTGTGAATTATAGAGAGCCAAAAATGACCGTACCAACGTAAGCATTGTTCCTGGATAATGCTAATATTACCTGCTAGTGATGCAATACAGAATACATATATAGTGACGTAGGACAATGTGATGTGAAACAGCTGCAAAGAGTTGTGATTGTTCGCCTTGTCATAGGTATAAAGCAATCACGTATCTTATGATCGATTCGCCAATACTGTCCGTTGACGTTCCTTTTTTGCTCATAGAGAGAGAAAGAGATAATTAGCTTTTCTTATAATAATAGTACTAGTAATACTTTCTTTTTTTCTTTCTTTCTTTGTTTCAAGATACTCATGAGTACTATTATTTTTGCCTGGTACCATTAGTCTTTATTTCAGATACTACTCTCTTTCAAAACTGTAAGACCTTTAGGTATATGGTTTGAACTTCTACATGCAGTATTCATTATAAATTGCCCTACACTGTGTATCACCAGAACGCATTGGTAATTTTTTTTCTTATTGGCTATTGATGACATTGAGGACACGTGCTGTGGATCTTATTCAATAAAAAAATGCAATCACAGTGTTCGCAATTATATCTATTTCATTGTCTGCTGCTGATAGCCAAGAATCTGATAGCTAGTATAGCACGGGAAGTAAGGGGAAATGTCTGGTGAGGAAAGTGACTAAAGAACACAATGTGCCCGTGACAAATTTCTCTTACAGGAACAGCTTTCTCATAAAACTGTTTTCGTATTTCGTAATTCTGAGTCTATCAACATCTCCACACAAACAAAGTTTCGTATTTTGTAGTTAGAAAGTATGCATTAGTTTTGTATTCTTTTTTTTTTTTGGTAAGATTTATAATTGAAATTGGTTGACCTAATCTACAAACGAACATGTTAAAACTTGCAAGTTAAACAAGTTTAATTTACACAAGTGAGGTAAATAAAGACACAATTTTGTGCCTGTGCTTGGCATGAGGCCATCCGAGAATTAGAAAATAGATAATAGAAACATCGATGATCTCTTGGTACAATCAACTCCCTGTGATATTAATGGGGTCGATAATGGAAGCTGTGAGAACATATTATAGGCGTTGTGCTTGGCTTTACCAACAATTTTTATTCTAATTATTTAAATAAAGAACTAATTAGGATGGTCTGATAGGCCGAATAATCGATTCCATAGATAAAACCAAAAAATAAATAAAAAATTATGCCTAGACAAATTTGATTCTAGATATCCAAGGGATACCTTCTGGTCTGAACTCGATAGAAAATCTATCGCACACAATATAAACAGCTGTCTGGTTACTTTGTTCCTTTTGAGGAAAATTTCATATTGATAACAGTCTCGTATCTATAGGACACAGACGAAATGAAACTTTACCCCTCTTTTTTTTTTTATCTCACACACAAAATTTTGGTTGCCTAGGTTACCACATAAGATTAATTTCGATAAAGAATAATAAGCTAATTCTGTATTACCACAGATATACACCTTTTGTGCAATGGAACAAAAGCACATATTGTTACTGCGGTTCAAGAAACAGTGTGAGTCATTTAGGTCATACCTACAGTCAATACATTTGACAGTAGATCATATGCTGGATCAATTGCATTGTTGTCAAAAGAAACATATTAAATGCACGTCTTTAATCAAACGTGCATATACATCAAATAGTGCTTTGATATACGCTTTCATTGAGGCTCTAAAGTAATTGATCTTAGCTTTTTGAAAAGAAAACCTTTTATCAGATGGCTTGTTATGATCATTTGATGATTGTTTATTAGGAAGGATACTCTTCCCAGTCAATCACTGCCAAGCATTAGTGTTTTGGCATAACCAAATCAGAAACAAGTCGCAGTAAAACTAAATGTATATTTGACATTGTACGTTGTACGATATGTTTGTTTTCGTGCTACAGTTCCAAGAAGTGCGCTCTCTCCACAAACTCAAAGCTAGAACACGGCTGAAACCGGCCAAATGAAAAGGAAACATCGGAACAAAAAAAGATTGACTACGCAATAATACAAGCAAGTGTTCGATTTCATGAAGTTCCTTAGTCTAAAGTGTCTAAGTCTAGTCTCATCTATCTTTTCTTCTCTTACAAAATGGTCTTCTGGTTTCATTTTTTAGTTCGTATTCTAATGAGTCTTGTATAAGTTCCTTTATGCTACGATAATGGTTTGGTTTAGGATTTCTGAATATCGGTGCCTTATGTGTATCACTGAAGAAGCCACAATAGAAAAAAAAATCCTATGAGATCTTCATTTGAAAGGTATTCCCCACTCGTATCTTTCCACGTTAAACACAATCTTTTTTTTAGATTCAGCTATATAATTTAGGGTTTTTTCTTGTATAACCTTAAGCACAAAATTGTCTTCCCCAAGTGGCGTATATCATAACTCCTCTTTTTTTTTGATCACACGCCTATAAGCTATTTATTTTTTTTACTGTGTGATTAAGAACATCAGACCGCAGCTCACCTGCGCAGCAGTAAATAGATATTCCAAAAGAAGAAAGACAAAAAAGAAAAAGAAAAAACAAAGATATAAAAGGACCTTGCATTGCAAACAGATTTCCAATATCACAAACTCACACTTCTTCCCAGTTTACAGCACAACTTTCTTACTTTATACAAAATGGATTCAGTTTACTCAATGGGACGCACTCTCCCCCTCCAGCACCGCATCTACTTTATCTCCAAGATGAAGCTCTCTGAATTTTACAGATCTCCTACTGATGCCTCTATGCGAAAGCTTGTACTTATCAACAACGCAATCAAATCCACCCAAAGCTACCGGTCAACTCCTCCAACCGAGTATGAGACTGTTCCCCTCACAAGACAGTACTCTCAGCCCACCCGGATAGCAGACGATCAGGATACCTCTCTCCAGCAAGAATGGCTTGATACTTGCCTAGGAAGCCTTGAAGAAGAAGATGACGAAGAAGACGACGATGAGGAGCTCGAGGTTCTGGAATCCTCTTACATAGATGATGAAATCTTTACCTCACGTACAAGCGAAGACTGGGATTGGAGTTTATCAGCACCTGCTGGGCAACATGAATTCTTTGACGAAGCCTTAACAACCACAAACACTGATTACAAATGGGCAAATGACTTTGATAACAACCGATCTATCGAGAGCATGGAAATGGACGAGACTTTTCTGTAAAAAAATATCTTTGTATTATTCATCTCTATTTTTATACTGTATGTACTACATTGAGTGTACAGTCTTTCCCTTTTTTTTTGCAATAGAAAAAAAAATCAATTGTATTAGTATATAGTATAAAAATCTAACTTAATATCGTGTTAATATCCCATTTATATATAGTTTCTTCTTCTTCATTTTTAATTTCATTTCATTTCGTTTCATTCCATTATTTATTATTATTTAAATGTATCCTTTATACATTTACCAAAAAAAATCAAAAAGCAATTCTATATGTATGTAATCTTGTATATCTTCAAGCCATAATAAATAAATAAATAAATAAATAAATAAATAAATATATAAATATTTAGACCCAAAATCTTGGATTTTTTTTATATAATTTGTAGGATCATTGTAATTAGTATCCTAGCAATAAGTTTTAGATCTATGATTAAACATTTCCTCAGTCAGTCTTGTTCAATCATCATTTAAAACTTCTATTTTGAAACAGGATGACGTCCAAAATATGAAACAGCGCTAACAATTCGAGTAAAATTTGGCATAAACCGTACAACGTTTGATAAAGAGTTTATCAAGTAAAACAGAAAAAAAAAAGAAGCAAAGAACTCTTTTTTTGGGAGGATCGTCAGAGTTATTTCGGATCCAATATCCCGCAAATTGGAGGAAGAGGGAGGAGGGGTTTTATTTTTCTTGGGCTGAGTGTGGCTTGACTTGCCGCAGTTGGTTTAGTTGCCATGACAACCATATCTGTGACACGTTCTAATGAAATACACGGCAGAACTTGAGTAACACAAACAGAGGCATTTCTCTATATATATATTTTGTAAAGAAAAAGAAAATAAACTCAGATTCTCAAAAACTGATTACCATTGTGGCTTGATATGTATGTTGCCATGGTTATATGTTAAAACATTATTTATTTGTTATTTATTTATTTATTTACAAAATGAAACAAATAATGACAAAAATGACCTAGGAAATGTTGGTATTTGTATGATCAGATAGTACAAGGATGGCTGTTTGCTTGCTTTGTGCATTTGACCTGGTTCACGTAATACAAAGAAACTCAAGCCATAAAATAATATATAAATATACTTTAAAGTATAGACTGTGGATCTAAGAAACAAAAAAAAAGAATTAAAAAAGATTGAGAAACTTATATATATATATATAAAATAAAGCTACTTGTGTAATAACTTGTTTAGCAGCCGAACATGTGGAATAATTATAGTGGCAAGGAGTATTATTGATCTTGTGTTTATAATGTTTATACTGGCCATGCATTAAGTCACGTCTTTGACCCAAATAGTATATTGTTTCTGCAAACAAAAGCTTGAAAGAGTAATATTGGGTACAGAATACAGAAATTACTTGGGATCGGAACAGACATTGAGACCATTTTTATATGACTGGCTATAGCATTATTAAGGAGAACTTTATGAGGATTCTTATTAATATACTTTATATAAAAGACAACAGGGAATCTCGTTAACAATATATATATATATATATAAGTCTTTGTTTGTGTTTAAACAGTAGAAAAGGCATGGGTTTCTAAAGAGAATGGTGCTATTTGTTTAGACTGAAAATTTTTTTATCAAGGTTTCAGAGTCTTGTTCTGAGCTAAAAAAAAACTATTAAGATCAACAGTCAATTCTAGTGAATAGTACAATTGTAAGGAGACATGGTAAATGGAAGAGGTATAAATAAGGCAGGTTCATCTTGTCTGTTTGCCTTTCTCGTTTTTTTTCTTATTCAATCATTTTCCAGGCGATATATCATATCTATGATGATGGTAAAAAGTTTGCTTTTTTTTTTTAAAAAAAAAAAGAAAAATTGTGTGTGAAATTCTTTTATTTTCAACCAATATTTTTGCATTCCTTTGGTCGATATATTATTTGTTTATTATCACCAAGGTAATATATAAAAAGGAAGCGAGACGATGACATACACCACAAGGAAAATTTTTTCCCTCTTTTATTATAATTATTCGTATTTCGCATCCACCAACCCCTCCCCACTCCCCCTCTCTTTGACTAAGAGAAATAAGATAGCAAAGCTTTGAATTGTCTTCTTTCTCCTTTTACTCTGCCCATTAGATTACACATCTTCTTTTGTACTTTCTCGCACCTTCTTGTGCTTTAATTTATTCATATTATTCTTTCGGTTTAATCCTTTATTAAAAGAAAGGAAGACATGCGATCAGGTTTCATAATCTCGATTCTTTGTGCGGTCGCTACGGTTCAAGCGCTGAATCCTATTGTAATCAAAGGACACAAGTTCTTTGATTCTGTCACTAAGAACCAGGTTTTCATCAAGGGGTAACTACCATACTAGAATAATAATAACAATAATTAAAAAGAGAATCAAGGGTAAATATATATATATATATATGTATATGTATATGAGAGAGAAAGAGAGAAAAGAACCATACAAATCCTATTTATTATTATTATTATTATTATTGTTATTATTATTCATTAATCTGATTATTTTATTCTTAGTGTTGCTTACCAGCCTCGTTCAGATGGTATTTCAAACGGGGATCCACTATCAGACGCATCTGCCTGTGCACGGGATGCGTCTTTGATGGCGAAAATCGGAATGAATGTCGTACGCGTTTATGAGGCAAGACAGCAACATTTTGTTAACCAGAAGTGAAGTATATATTAATCATTATGCATGATTAGATCGATCCACGAAAGAATCATGACGCCTGTATGAAATCCTTTGCAGACAATGGAATCTATCTGTTATTGGATATAGCTACACCAAAATACTCTGTTAACCGAAACAGTCCAGAATACAATGTTCATCAGTACAATTCTTATACAGCTGCTATTGATGCATTTGGTCATTACGACAACATATTTGCCTTTATTGCTGGCAATGAGGTGACAAACGATCGCACAAACACCAAGGCATCTCCATATGTCAAGGCAGTAATCAGAGACACAAAAAACTATATTAGAGAAACACAAAAACGAAAGATCCCAGTTGGATATGCCAGTAATGATGATGAATTTATCCGAGGTGCAATCAAGGATTATTTTGCATGCGGTGATTCGGACACACAGGCAAGTAAAGAAGAAGAAAAAAAAAAGCCCCCGGCATATAAACTCTTCTTCTTGTTCTTCTTTTATCTAGGCTGATTTCTTTGGTGTAAATCTATACGAATGGTGTGGTGACTCAACATTTCAAAAATCTGGATTTGCAGATCGCACCAAAGAATTTGAAACCTACAGCAAACCTGTATTTTTGTCCGAATATGGTTGTAATCTTGTCTCTCCGCGCAAGTTTGGCGAAGTAGCGGCATTGTATGGACCGGACATGACAGATGTATGGTCAGGTGGTGTGGTGTACGAGTGGACGCAGGAGAACAATAACTATGGATTGGTCAAAATCGATAGTTCAACCGGAAAGGTTGAATTACTCCCAGATTACAACAACCTACAAAATGCACTTGCCAAGGCCAATCCTAAAGGAGTCACACTAGACAATTTCAACGAGCAGCGAGCAGAACCGGATTGTCCAGCAAACGATGACAGCTGGAAGGCTTCCGTAGCCTTACCGCCTACCCCTTCAGAAGGTGCATGCGAGTGTATGCAGAACAACCTTGCTTGCGTTGCGTCGGACAAGGTGTCCAATACAGACTCAACATCCATGTTAACAAATAGCAGCAGCATCATTGGCATCCAGATAGATTCTTTGTGTGGAATGGTTTCATGCAATGATATTGGCAGTAATGGCGAGACTGGTCACTACGGAGCATACTCTTTCTGTTCTCCCGAAAGCAAACTTAGCTGGCTTTATAGTCTTTATGTCCAGGACAACCAGGCGAGCAGATGCGACTTTAATGGGTTTGCTAGACAGGAGTATCCCAAGCGTAATGACATTGGCAGCTGTTCAAAAATCGGTCCTACTATCAATAGTAGTGGTCGTGAATTTGTAGATGCAAAGAAAAGCGCGGCAACTGTTTATAATCCTAATGTCTTGATCTCTTCAACTGCATTGATAGCCGTCGCAATATTCTCTTACGGGATGCTTTAAAGAATATATATATATATATATACATAAGCCACAGGGGAAAAAGATAGATATAGGAGAGGGAGGGGGTTTGTATTGCTTTACTTGCTTGTATTCATAGGTTAAACAGCTATTCTGCCCTAGAAAATGAATAAAGAATATAAACTTTGTCCTAAGAAAAGAAAAGTAAAAACACACACATAAAAGATACTTAACAAACTACGGACAAATTTACCTTTTTGTTGCAGGCAGTTGTGACCAATATGACGCTTAGAGATCTGCAAGACACACCCTTTTTGGACAAGCGCAGATGTCGCTTCTCTGTATGTCTTCAATTGCCTTGTAAATACTAGCCGAACCAGTACCATAATCAAAAGGGAGTTTTTTTTGTCTTGTACATAGAATGAAAAATATAAAATAAAGTGATTGATTATTTTTATTTTTATTTCACAAACGTCCCCTCAATATCCTTTCCTATCCTACCCCTTTAACAAACCTTCTTGCCATTTCCTTTTTCCTTCTTCTTCTTCTTCTTCTTCTTTGTGGCCAAAGATAAAATTCAAATTACCAAGCCAGAATTACATACATACATACATACATATAGATAGATAGATAGATAGATAGATAGATAAAAGCGCCAATGAAGAAAACCAAAATAAATAAAAAAAAATTTAAAAAAAAATTGAGTAAATCAAAACTAAAACTAAAACTAAAATCCAATTAGTATAAATATGAAACAACTGGCTTGCGTCTCTATAGCATTACGACAGAAGACCTCCCTGCACGTCCTCTCCCTTTTTTTTTTCTTCTTTCTTTCTCTTATATATATAAATATATATATAAATATATATCTGTATATATATATATATATATATATATATATATACTTCTTCTTCTTTTTCTTTTTTATACCTTGCCTTCATATCAGCACATATTTCCCGCCATTTTATCCCTGTCATCTTTGTCTTCATTTTCACCCTAAATTTTTCTTTCCCATTCAAAAGATTAATAGTAGTAGTAGTAGTAGTAGTAGTGGTAGCAGTGGTGGTAGTAGTAGTAATACAATACAATATAACACACTATAATATAATAATCTTAATATCGATAATATGTTGGAAACAGACCATCTACAGACCATTACAAAAGAAATCGTCAGAACAGATCCTCAGTCAAATATCATATCTCGTCCCACCCAACAAAGAAAACAGAACAGATTAGGGCCTTATTTACTATTGCGTACACTAGGCGAAGGAGAGTTTGGCAAAGTCAAATTAGGAATGCATATTGAGACTGGTCAAGAGGTATATTCATATATATATATAAATAAATTCTTTTTGTATTTATATTTATGACCTGTGCATATATGTATGCATAAATTTATATTTAAATATAAATATAAATATTATTATTATTATTATTATTAGACTGTAGCTTATTAGACTGTAGCTTATCCTGTACCTTGTATCTTTTTTTTTTGGTTGCTCGGATATTACTATATTTGGCATATCTACATGCACAAGGCTCATCTATTGTGCTCTTAGGTTGCTGTCAAGCTTATAAAGAAGACTATAGTAGATAGCACGTGTAGAGCTAATAAGATTGAGCGTGAGGTGTCTATTCTAAAGGTAAGAAGTATAGGTTTAAAAGAGACGTTATTGAATGTTGCTATTGATATAGTCTCTCAATCATCCATTTATTGTCAAATTGGTGCATGTGGTTGAGACGGATAAGCATATTGGGATTATCTTGGAATATGCATCGGGTAAGCATAAATACCCAAAATAAGAAAATCTTGAAGCTCACTCGACTATTGCCATCTATTTGTATTTTTTTTTTATTTATTTTTTTGCCGTTTAGGCGGAGAGCTATTTGAGTACATTTTTGCTCACCGTTACCTTAAAGAGAAAGATGCCCAAAGACTATTTGCACAGTTGATAAGCAGTGTGCAATACATGCACCAGAAGAAGATCGTCCATCGAGATTTGAAGTTGGTAAGATGTTTGTGGTCCTGCACGAGCCCTATAATTTCTTTCTTTCTTCGTTTGGTATTATACATATATAAGCATTAAAAGCTATACACAATTATGTATTGCTTGTCTATATTGGGGAAAAAACATACTTGTTTTGTCACATAAAATGTACAACAGACCCACCCATTTAACATAGCATTAGCTGTTTAAAGGAAAATCTTTTGCTCGACCGCAACCGGAATGTGATTGTCACGGATTTTGGATTTGCGAACCAGTTTGAAGACAACGACGATTTGATGTCTACCTCTTGTGGATCACCATGCTACGCTGCACCCGAATTGGTGGTGACGGACGGACTCTACACGGGATCAGCCGTCGACATCTGGTCGTGTGGAGTGATCCTATATGCCATGCTCTGCGGCTACCTTCCCTTTGACGACGATCCTGCCAATCCAAAGGGTAACAACATAAACCTCCTCTATCGCTACATCCTATCGACACAACTAGCGTTCCCAATACATGTGGGTCCAGAAGCCCAAGATCTACTTCAAAAGATGCTTGTCCCTGACCCTGTCAAACGGTCGTCCCTGCAGTCCATTATCAACCATCCCTGGCTAACATCCTATCGCCATCTATTCAACTTTTCAAGCCAACAGAGTGATCCAGAACATAGCCAATCTATTTCTGTCTCTAATAAAGAAACTCAAGACTGTGAAGATCTAGAAAATCCTATATACGATGACAAAGCTACAGTGCGCAGGGACCCAGTAGACTCACGGGTGGCAGCGGAAGTTTTTGACGCAAAAGCTTCGATAAATGTTCGCCCACAGGCTCGGATATTATTGCCAGATTCAGGTAGTAGTAATAGTATAATTGATGTCCACAGTCAAGATCAAGACCGGTCCGGAATAGGATCTTGTGCCTTGACGTCCGGTTGTTTTTCTTGTACCGAACAACCATCAAAAATTGTGACGAATGCTCCGGTTGAAAAGGCTCGTCAAAAGCACAAGAGCCGCGCTTCAGACCTTTTGTCTAGTCTTGTCAAGTCCAAACACGAACCAGCAGATAAGCGACTATCTGTGATCGAAAACAACCCAACCCCAGAGGCAGTTCCATCACCGTCTTTCTCTCGGCAAAATTCTCGGTGGATGACAACCATATGCAGTCGAACCCTTCCTCACAGCTCAGCGCGGCCGTTCTCAGATGATAGACCAAGGTCGCTCCAAACGTCAATTTATGACTGTATTCAACACACAAAACGTACACGGCTTGACCCACAAACAGCAAAGGAACAGCACCAACAACACCAACAGCACCAACAACAGCAGCAGCAGCGACAACAAAATTCTCCGGTTTCTCGAGGTACTCGACAGCCGCATATTACCAGCACATTAGTCGATACGCGTCACATAGCACCAGAAGATCGGATAATATTAACCGAACCGGAGGCTCGACATGGAATGGAATGGCAACGCAACCCTACCAATAAACGTCATTCATGGATTCCACTGTCAATTGACCCGTCCGTATCCGTGCAGAGCAATAGCCGGTTGGACAACAAAGCCAAAAAAGGAACAGGTCAAAAGGTTATGGCATGGATAAAACGAAAATCAAGAGGTACCTAGTTCTCTTTCTTCTTTTGGATATTTCTGATTACGATATACCAAGTGCAATTGTTTATTGTTATTTGATTATTTCTTTTTGATAAGGCAAGGATAGAAGACAGACTATGGATGGAAGAGTATGTACACCAGTATCTCCTACTACAGGATCTTATTCTGTCCAAGGCCTTTCATCATATGAATCTCCTCCAGACAATACTGTATCAGAAGCTCATATAGAAAACCTGCGTATTCATGAAGGTGCTATTGATAGAGACGGTCTCTCGTCTCGGTCACCGACTGAGATTATGGCTAGCCTAGAAAAGACTCTCAAAGCTTTAGGAATTGATGTCAAATATGATGGAGAGTATTGCCTCAAATGCATTCGCCGTAAGGTACGGGTTCCAGTCTCGACTGATTCACAACCACATCAGTTGTCAGCCGGATTCAATCTGGAGCCTGTGTATGGAGATCCAGCCTTTGATTGTGGCGATGAAGTGCGTTTTATTGTGGAAGTGTGTCGTTTCCGCAATCTTCCTCACCTGTACATTGTGGACATACGACGTTTGAAAGGCAACGTTTGGGTTTACAAATTCTTATATCGTAAACTGTTTGGCCTAATTGATCTTGGTAGTCAAGGTGGTAGTCAAGGATATTTGTGAATATTTTTATATATTGTCTTTCTTGAAGATGAAACTAGATATGAACGTCGTGTTAAAATATATACATATATAAATTAAATTAAAATAAAATAAACTTTCGACATAACACAAAATGCACCAAAAGCAAAGCATATATAAAGTAGCCAATAAAAGCCAGTCGGTTATAGGAGATTCCTGTTTTCCGGCAGATCTAGGTGACGCACAGAAATGGGTTGTTGGTGTACAGTACTTTGTATTTGAAGCCAACCAACCAAGAAAATATATATTAAAAAAAAAAGAAATGTTGCTGATTGTTGGTAAATAATTTAGTAGGCTGACCAAGTCAAATTTGGCTGGCTATTGTCATATCGGTAATGTATAATGTGAAATGTGTAATGTGAAATATTGCATGTGGTTGCTGACAAGCATGGTAGGACGGCGCAACTGTTTTCCCGATTCGAAAATTCTTCTGACCTTTAATCGGCTATACACAATTCCAAAAAAAGATGGAAGAAAAATAAAAAAAAAAAAGCACCAGCATAAATACAAAAATATATATTAAAAATATAAAATAAATTTAAAGTGGTCGAGATTTGCTTAGCACAATCACAAACTTACCTTTTCTTACTTTCTTACCTTGGACTATAAATACCTTTTTTTTGTCTCTCTCTCTCTCTTTCTCTCTTTTTTTTTTTTTATATATATATTTTTTTGACTACCAAACTATACATATGACTGACACAGACCTTCTCCACACACTTCTTCCCAGCCGTGACCGTAGCTCTAGCAGCCCAGCCAACCCAAATGAACGCCCTGAAATACACAAAAAACCTTCCTACACTAGTCTTCAGGACCGATTAACCGTTCATGACGTACGCACACCCGACACCCCAACCACGACCAAAAAACACCATCGTAATAGTCTCTCAGGATCCTTTCGACTAAGAAAACATATCAGCTCAGAGAATCTAGAAGATGGCGACAAACGCCGTAGTCTACCACCCGCGAGCAATAGCACCACCCATCTCGATACTCATGTTCTCGACACAGTCCCAGCTACAGAAACTCTTCTTGGAGGCTGTAGTCCTGCATCTGAGAAAGCCAACAGAGACTTTCACACTCTTTTTCGAAGCGTGCCTTCTACCGATCGTCTTGTAGATAGTAAGACCCTTTTTTGTGCTTTCTTTGAGTCCTACCCTTTTTAATCATTGTTACTATTCTTTCTACAGTATACAAGTGCGCGATCCACAAAGACATATTAAACCAAGGACACCTTTATGTTTCTGAACACCACGTCTGCTTTAAATCCAATATCTTTGGATGGGTGACTACTGTAAGCTCTTCTTGCTATTATGTAGTCGCGCTAGTCTATTTAATTAGGTTTGGCACTCATGTAATGTATGTCTTATTTTCATTTATATATATATATATACACTTTTTTTTTGGAATACAGCTTGTCTTGGCATTTACTGAAATCACAGCCATAGAAAAGAGAATGACGGCTCGTATTATTCCCAATGGTCTTACAATTAGCACTGTTGGCGCAGATGTAAGTTTACTTTCTTATTTCCCTTTCTCTCCAAGAAAGAAAGAAAAAAAAGCTTGGACTTGTAGAATAAACAAACTCAACTCAAACTGCTTTAATTTTGTGTAGCATGTGTTTGCCTCGCTTTTATTTAGAGACGAAACTTACGAGCTCCTTATTAAGCTTTGGAAACTTCATCAGTCTCCGGCCGTTATAATTGAACAGCCAATTCAAGATGAATTCGACAGAGTTTCCGAATACGATGATAATCATGACTATGAGGCGTCCACAGTAGTAGGAAATAACATAAGCACTACCACGACCATCAGCAACGGCTACACCAACAACAACAACAACAAGGATATAATTAACGGACGGAGTATCACTTCGCCATCTTTGGAGAACATTATTGCTCAGCCTCAGCCCCAATTCCAGGTCCAATCTCAACCCCAATTACAGAAACACAATCTGCTTCCAGGTGGCGGAAACGAGAACGATAATCACAATAATCATAATCATAATAATAATAATAATAATAATAGCGGCACTATCTCAGCCTCTTCGGAACCCAAGGAAGTTGCTAGATCCTTGGTATCCGAAAAGGCAACATCGGCTACTTCCTTTCTCTACAACCTCCTTCCTCCTTCTACACCTCTCCCAGGACCACTCCGAAACCCAACCACTACAGCTACACCTTTACCACATACATGCACATGTACCACAAAGAGAGATCCCTATCCTATGGTAGCACTCGATCATACGTTTGCTGGAACCGTTGAAACAATGTACAGGATCTTGTTTGACAGTGACTTTATGAAAAATTATCTTGAGAAGAAAGAGAACCAGAAAGGTATGTTCTTTCTATTAAAAAAGAAAAGAATGACTTGACTCTTGTAACTCATCGAATTTAAACAAAACAAAAGATGTCAAGATGGGTCAATGGATACATGGTCGACGAGATAATGTGTATAAGTTATCTTCAGGTGTACAATGTAGTTCTTCAAACCAGATTCTACACCGACACATGCCTACTCATGTAGCAGTAGCAACCTCGACCCGGACACCACAAGCATCTGTGGGATCAATATTTGTAATTAAATCGAGAACCTGCATTCGGCAGGTTGATCCGCTACAGGTTCATGTCAAGGTTACATTCAAGACCAAGTTTATTCCCAGTGGACTTGTTAGCTGTAAGTATTATTTCACAAGTCATTTAACGTGCTGTTGTTAACCTATTGTTTAAAAGCTATAATTGAGAGAAACGTAATAGAAGGTCTGACGTCAGTATTTGGGGACCTGGCTGTTTTATTAGAACAGCCCAATATCGTTCGTGGGTACACTGTTGATCAGGACCTTTTGAATCGGATAGAGAACGAGAGTGAGCGGCGTCGAGTGGCAGAGATGTCAGGACTGAGAAGGGCGGCCTATTCTTTTGCACATTCGGCAACTTCCTTGGTTGGAACATGCGCGAGTCTTGTTGGATCAGCACGTAGTCTGGAACTAAGTCTGAACAAATCCCAACTGCTCGTACTTGCCATGATATTGATTGTCTGTTGGCATATCTGGCTTGCGTACCGTATACATGTACTTGTTGACCAGGTAATAATACCACCCCTGTCGATGGAAAATCCGGTTTCCCCCCACGATTCTTCTCTTGAGTGGGCCCAGGAAAACCTTAAATCGATTGAGAATATGCTGAATATTCTTCAAAAAGATGCTCGGGAACAGAGAGAACAATTGATCAACTTTGTAAATATTTAAATAGTGTACCTTAGATTCATAAAACTTATACATATACATACATATACATACGCCTTTATTTTCTTATATAAAAGACATTTTACAGATACCCTGTAGTCAAATCAAATCAAATCAATTTTATTTTTTAAATATATATATATATACAAATATTATTTTATATTACACCATATAACAGATTTTAACATGCTTGTGGCTTAATCAATTAAAGATGAGTTACTTGTCTGACCCGGGTTGTGGAAATTGCCAAATAAGGGTAAACGAAAATGAAGAGAATCCGAGGTTATGGGATGAGCAAACTAAATGTATGTGTATATGTGTGTGGGTATGAATATGAGTTATGGGTTACAGGTATGAGTGGGTCGGTGTATGTACACACAGTATCAGATTGATTGCTTATTTGATCGGTAAAATGCATGAAATTTTTTTATTAAAAAAAAAGGGGGGGACGATGTGGTTAGATCATCAAAGCTCCAAATAACGCATAATCAAACCAATTCTTATTTAATTTTCTGGCCACAGGTTTTTCTTATGCTTGTAACAGTCCTTGGTTTTGGACATCATTCGATTTTATGTTCCAAAGAAAGTCATTATATAGATACAAATATAGATATATATGTTGGAATTATTTCCAGAGTAGGAAACACTCCCTGGACTCCAAAGAAAGGCACCCCTTCCTTAGTAGACAATATACAGATAATGTACCTTTAAAGAAGAAAGACAAATTGACTGAATAAATCTCTAAACTTTATGAGCCCCCCCCCCCCTTGGCAAAAACCCTTGGCAGACAGATTATCATTTTGAAAAGAGGAATCAAAATTGGTTGTTTCTAAACCATATTATATCTACATATAGCTTATATTTCTATAAAAGTGGGGGGGGGGGGGGGGGGAATTCATTAATTTGGAATTCCAGAAAAATGCCAAGATGTATTGTACTTGCAAAAGAAAAAAGAAATCCCAAGAGCAGGAACTCAAAGTCAAATAATGAGAATAGAAAAATTACGAAACACCCTGTTTCCCTTGTGGATATTCTACTATTAATAAAGTTGAATTATATTACTGATTTCCTATGATACTTATTCTCATAAATCTCATTTTGAAATCTATTGATATCACTAGGGTGCTATTATATGTTTTATGAAAGAAAGATATTAATTGTCGTGATCTGTAAAATAGAGATAGAAACCATATGGCTATGTAAGTTTGCTTTATTTCTATTTTTACGTCGTTAATCGTGTAACAGTCTTGATTATTACTATTTTATGGTCTTTCTACAGTGACATCTTGCTAAGCTTCTCTAAGACGTCTATATCTTTTGTACACAAAAATGTGCAGCTAGTTTGTGACATCAAATGAACGCATTGGAGTCTGATAGTTTAGCGCTAAACTATGCCCTTTTTTTTAGCGCCCTTTCTTTTTTTTTTTGTGTAAAGAAGCACACGGGAGGATAGATCTTGGTATTAAATTCAAACACAGATTATAGAACTGATATCTTGTATTCAAATATGTAGATTTATTAGGTATTTTACTTATACCTTTGGAATAGAAGATTGCATGTACAAGTACAATGGATAGCCTCATATGAAGGACAAGTATTTATACTTAAAGCTAAAATATCATCTAGGACCCTTACAGATGTGAGACTCCTTATTTTGACTTTTACCCCCTTTCTCTTTCTTTCTTTTTTTTTTTCCTACCTTGAAGTTCTGTGCCTTACCGTGCTTGCCTTGCTGTGCCTGTTACTTGTTTTCTGGGATATTATTGGCTATAATGTGAGCCTGGGTTCAGCGATTTTTATTCGCCTCTTTAATATGTCTAATGAATGCTGCTGATATATGTAAAAATAAAAATCAAAGGCTGGCATTTGTTTGTGAAAGCATGTATTTACCTTTCTGAAACTCTGGGCAAATACCAAGAACTGTTCTCACTCAATATTTCAATACATACACACGCATATATAAGTGTGTCTGTATGTGTACCCCGTAGATCCTGTCTTACATTCATTGTATTTTTAGCCCAAAGTGTACTTATTTTAGAAAAATATGTACATTTTCCATAGTACTCTCATGTATTATACATCATGTATACTTGGATCAACTCGAATCAAACCATAAAATGGCAATTGACTCTAAATTATGTAGTCTAAACGTTTGGTACATTGAAAGCTTTGTTTTTATCAAAGGTTCATAAAAGTACGTGATTTTATGATAAAAAGGGACTTGAATAGTACATGCAATTGTCTTCCTCATATATATATATATATATACAAAAGTCGAATAAGTGTAAATCAATTATATTGGCTTTTGAAGAGGGATTGGGATTGCGGATTAATAATGGTACTTATTTTTATCTCAAGATGTGCTACGTGAGTAGTACTGAATGTTCAATCTATAAGCGAGAAATAAAATAAAATAAATAAGAATACACGAAAGTAAAGAGGTAGAATTGAAATATAATGATATTGCCAGATTAGCGTGTGTACAACGAGAAGCAATTCAGATCAAATGTGAAATGATAAAGTTGATCAGGAAAATTGTAAGCTTATTTTGAAACAATTGGCATATATATCATAAGCCCAATATAACACTTTTATTTTTGATTTGGGTTGGAATTCTTTTCAATACTAGGTTCAACTACCGAACATTGACTCTCTTTTTTTTTTCTTGGCGAACGATTTGAACATATAAATACCGAAAATATATATGCGTAGATATAATAAATCATCCTTTCTATCCTTCAATTACCACCATCACTACTATCACTATCGATATCAATAGTAGCATTAATCAATCAAGTATATAGCAAATATGTCGGCTCAAAATATTCTTCAAGTCATTCTTCCTGCTCGCAACCGGAGTGTCAGTGATCCAAATAAATTAAACCTTGTTCCTGAGCCAGAGAGCTCCTCTTCTTCTAATGGCCTTTCCGAATTATATCGTCTCAAAAGATATGCTCGCTCTGACATGTCTATCTCATCAATTCTCGAGAAAGGCCGACGCCCCAGAATACAATCTGTCAACAGTGATTTGCTACAGCTGTCCGACACCGAGACTTCCGATGCATCCAATCATATTATTTCACTTCTCGGAAGATGTACTCCTTCGTCTACAAAATCAAACCGAGCTTTCCATTCTCTCTTTTGCAGTGTACCTTCAAAAGATCATCTCATTGATGGTAAGATATTCTTAAACTGCCAAACTACAGTCAAATATTCTTACTATCTTTTATGTATATATAAACACTCTCTTATTTTGTAGTGTACAAATGTGCAATTCAAAAAGAGATCTTACATCAAGGGCACATTTACGTTTCCGAACATCATGTCTGCTTCAGATCAAACATCTTTGGCTGGGAAACTACCGTAAGATCCCTATATCATTATACGCACATTATACATTAAAAAATAAAAGAAAAAGAAAAACATTGTTGCTCATATAACTCTTGTTCTATTTGACTACAGCTTGTCATGGCTTTTACCGAGATTACAGACATACAAAAAAGAAAAACAGCAAAAATTATTCCTAATGGCTTAACCATAAGTACCTCCAATGCTAATGTAAGTGATTCTTTTTTGCCTTTTCCTCTCAAATCAGAATCACATTTTCTAAAGCTCATTTTATTTTTATACATATAGCATGTGTTTGCCTCCCTTTTATTCCGAGATCAAGCGTATGAACTTATGATGAAACTGTGGAATCTTCATAAATCCCCGGAAATCATCATAAGCCAGCCGACCAAGAATGAATGCAATGACTTTGATGATTCGACTACGCTTGGATCCGCCAGTATAATAAACGGCGAAAGTAACACACAAGCGTCGATTGAACAAGATGACACCTGTAATTCGGAAACTAATGAAATTCAGCCTAATTTACTACATGAGGGACAAGAGTTGCTTGGCGACAGCCAGTCTTTTTCACCCAAGAGTTTACTATCCAGATCTCTGGAATCTACCGTCACACTCGTTTCAAGCTACTATCCTACTACATGCAAATGTATCTCGGAGGAAAAACCTCACCACCTAGTCGTCGTCGACCAATCCTTTCCGAGCTCTGTAGAAACAGCATACAAGCTCTTGTTTGAAAGTGACTTTCTAATTAATTACTTTGAGCAGAAAAGAAGTAAAGGTGTGTAATTTATCACAAAAAAGTATACCACTTTATTCTTTTATGTACGTTTATACTAAGCAAACCAAAATTTGTTTTTTTCTTGAAAATATTATACAGCCAAGTCAAGTGAAATGCCAGAAGATCAACGAAATTCTACAAAGAAATCTACAGGCAAGTCTTTATCATTAGTCAAATAAGAATATTTGGTTATGATCTTTAGAATCAAAATAAATAACCATATCATTTTTTCCTGGTAATCCTTATACAGAAAGAGGTTATAATACTACGCACAAAACACTTCATTTGGATAAATCCAAGCATATCGCAGTAGAGAGCACTACCATTCATCACCGTGCCCCTGGAGGTTGCACATTTGAATTGAAGACTAGAACATGTATCCGAAAAACTGATCCTCTTCGGGTAAATCTCCGAATCACAATCAACATTGAATTTATTTCCAATGGTTTCCATAGTTGTAAGTTTACACAAACGGCTTGGCATATTTTGTATGTGTGTAAATGTTACTAATTTACACACACACACACACACATTTTTTTTATATATTTTTATTTAAAGCTATACTTCAGAAAAGTGTAATAGATATAATGAAGGGTGTATTTTCATCAATCTCGGACTTGATCGGCAAACGCGATTCTATTCACCTCTATACTATGGATAAAGATATCTTGTCCCGCTTGAGCACAGAGAGCGAAATGCGCGAGCGTGCAGAAATCTACCGAGTATCACATCCTATTTACTCTGGAATCCAATCAGTAGTCTCATTGATAAAGCCAAAAAGCAGCTCACTAGAGATCGGTTCGTACCATATGGTTGCCCTTGGCGTAACATTACTTGTTTTTTGGAACTTGTGGATGGTCTATCACACCAATAAGCTTCTCAACCACAAGCTTCAGGAATCAATGAAAAGCACAGTTCATCGCAGTGAAGATCCATTTGAGGTGATTTTCGACAGTATCAAATCAATTGAAAATGTGCTGGACATTGTTCAAAAAGACGCTTTACAAAAAAGACAGCAATTGATAGAGTTTATAGAAACCTAAGATACCCTTTACACACATATACATATATACATAAACACATATCCTAATGTTAGAATATTCATTATATCACCCAAACAGCACAGGTGCTTTTGTATTTTAATAAATGTTTTCTTTCTTTCTTTCTTTCTTTCTTCTGTTTTTTTTTGTATGGTACAAGTCCAGATAATTCTTATTATTTAGAAATTATTTCAATATCCAATAGTCAAATTCAAAATTCTAGAGCTTTTAAGTAGTAAAACTCCAATCAATTAAAGCCAAAGCAGAAAGAACAAGCTTAGAGAAAAACCAATTTTTCATTATTTAATAAAGAGAAAAATATCAATACCAAATGACCTTTTTTTTTCTCTTTGAAAGTAATATAATCATCTTATGGTAGTTCTTTTTAAAAAGTATAAGTTCCATTATAGTAACTACTTTACTCTCCTGTAATTAGCATCACCGATAAATCCTTAACTGTATCTCTCAATAAAGGGTCAAGTCATTGGTGTTGTAGAATCAAAATAGCCTTTATAAATTACTCGACCTTGTTCATAGCCAAGTCAACATTGGTCTTGAGTAAGCTAAAGGTGTAGTTAGACTATCTGTGTTTTTTTCTGGTTACATCCTTAATAGAATCTCCGGTATTTAACTTATACTACATAGTATGGAATGGCTGGCGTGTCAGTGCCAAATTAGACCTTAATAAAATGATAGAATTCGATCTTTTCAGTAGAATTTATTTGCCAAGTGCTTTCATTTTCATTTGTACATGAATACTATTAGTAACTAAATCTCTTAAAGAGTAAATTTTGAAAGCGTTTATTATGTTCTGCACAATAATCTCTAAAAAAGCTTATGGCAAACACTCCTTCTCTCGGAAACTCATCTTGGTACTTTCAACTATCGGTATAGTCTCATTTCAATAAATCTCATGCTTAAATTCAAAATTTCTCCATCTACCGTATTATGCTAATTCAGATTATATACATGTACAAACAAAAGAAAAATACTTTCTCTTGTGTTCTTGAACAAAAAGTGCACAGACCAGTTTAGAGTAACCTACAAATCGCCGTTATAGAATTTTATACTCCATCTTTAGAGTTATTGCTATACCGATCAATACCGAACACTTTATTACTTCTTTGCTTCTTTGCTCTACTTTACTTCGCCTTACAAAGTCATTTTCATAAGTACTTTGAGTAAATAGTATTAGCTGTCTCTTCTGCAGTATAATAGTTACACAAACTTAGTAAAACGCCTATATATCTATGTCACGTTTGCTTTGACGTGGTCATCTAAGACTGACAAAAAGCGCAGTCCTAAACTTTAATCGCAGATGAAAAGTTTTTCTGTTACAAATAGAACCCCTCCAACGCGTGTCGTTTGTTTTCTCCTTGAGCAACAACAGTCCCGGTTTCATAGTGAGGCGTCTCTTGCGACCGTTGCAGGGAGATTCTTCCATGCTACAAGCATCGGAAAGTGAAAGTTGTTACTCGCCAGCTCAGTTAATTCTGAGAAGTCGTGGGGCATGGTCTCTTTTCATTTATGGAAGGACTACTGTGTACATCGCATCGCCAATGTGGAATCATGATGCTGGGGGGAGGGAGGTCTAACCTGTGGTGAGATGTGCTGGCTCTTCACTGCTAACCTGACTGAACTCTTTAACGGCTGACGGTGAAGCTACTGGTAGTCGAATGAGTTGGACCTTATCACCTAGTGGTAAGTTCTCTGGCGAGTTCGCACCCACATTACTCGGTGACGAGATGTGGGGCTGGATGAACGGGTGCTTTCCGTTGGTTTGCCACCATTCCAGCACCTCCTTCGCTACCAAGTCAGGTTTACGTCCTGAAGGAGATTGAGCTGCGTAATGCGGGGACAAAGAACTTGGTGTCATGCTTTTTATTCTTTTACTCATGTAAAAGAACATTAACTGAAATCAAATTAAATCAAATCAAATCAAATCAAATAGCTTCTTTATGTGTATATGTAATAAATAAATAAAGTCTTTTTTTTTAACTATGATCGTCTTTAATAAAAAAAAACACGCTTTTAAACTTTTTTTTTCACTTGATGGAAGAGGTTAATGTTGTAATTAGGAGGGCTCATTTATAAGAGAAAGTCCATTTAGTCAAGCAAATTCGAAGATTAATAAAAATAAATGTTTGTATATTTTAATGTGATATAGATAACTCTGTCTAATTGTAGAGGTTGTCTTTGTCTATAAAGTATATAAGGGTACAGTCAAAATAGTTTTTTAAAATGCTGCTGGCTTGAAATGTATATTACGGAATTTGGCTTATTCGGATGAACATTGTGAAAAGGATGCATTGTAATGAGAGAAAGAAGAAAAACTAAAAAAAAAAAATAAGTGATAATTGAGAGATAAAGAATAAAGAAACGTGTGCTTGAAAGATACAGAAAAGGCGCGATGAATTGAACACACAAACAATGTCCTCATTTTACTTACACAGACTATGTACGAAAAGTTCAGTATTGACGTATTTATTAAAACCATAGTCATCATCTACTAAGCTTTTTGTACTTTGAATATCAGAGAATGCTTGGTAACTTTTTAATTTGCTATTGTATACATACTTGCAATTATATTCTCAGTGAAAAAGATATTGATATATTACATAATACATCCTTCAATGTTCTGTATAAAGAAAACACCAATTATTTACAGGCAGTTTTTTATATTACACTTTAATTATAAAATAAAATATAATGGGTATAAAGACATGGATGAAATGAAATGTAATTCAAATACATGCTGGTTATTACAGCCGATTCATTGATATGGTTTGTTTTAAGTCCAAGTGCTCAAAATATTCTGTGCTTTTGCCATCTCAATGTCATCAATTCTTCTTAAAGCTGTTACCAGTTTTTTTTCACTCAATTCTGAAGAGCATGAGAAATATATGTTGTATTAAGAAAATACAATCCATTAACCTTGATCGATAGAATAAACTCTTGTGAATTTTGTCATATTTGAAAGTGCTTATAAGCAATCAGGATCCCAGAAAAGGAACAGGATGGCTGTCAAAAAGAGGAGCGATTCATGCATCTCTTTCTGGTAAAACTCCAATTAGGCATCCGACTTTGCAAGAATTTGGACCTATACCTGAGACTGAATCCCATCTTTCAAGCCCAAGTAATATAATACTTACGTAAGAAGCGATAGTTAGCTACAACTATAACCATAGCCATAGCCATAGCCATAGTCTCTACGTCAAATTCTTCTGAGCTAGATTCCGCTGTTCGTTGGAACCCTAAGGTTGGTTCTGGCTCTGACAATTACGAAGCCATGTCAACCAAACGAAGAATTATTTAGACCAAACAGTCTAATTTACTGCCCAAGTTTCCCAAATCTTTTCTGTGTTATATCAGCAGATGCCAAGAGAGCTGTCTACTTATCCGAACAGTTGGTTCTTTGTTACAAACAAACAATATGTTTTCTCTCTCTCTTTGGATTATAAGTCATTACTGTTTGCTCGTAGTTATCGGCAAAAACATTACCCTCAAAATCTCAAAAACTGGAAAACCCAAAAACCCAAAAACTATAAATTTATCTAATTTGTCCCACCAAATATTGGACATTTTGTCAAAAGAAAAAAAAAAGGTATTTTTTGACTTATTTTTTATTATAAAAATAAAATATATATATAATTTAAATTTTTTTAAAAAAAAACCCTCCGATCTCGAATAAATATTTTTTTTTTAAAAAAAAAAGATCTTTTGTTTATCTATTTGTTTATTCTTTTATTTACACGCGTGTTTAATCCTTAAATTATTCGCTGTTGCTTTCTGTGGGTGTACTACCCATCTCGGAACAGTTGGTTGAAATGAGCATACTCCCTGCTTCTTTGAACAACATTCAATATGCGATTCATTTTGGACTTCTTGAGTTCATGAGAGACATGCGAGATGTTCTTGCCATCTCTGGCCAGGGCTTGGCCGATCTATATAATAAGATCAATTTGGGTGCTGAGGTAAGAGAAAAAAAATATTATACATCAATATGTGTTACTAATCGATTTTAAATATTTTGTTAAAATAAAATAAATAGAGACAGATCTAAAAGGCGTACTGCCAGAATCTTCTCCGTATCTTCATCAGGCCAAGGTGGAGAAGCTTTCGTCTGGATTTCAGGAATCCAGCTGTTGCACTGCTTGTCCAGATGTAAGTGGATTGTGTGGTATAGTTTACTCGCACCAAAGTATTGAAGTTGTATTTTTTTATCAGGTTGATAGCAATGTGGCCGTTGAAGACTGTCAATTTGTTGCCACGGATGGCAATTTTAGCCTGAAGTGTGAGAGGAAGAAAGGCGGTGAAGGTGATGTTGGCGAAAAGTTGGAGCAAGTAGAGGCTCAACTCAAGCAGGTGTGGATAGGCGATGGTGTGGTGAAGAAGTTCGAGAAGTAGAGAGCTGAAGAAGGCGTAAGTAATAAAAAGCGATATAATATGAAGCACATACTAAACCTTTTTTTTTTTTTTACTTTTTTACTTTTAGGTAGGGCGTTTCGACAGCAACTTTCATGGTGATTTGCTGGAGTCTGGCCGCAAGGTTCAGGGCAATATTGCTTTGTTCCTTGTAAAATTCACACTTTTACGCCGACTAAGAGAGTAAGTGCATTTAAGACTTTTTTCTTATGTTTTTTGTCATTAAAAAATCAATTTTATTGTAGGTTCGCTAATGATGCCAACGGAAATCATGTGAAAGATGAGATCAATAGGCTGAAGCACGAAATGGAGAAGTTGAAGACGAAGATCCAGGAGGAAGTTGAGGGCTTCCAAGAACCTGATGAAGAAAATACAAACCTCATAAAATATATAGAAGAAAATGCCCAGCTAGGGTACAACGAGTTCCTAGCTTACAAAAAAAATTCAAAGATGCGATTAGAGCCAATGTTCGAGCGTATCATGATACCTCGACATTGCTCTACAAATCTGGCCATATCGGTAAGAAGGGGAAAAGGTGATTGTGTTTATTTCATAAATTAATGCTTTTAAATATATATATAGGCACAAAAAAATCAAAGCAACACCAAACCAGCCTGAATAAACAGGCCAAACAAATTACCTACCTCCTCCAAGCATTTAACCTTGAATTCAATGGTAACAGTGATTTTTAGACTTTTCACAATGGAAATATTAAACTGTTATTCTTACTTTTATACTTGTTTTTTTAAAAGAGTCTTTGACCTTTGATTCAATAATCAATAAAAAAAATATTTTCTGGGATGCGGAAATCCGTCCCGAAGTCCATCTCTTTTTGGCAAAGAAAAGAGCAGAAGAAGAAGTTGCACTTCTGAAGGTAATAATCAATATAAAGATGCTAAAGGTTTTAAAAATAAATCAACTAATATATAAATTTTCAAGCATGATGCCTTCTGGCTCCAACACCGTGCCACAAAAGAAAGGACTTTAAGAGAGCAAGGGCTAAAAGCCCTTGACAATGCTGTAGGTACTCTGGACAAAGAGGTTCTTTGCGGGATGCAGTTCCTTTTGGCTAGAAAGCTTCGGCTTTCTGTGTCTTGGGAGCGAGCAGTCTTTGCTCAGACCAGTTTCCATCTGGGATCTTTCTATTTTAATAAACACAATATAAACTTTGATCTTTCAAAGCATGGATAAATGGGTATATTTCTTCCCGATATTAGAGATATATGATTTTGATCAGCAAATGTTTGTTATCAATAGTAATGATGCATATCATCTTACCTTATAGCTATAGCTATAGCTATATATTTTATGGAATAGGTATAAGTTCTAGATAGTAGAAATCCTACAAAAATTGGTACATATTCTTTCTTTTTTAACTCAATAAAACAGGCTGAATATTATCATTGTTGCCAAAAAAAATAATAAAAAGATACTATTAAATAGCTTTAGATTTGGAGGTAGATAAATAACAAAAGTATATTTCTGGTGGCATATGAATAAGAGAGAAGAAGAAAGGAAGAAGAGGCCGATGAATCTTTCACCGTTTGGCTTGTGCTCCAGCAATGGAGTTGACGGATATTTTCCGTTTTAGACTAGTTTTTTCTTTTGTTCCATCAACCCAGGCCAAAGGAAGAATAGGTTCGTTTTGGACGGTTAGCTCTTCATTCGATTTCAATATGTTGTTGTGTAAACAGGAAATGGCAAACAAGTCATCCAAGTATGCGACAATTTGGACAATATCCTGCTTTCTGGTGGGGATTGTAATGCTTGTCATTTCACAGAAAACATCTATTCCAGCCAATTGTTTCAAATGAAAGAATGTTGTAAAAGATCCTAAAAAGAAAGAATGGATTAATATCTTTTTGAATATTTCTCGAATCATACCAATTGTCTGGAAGGAAAGTACGCCATTCAATTTATATTTCTGGATAGATTATTGAGAAAACACAGAAAGGCGATACAAATCACTCATTGATAATGTATCACTTGTTTTCTCAATTTTAACTTCGCCAAAGCAGCTTGGAAAACTGAACTGGTATTGTTCGTAGACATCCACGACATAGTCGGGCCGTTGGTTTATATTGTCTGCTACAATTTTTGTATTGGAGCTACAATGCACAGTGACAAATGAGTTAATAAAAGCTTGGGATTTATTGCTTACCAGTGTGCTATTTAGGACGGGTTATTCACTGCCAACAGACTTTGTATGAGAGGGTGGGTATAGGAAGCAATTATATGACCTTTAGACAAGGGTTCCATATCAACATCCTTCCATGAGGGAATCCTAATTAATAAAAAAAAAAGAAACATTAAACGCTGTTAAATGGCAAGCCAAAATCACTTACAGCGATTCGATTGCGCGGACAATGTTTTGTTGTGGCCCTTCTATTGTCCTGGCTAGCGAGAGTAATCGAAGTTGCGCCTCTAGACTGTTTATTTCGTCCTCTCTAAAAGGCTGAAAGAATAGAACTTGAGCACTACACACACACACACACATATATATATATATATATTGCCATGTATTTACCACAAGGATGTCTTTAATTGATAATGCCAAGTTGGCTTCCATGGTTTTTCGAAATGCCAACTGCTTAATGGATTGCTGATATGATGCTTTAAAAGAAGGGGGGAGGTCAGCGGAGGATGAGGTGTTTGTCAGGGAAAAGGCTACAACAACTTACAGCTCATTGAAGTGTTGTCCCAAGCTGTCATATTTTGCACTGTTGGGTAAGCATTTCTTACGGTTCGCCCAAAAGACCTGAGCGTGCTGTCATCATCGATTCATAGCTTTTATTCGAATGTTTGTAATATACACTCCTGTTAGAGACATCAGAGTCGGATTTCTGGGTTCTTAATCCTTGATTCACTACATGTCATCTTTTTTTTTCATAATGTCGTATAGGGCTTCAACATAGAAGCTGGCGTCATCTTCTTGGAAGGTAAACATAGTATGATGCCCCCCGTTTAATTTTTGATACCATGGATTGAAGTCGTTGGACAACCAGCTGACGTATTGGTCTTGGTCTACAAATGATGAATGACCCTATCAGCCATCAAATTCTTTTGATGCTATCCGTAGTTTATAAAAGAATTACGTCTCAAACTCTGGGACTTTTTGTCCAGGATACAAACAGACTTCTGGTTCTCGTTGTTTCTTGATAGTATGAGTAATTTAGTCGTAAGAAAAAGAGTGTGCAAAAGGGCAAGTAAATAAGGTGTAGTCAAAAGAACGGTGTATTTCAAGCAAAATGATGCTGTTTTATCTTATTGGAGTGTATAAAGAAAAGATATTGGTTAAGCTTTGTAAACCAATCATCGTAAAAGAGAAGCCAGAAAGAAAGAAAGAAAGAATAAATAAAATAAAATAATTAAATAATCAAATTGTTACAGGTGTGATAAATTCGATCGGCCGTCGACTAAGAATGCCCCATTTCTTTTAATTTTATAATCACAGACCCCTCTACATCTTTAGTATTTAAAGAAGTACAGTTCAACTCAATAATGGCACACCTTTTCTCTCCTGTCTTTATATAATTATCTTGCTTCGTTTCTAAAGTGTGCTGCTATTCTTTGAGATTTAGAGGAAGTATGTTTTCTTCAATTGATTATCAAGATCACTACACTGCAAGCCACATTATGACACTTGACAAAATAAAGGGTAAAAAGAGGGGAGAGTGGGAATTAAGAGAGGTCTTTCTTTGTGTCTGCGTTTAGTTGTCAGCACTGAACCCAAAATGAAACGCAGTAGGGAGGTTTATTTTTAAAGAAAGCAAGACAACATTGTATCAAAAAAAAGAGTGCATTACGAAAAGTAATAATTAAATATCATGTTTATTATCATCATTCTGATCATTTACTTTGTATCTTCTTTATGTTGCCAATTTACAAGATATAAGACAATCACTGACAATTACCATCGTTTGTGTCTTGGACAAAAACAATCCTACCTTGCCCACCTTGCCTGGTTTTACTCAATCATATCATTCAGGTATACTTCACTTTGCACTTTGAGGTAGCCCAGAACTGTTGTATTAATACTATAGCTATAAAAATTAGAGTTATATACAGCCTTGGTAGCATAACTTGTTTCTTTTATTTCTCTTTACTCTACTTCATTAAATACTACTTTATACTCTTAATTTTCCCTTTGTCTTTTTAAAATATCATAATAAATCTTACTTTTTCAGAAATCATTTCAATATTTAAAATAAAAAACTGCAGATTTTTTTTTAAAGAATTTAATATTAAAACATTGATCAATTAAAAGAATAAGAATAAGAAAGCAACAAGCTTAAGAAAAAGAGAGAAGGATGAAAAATGAAAACTTTTAAAGTATACAGTATATAAATCCGTCTGTTTAAAAGAGGTAAACGGTTTGGGTAAGTGGCAGAGTGGACACTGGGTCACACACACAAGGATGCCCATCAGCTGTCACAGAATAAGTCTCTGGATCAATCTTTATGACTGGCGTGGCACTATTGAGTTTCATATCCTTTTTACCAATCTTCTGACAGGCCTTGACAGGTTCAATCCGTTTCCGAAGACTGTACTTTTCAATCACTCCAGAGTCTATAGACAGTTGTGAGACAAACAAAATACAACTAGATGATAAACTAGATGGCATCGCACCAAACATTCGACGACCCACAACTGGTTGAGTAGTAGAAATTGATCCATTTGCGTCACCTATTTTTTTTGAAGAAAAGAAAGAAGTAATCATTATTATCATCTATAGATATTTAAATATATCTTCTTCTTTTTGTACCCATTTGTGCCCAGACAATGACTCCACTCTTGAGAACCAACTCTGGTTTTGTACCAAAGAATGCAGGTGAAAAGGCTACTAGATCGGCTACCTTGCCTACTTCTATAGACCCTACCAAGTGGCTAATGCCATGTGCAATTGCACTGTTTTTGTTTTTGTTATTATTATTATACAAAACACACATACAGACATAGTTAGGAAATTAGCTGTATATTTGTATGTACCTTATTTACTTACACATTTACTGTATATTTTGCCACATAACGGCGGATACGGAAATTATCATCTTCTCTTCCCTTGTCTTCAGGAAGTTTACCACGCTGTTCTCTCATCTTGTGGGCAGTCTTCCAGGTCCTCAACACAACTTCTCCAATTCTACCCATTGCCTGACAGTCAGAACTGATCATACTGATCGCCCCAATGTCATGCAAAACATCCTCAGCCGCGATTGTTTCAGCTCTGATACGGCTCTCTGCAAACGCTACATCCTCTGGGATATTCTTTGACAAGTGATGACATACCATCAGCATATCAACATGTTCATCCAGTGTATTTGTCGTAAAGGGACGTGTTGGGTTTGTAGAAGAAGGCAAGACATTTGATTCCCCACACACACTAACGACTTATATATATATAAAAGTAAGAACCCTAAACAAGGCAGATTATAGCCTTCTCTTTCTAAACAGAAAATAACCTACTGTCTGGAGCATGTCCACCTCCCGCACCCTCCGAATGGTATGTGTGAATAGTCCTGCCCTTGAAAGAAGCCACTGTTGTCTCTACAAACCCACTTTCATTCAGAGTATCTGTGTGAATAGTTGTCTGGACGTCTTGCTCTTCACATACGGTCATGCACGCATCAATTGCAGCCGGGGTTGCTCCCCAGTCTTCGTGGATCTTTAATCCCAAACATCCGGATTCAATCTGTTCAGTCAGCGCTTCTTGTGAAGCACAACATCCCTTTCCAGTAAACCCAAAGTTTAGTGGTATGTCATCTGTTGCCTTCATCATCATCTCGACGTGAAACTTGCCGGGTGTGCATGTGGTCGCGTTTGTTCCTGTATTTGGGCCTGTTCCTCCGCCAATCAAGGTTGTTATTCCACTCGAGAGTGCCTAATTTAATCAATGCGTTCATCAGTTGATGCTGTTGTTAAAAGAAGAAGTATCAATGATATTCCACATTATATATATATGACCTGTTAGGCCACGTTTTTTTTCTTTGGTTACCTCATCACATATCTGGGGACAGATATAGTGTACATGAGAATCAATAGCACCAGCCGTAAATATCAAGCCTTCACCTGCCAATGCCTCGGTACTGGCTCCAACTACCATTCCTGGAGTAACGCTGTCCATGACATCTGGATTTCCGGCCTTACCGATGCCAACAAAGATTCCATTCTTGATACCAATATCGGCCTTGTAGATACCCGAGTGATCAACAATGACAGCATTTGTGATCACAAGATCCAGCACGTCCTTGTCACACATACCCGTTGCTTGGCCCATACCTTCTCTCAAGACTTTGCCGCCGCCAAACTTACACTCGTCGCCATAGACCGTATGATCGGCTTCGATACGGGCCCAGAGGTTTGTGTTGCCTAGTCTGATGCGGTCCCCCGTGGTCGGGCCATAATGATCGACATAGTAGTCTCGGTCCAATTGATAGGCCGGTGCATTGGGAAGCAAAGGTGTGTTGGCATCATGTCTGAAACCTTGGCTGAGAATCTTGTCCACAATGGCCGGCAGTTGAATGAGATCGACTGGCCCTGAAGCCAGATTGTTTCCGCCACTGATGATCTTATTTCCGCCAATCTCAACAAGCGTCACGGTCTTGAAGTCACCAGGTTCGAATCTGACAGCAGTTCCGGCTGGAATATCGAGGCGCATTCCGTAAGCCAGAGCTCGATTGAAGTGAAGTGCTGCATTGGATTCAATAAAATGGTAGTGAGATCCTACCTACAATGCATTGTCATATATTAATTAATCCAATATATATATATATATATACGTGTGTGTGTGTGTGTGTAAGTAAGTAAATAAGCAAGCAAGTAAATTTAAAAAAATGAAAATATACCATATATACCATATATACCATATATGTATATATATATATAATCAATGCATTGATACCGCCGTACCTGAATTGCCCGGTCTCCATAGTTTGTTACGGTAAGTGAAAGACGCTTTCGGCCGGCGTTTAATGTGATCTTTCCGGGCATGGTGACAATTGCGCCAGGTCCATCACTCCGCCTCCGAGAAGTCAGAGGGAGTGGAAAGAGGGAAATATCGGGAGTTGGGAGAAAGCTGCCATAAAGTGCCATTTCAAGATTGCCGCTGTCTGTGCAGATGGGATCGTGTACCGTAACGAGGTAGGTGCCGTCTGGAAAGGTACCCTCGATTTGGATTTCTTCAACGGTGGTTAGGGCATCGGGTAAGACATGGCGTCGGCCGAGCATTTGTTTGCCCATGTCCATAAGTTGAGACACAGAGTAGATTCCGTCCCGCATAAACTCAAGCAATTGACATGAAATGAGCCCAATTGCTTCCGTGTGATTGAGCTGCACACCTCTTGCTAGCCGTTTCTGAGCAAGCGATCCGACTAATGTGTATATATACATATATAAGTGTGTTTTATTTTTATTTTTATTTTTAAGCTGTCAGATCAAAATGTATGGTGTACAGGTGGGACAGAATACAAGAATAATAAGTATAATTTATAATACCTTGGTGTACCAATAGCTTGTCTAATTCACGAGGGACCAGCCGCATATTAAATAGAAAGAAGAAAAAGGAGAAGAAGAAGGAGAATATAAAATCCAAAGTTGCGAATTCTAGAAATTAACGAAGCAAGATTGGACTGAGCTTGATGTGAAAAGGCTTGATTCCAAAATATTAATAATATTATTATTTAAATGCCAAAACGAAAAGCTGGGATAAGACTGGTTCATCTCTTCAAGATATTCAAAGATGAGATAGCTAATCATTCACGTCATCAAGATAGATAAATAGATATGTTTGTATTTGGATAAATAATAATAATACCAAGGTATTAAATTTTATGATAGAATATCTGGGTTTCTATCTATACAAAAAAAAAGACCGTAACACACTTCTTGTAACCGTATCTTTAGGATATCTCCTTATTAACGTAGTCTGGATAATTCAGATTTGATTGTTGAATCTTCTCGCTCTACTTAATTGATTAATTGAATGGTCGATTGATCAAGTCCTTGGATAAATAATAATAATAATAACGTAGTATTTTATTTTCTTGTTGATACTCGACTATAATTGAATTTTCTTTGAGTAACTCATGCCGTATGTTGCTTAGCTTCAATATTATGAAACTGATACCAAAAGGTATAGAAAATAAGAATTAAGGGGGGAGAACCACAAACAGTAATATTTGTGTGCATATGTGTTTTAAAAAGAGAGAGATAAAAACCGGGTTCGTCACTCGCCACTCCAAATCTCTGTTATCGATTCTTGCTACTATTAAATCATTTCAGTCTTGCAGTCATATATATATATATATGTATATAATCTGATCTGCGTAATTCAGTCTACTGTAACCAAGAACCATGTAAAGATATGACAAGATATGTTTTCTTCTAATTTAAGCATTCCGACTAAAGCATATCCTTCTCTCATCGTCTGTCAATAGTCTGACAGACCACTTGGTAATTAACAACATTTAAATTATTATTTTTTAAGGTAACTATACTCAAAATAAAAGCAAGAACAAAGGTGAGAGGTCTGAATGTTTTGTTGACAGGTGTTATTATAATCTAATAGACCAAGTGCCATGGTAGGTCTGTACGTCTGTTCGTTTGTACTATATGGGCAAACTGATTTTATATCATCAAAACGGAAAGAAAGTAGAATTACAAGAAGTATAGACTGAGCTTTAAAGACCCCAAATATATAAATACATATATAGTCAAAATATTTTTGGCTGTCCATAGAGCAACCCAGTTTGCAAGTTGTACAGAGATTCTCTACGAGTCACAAGACCTTTGCATTTTTTTTTCTCTCTCCTACGAGCACACACACACACATACATACACACACACACACATATATATATATAGATGAATGAACTCGGCTTGTCTATTTTTTTTTTCTTCTTCTTCTTCTACTACCTTTTCTTTTTTTCTCTTTAACACACACACATATAAACTAACAATGTCCAACGATACTTGCCGCTTCGAGGATCTCAAGGCTCATATTTCTGCCCCTTCTAACCTCCACGACCACGGAGACGGCCATATGCATGCCAGCCACGGCCACGAACACGGTGGACGTGGTACACAGGAGCACGGGCATACACACGAACAAATGGATCATCCAGGCCACTATGCAGAGAGACCAAAGGCTATCTATAACCACCGCGACTGGTCCGAGCGTGCTTTTACAGTAGGAATTGGAGGGTAAGCCAAAGGAGAAGAAGAGGATATATATATATATATATATATGAAAAGATGGGAAAGAAATATAGATAGAAAGGTTGGAAGGAAATAAGGAAGATTATTTATTTATTTATTTATTATGATACACACTTAATATATATATATATATATGTACATATTATCTTTAGTCCTGTTGGCTCTGGAAAGACTGCCTTGATGTTGGCTTTGTGCCAGCGCCTCCGTGAAAAGTACTCTGTAGCTGCAGTAACCAACGATATCTTCACCAAGGAGGATACCGAGTTCTTGGTCAGAGAAAAGGCTCTTCCCGAGGAGCGTATTATGGCTATTGAGACCGGAGGATGTCCCCACGCTGTAAGTGATAAGAAGAGATAAGATAAGCTTTGTTGAGATTAAATAATATCTATGTGTGTGTGTGTGAATAAATTTGATTGATTGATCCATATATCTAATATTGTAGGCTATTCGGTAAGGCAAAGGGAGAAGAATACAGTAGACCTTAAAGATAACTAAAGCAACAGAGAAAGAGTGAAATTGAACTGTAATTTATTAATTCATTTGTGTGTGTGTGTGTGTGTGTGTGTTATAACATAGTGAGGATGTATCGGCAAATTTGAATGCACTCGAGGTTCTCCACGCCAAATTCAACACACAATTGCTCTTGATTGAGTCTGGTGGTGATAACCTTGCAGCAAACTACAGGTAAGGAAGAAAAAGAATAAGGATTAAGGATAAGGAAGGTTTATCGATCATGTCATGTCATGTCATGTCATGTATTTTGTATTTATTTTTGTATCGTTTGATTATGTGCGGTGTGTAGCCGTGAATTAGGTAAGAGAATAAAAGGATCTATTCGAGAATATTGAATACTCATATGTATCAATCCTATAGCTGATTATATCATCTATGTTATTGATGTTGCTGGTGGAGACAAGGTTCCTCGCAAAGGAGGTAAATTTTGACTGATTGATTGATTTTAAATAAAATTAAATAAAATAAAATAAAATAGGTCCTGGTATTACCCAGAGTGATCTGTTGGTTGTTAACAAGACTGACTTGGCTGAAATCATCGGTGCCGACCTTGGTGTTATGGCCCGGGATGCCAAGAAGATGAGGTAAAGACAAAGATAAGGATATAAGATAGACATTAGTGGTGGTTAACAATATCTTTATGATCTTTACAGAGGAAATGGCCCTACTGTATTTGCACAGGTCAAGAACGGTGTTGCTGTGGATGATATCATTAACTTGATTTTGGGTGAATGGCGCGCCAGTGGAGCTGCTGAAAACGCTTAATAATTAAAAATAAAAAAAATTATATAACCCAAAAAAAAAACAAAAAACATAGTACTCCTTTCTTCCCCAACTTCATTGACTTGCATATATATATCTTAGTAAAAATGTCAATAAGAATTACGGTTTTTGTTACCAAATAAAGAAATCACAGTTTCACAAGCGCCCGTTGAGTTGTGTTTTATACAGGATTATCAATGATCATTTTGCACCTAGACTTTGTAAAAAAAAAAAATGTAACCCAAAAAAAGGGTTTTATTTTATTTTAATTTAAAACCCACTCATAAAACAAAGTTATATAACAAAAGAGGGAAACCAAAACACTTTCTTTTCTTCTCTTTTTCTATTCCTCTTCTTCTCTTTTTCTATTCCTCTTCTTCCTCTTCTTCTTCTTTTTTCTTGACTTGGTTCATTATTTAATTATGGAGACTATCAAGGCAGACGGATACAATGCTAAATTTGCTACTGCTACCTATGCATTGGCAGCTGCAGGCGCGCTCTTTTTGGGTGCAAAGGCATTCACTTTCATAAAGATGCTTTTGGAACTTTACGTGTTCAGCGGCATTCCAGTAAGCATTCACTCCATTCAACTTTTATATTTATACTTTATAGACCACAAGTACATGCATATATGATGTACATGTAGAACTCTCATTTCAAACAAACAAACAAACAAACAATCATACAAAGAAAAAAAAACAAGTTTGACTGGAATACTAAACGAATTCTAATATTTCTCTCTGTGTATACGAATAATTGAATAGCTCAAGAAGTTTGGTGCTGGTTCTGGTGCCTGGGCTGGTAAGTTTATTCAATACAAATAAGAAACAAATGGTTCTTTATATATATATATATATATATATATTGTGACTATGAAACAAGTCAAATGAAAGAAAGAGAAAGACAAGATATTCAAATAAAGATTCTCATTGTTCATTCTAGTCATTACTGGTGCATCGGATGGTATTGGAAAGGAATTTGCTGATCAGTTGGCCAAGAAGAAATTCAATGTGCTTTTGGTTTCTCGAACTGCTTCAAAATTGGATGTAATTGCTGAGGAGCTCAGTAAGTTTCTTTCTTTATTTTACGTAATTTAATTTTATTTTTACTTGATTAAGGCAGGGGAAATAAGAAGAAGTATATATATATATATATATATTAGAAGTAGTAATAGTAGTAGTAGTAGTAGTAGTAATCATACATTGAGAATAAATATCCCCTTTCCCCTTTTTTTTCTTCTCTCTTTTCTCTATATCATTTAACAAACTCTCCTTATCTTTCTATTTGAATTCTAATAATCGCTTTATGTTATTTAGGCCAGCAATATGGTGTAGAGACAAAGACTTTTGCAATGGATTTCACAAAGGGAGATGCTAATGATTTTGCAAAGCTTGGAGAGGTTATCAGTGGTCTTCGTGTTGGTGTTTTGGGTAATGTAACATTTTAGTTGAGGGGGGATTATGTGTATATATAAGTAATAGCATAACGATCGATTGGTTTTTATTGATTGGCTTGAAATTAATTTGTACGCGTAATTTGTACGTATCTGTGTTTTTTTTTAATTCTTTTTTGACAGTTAACAATGTTGGTACAAACCATGATATCCCTACTCCTTTTGCTGAAGAAGATGACAAGGTGATCCAGGATATTGTTGAAGTCAACATCAAGGGTGCCATGCGTATGACCAAGCTTGTACTTCCCCAGATGCGTAAAGAGTAAGTTAAACCAAAGAAAAAGAAAAGAAAAAAGAAAACAAATAATAACCAATCAATAATAGTCGTTCGGGTCTTATTCTTAACCTCGGTTCATTCTCTGGTCTTGTTGCTACTCCTTATCTGTCTGTCTACTCTGCCGGCAAGGCTTTCCTCTGCACCTGGTCCCAGGCTCTTGGTGCCGAATTGGCTTCTGAGGGTATTGTGGTCGAGAACATCAACACTTACTTTGTCGTGTCTGCAATGAGCAAGATCCGTAAGCCTACTTTCCTCATTCCTCTGCCCAAGCCCTACGTTGCCTCTGTCTTGTCCAAGATCGGTCTTGCCTGTGGTGCCGGAACACCTTACACCTCTGCACCTTATCCCGGCCATGGTATCGTCAACTGGTTGATTGACAATGTTTTTAACATCACCTTCTGGGTTAACCACAATGACAGTAAGTTTTTACAAAAGATATTATTATTATTATTATTATTATTGACTCTCTTTATTTTATTTTTGTTAGCTATTCAAAAGGATATCCGTAAGAGAGCCTTGCGTAAGCGTGAGCGTGAAGCTGCTGCCAGAAAGTCCTCATAATTTTAGTGATATGACTGTTATATACATACATACATATCAACATGTGTACATTTTGTATGTATGAAAATATTATTTCCACAAAAGCTGTGTGAATAAAGAGATGATTTTTTTTAAAAGCAGAAAATGATGACTGTGATTGTGATTGGTTGGTTGTTTCTTTAGTTTGATTTGACTTGTTGGTAAACAATCTTGAAACAATAACCTAACCCTTATCCTTACCCCTCTATATATAAGTAGGGGGGGGGGGGGGGGGGGGGTGAAATGGTTTCCCCCGGCCAAAGGATTTGATGGATTTTAAGTAAAAGGGGTTTAGGTGTTTTAAAAAAAAACTTTTTAAATTTGACCAAAAAAAAAAACCCCCCAAAGGAATTTTTTGTTGGATAAAACCCAAGGGCCTGGGGGGGAAAAAAGCCATTAAAAATTTTGGGTTTTAAAAAAAAAAAAAAAAACCCCAAAGGGGGGGAAACTTACCCCTTTTTTTTTTTTCCATTAAAAAAAAAAAAAAATTGGGTCCAAACCTCTATTTCTAAAAAAAGTTTTTTAAATTTG